ACGAAAACACTGCTCGAATTTCAGTGGTCCGAGTAGATACAACGCACATTTAATGTACGTGCGGCAATGCGGATTGCGAGCTGTGAGTAAATTGTCCGAAATGTCATTTTTTTTTGGTCATTTTACCGAAAGATTAGTCATAGATTGTCTTCATTAGTATCATTTAACACAATTACATTAAAGATTTAGGTTGGAAAGGGCATTATTAAGTCACAAAGAGCACAAACATATACACATTGGTATCTCTCGATCGATTAATCAGGTCGGGACATCTCGGCCCAGTTTTTCCAGCTGGGCCGAGTAGTCCCGTGGGCCGAGTTAGCCCGGATTCTATGAGACATATGTGACCCGCTACGGCAAAACCCGACGCTTCTCGGCAAATTCCATTGTGCTGTAGGCCCGTTTGAACATGAAATTTCGAATTTAGGGATCAACTGAGATTTTTGCATGATCAGAAAGTCTATTTTTTATAAATTGATTTAGAGAAAAAATGAACTCAAGACACGATCTAGAAGTATTTTTAATTATATTTTGTATCTAATCATGTGCTCCATTGTCCAGTGAAATTAGTTGAAACAATGCGGTCAAAAGAAGGGAAAGTTCGCGATTCATCGCTTGTTGTTTTCCCTCTCAGTTGACCACGTTTGAGTCGATCCCTGACGTATTTGGTACGAAAATAACGAGTAAGGATCGGTTATTCCAAATATGGTTATATTGGGCGGTCCTAAATAAAATTGCCCAATGAAAAATGCCATGAAAGATGACATCATTTCGATGAGCTGTCAAGCAGGCCGTAAACAAATGCCTGTTGCCAGCCACGTGATCCAAATCCAGACACTTGATTCGCCAATATTCGCACATGACGTCATTGCCTTGTTGTTGTGATTGCTCAGCGGTCAAATTCTCGCATCGAAACACCAGCTTTTTTCTTCGAAAACTTGTTCAGAAGTTTGTTTTTAATGAGCTAGAGTTTCATATATCAAGTAAAATACGTGTATTCATCGAGTGGCTAGAACAATGTCGAGGAAAAAGAGGAATTTAACGGATAAAACCGTCGCTTCTTTGTTGAATGATGCATCGGCGTGCGGTATGCCGTGCATGGCTTGTCTGGTCAGGTCGCCCCCAAGCCGGTCGCCTCCTATACGCAGTCGCCTCCCTATACACAGTCGCCTCCTAACGTAGTCGCCCCCAAATTGTGTGGTCGAGTCGCCTCCTATACACAGTCGCCTCCTATACACAGTCGCCCCCTATATACACAGTCGCCCCCTACGTAGAAAGGCAGTACGCTAGCGCAGCGGTCAGAAGCAGGTTATTTAATATAATGTTGTCCACCTTCTTTTAGATATCTATTTTGTGCTAAAGTATAATGTGATAAACGTTTCATTTTATTTTGATGCAACAGAGATTTACATTCAAAGGTTTTTACTTTTTATAATTGTACAGTAAGTTCTTCTCATTTCGACATTATCAGCCACTGGTTCTCTATTTTGTTTCCTAAACTAAATAAAAGGTATATGTGAGAGGGGGGGGGGTAGAAAGTTGGACGTAGCCTGTATAGACCCTACTGTATTAATTGTTATGATATTTGTCTCCCCTCCGATCACTCCCCCCCCCCCCCCCGGCTCTGATTTTGTTCTTTAGTTTGTCTCTTTTGGTTTGATTATATTTTTTCGCTAAAGCATAATGTCCGACGTATAGCATCAGTAATATGTTATAATAATTAATCTCAAGGAAGGGATGATGCCCGCATACAAGCAAATGGCGGAATAGACAACATTATGAAAGATGAAGATGGACATAGAGAGAGAGAGAGGGAGAGAGAGGGAGAGAGGGGGTGGCGGGAGATAGAAAGTTGGACGTAGTCTGTACTGTATTTATTATTATGATAATTTTCTCACCGACTCCCCCCCCCCCCCGCTCATATTTTTTCTTTAGTTTTTCTCTTTTTTGTTTCTTTATATAGTTTGGCTTAAGTATAATATCCGACGTATATACCGTCAATATAGCATAATAATTTTTTATTTTTATTTATCAGTTTGAATTAACAGAGATTTACAGTAATATTCTTCTCATTTCGATATTATCAGCCCCTCGTTCTCTATTTCGTTCCCTAAACTAGATATAAGGTATAACAAAAAGTCATGTGAGAGGGGGGAGGAATAGAAAGTTGGACGTAGCCTGTATATACTGTATTTATTGTTATGATATTTGTCTCTCCTCCTCCAATCACTCCCTTCCGGCTCTGATTTTGTTCTTTAGTTTCTCTCTTTTGGTTTGATTATATCTTTTCGCTAAAGTATAATGTCCGACGTATACCATCAGGAATATGTTATAATAATTAATCTCAAGGAAGGGATGATGCCAGGATACAAGCAAATGGCGAAATAGACAACATTATGGAAGATGAAGATGGACATAGACAGAGAGAGGGAGAGAGTGGGTTGGCGGGAGATAGAAAGTTGGACGTAGTCTGTACTGTATTTATTATTATGATATTTTCTCTTAAACCTTGTCTGAATTCAGTTTTCCCTCACCGCGCTGACGTTTCATTAAATTATTAGAGAATGTTTTTCGACTCTTAATCCTAGTCTGAATTAATTCCCCCCCCCCCCTTCCGCGTGAACCGCGGAAGCTTTGACGTTTCATTAAATTATTAGAGAAAGAACAAAGAAGACGATTCGTTGTACCGACTCTTCATCATTGTTTGAATTATCAAAAATGTTTCTTTGTTATTATTATTGTTTCAGCGTTATCCTCCGCGCGCTTTATAAGGAAGGACAAAAGCGCCGCGACATACAATAAGGTATGTATTTGAAAGAATAACTGCTTTTTATTTGTGCACAGATTAAAAGAAAGTGACATCTATACACAAAATAAACACAAATTATTATATAGGTTAAAATTGTAACCTATAGTGCTTTCGAATACTTGAAAAGATGAGCAGATGTTCATGTTGGTCACACATGGTCGTCCCTTACAATATTCTTTAAACAAAATCACGCACTTATGTAATTGAGAGTGATAACGTTTCGTCGTCCCTTACAATTTTCTTTAATCAAAATCACGCACTTATATATATATATATATATATATATAATGAATTGAGAGTAAAATTAGATAACGTTTCGTTCATTTGGGTCTACCGCCGAAAGCTTTTATTTCGATCTATTTGCTTCATATACTTATATATAAGTCATCAATTATAGCTCACTTTTAATTAAATGTAGAGACATTTTCTTCTATTTCTATTTTAAACTTTTACAACTATCTCATGACGACACGTTCTAGTATGGGTCTTGTAAGTAGTGAACACAAACTATATGGGATTAAAAAGGGATCTGAAAATGCTCTAATTTGCTTGCGTGTACAAATTATACTTGAGAAAAGCTAAGAAAGCCAATCTATAAAATCCTTATTATCTCTATAGCCTGTGGATACTCCCTTAAGTTCCGTCACTTAGCCAGCCAGAACGATTTATTTATTTATTTATTTAAAATGGTTTATTTCATTAAAAAACATTCGCGGCCTGAGAGCCGAATCAGTTTTTTTTTACAAAGTATACATCAGTGACAAAGTAAAATTACACGTAAAAAAATTATGCATGGTAGCATAATGGTAGTAAAATTGCAATTCTTTTGTACATAATTGTGCTTCAACGACCTTGGCAAATTGCTTGGTACACTCTAAAAACTGAAATGTTAAATCACCATTTAAAAGAGCCAAAGAGTGACCACTCTTTCAAAATGGTAGATTAACACTTTGAACATGCTGGATCCAACACTATAAAGGTTGAATCTAGCAGGTTAAAAGAAACAATCTGACATTTTAAAAGAGTGGTCACTCCTCGGCCCTTTTAAATTTACATTTAACATTTCAGTTTTTAGAGTGTACATACAAAAAATTTGAATTGTATTACCATATTTGCAATGAAATTATATATTGAACTTATACAATATATGAATAGTGATACATTTTTTATATTCAAAAGAATTAAATGTTTTGGTTGGAAAATGCATAGCCAGATGGGTATGGTATGGTTATGGTGTTTTCTTTAATAACAGAAACAGAGACAACAACAGAAACCAAATCCAGGAATTATAAAATCAAATAGATGCTACAATGATTTAAACAAATTATACATTGTAGGTAAAATGCAGAACATTTTGTATTTGGGCCAATTTACTAAAAGGTACATGTAGAATATGATATTGCATAAAAATAACATAAGTTTCGCATAAAAAACATGGGTAAAAGTTTGCCATTGTAATATTCGATATAATGTGCATCATCTTGGGAATTGTTATAAAGTCAAACAGGATTAATATTTGTACAATTAAAAATGATTTAGTTTAAAAAAAAGTAAAATTCTATAGTAACATTATTCAAAAATGCATTCACATGTCACCCTTTTATTTAAGAAGTTATACCAGAGAAAGAGAGAGAGAGAGAGAGAGGGGTGGGAGAGAGAAAGGGAGAGAAAGAGAGATAGAGGGAGAGAGAGAGAGGGAGAGAGAGAGAGAGAGGGGGGGGGGCAAAGAGTGAGGGTAACAAGACAGTGAGCTAGCCAGAAAGCCATGAAGAGGGTCTCCCCGCCCCGCAGCACAGCACTGACAGAGAGGAGACAATTAGGTATTGAGAGAGTGATCGATGGATGTGTTAGTACGTAAACTGGTGGAAACTTAGATGCAAATATCCTCGAAAATATGCGTTACAATGGAAAATTCGAGGAAAATTTTTCAATATTTAGTAATATCATAGTACTGAGATGCCAGGAACTAAAAATGGCTTGACTTTGAACTTGTAAAAGACATCAAATTAAAACAACAAATTAGGGGGCGAGCTGACCAAAAAACTGGGGGCGAGCTGACCAAGAATCCCAAAATCGGCAAACAAAATCGGGAGGCGACATGACCAATTGAGGGCGACTTTGTAAGGGGGCGGGCTGACATTTAGGCGAGCTGACATGGAACCCCTCTCTCGCCCGCGGCCGGGGACTTTCGCGAACCCGACCGGGCCGAGTCCCCGGCCGCGGGCGAGAGAGGAACTCCTTCGTCTCCTAGCTCCGACTCTGATTCTGGTAGGTTTATTAATATTATCATTATTAAAAAGGTATTCAAGTTACTTAGTTAGGTCTACGCCCATATTATTTATTAAAGACTTGTTTCGCCAAAATGTTCGAGCAACAAAAGCTAGATTAGACATTTTAAGTGCACTATTATTTAAATTAAAATTTATTATTAAAATAAATTAGATTAGGCCCCCCTATGATTTATGAAGCTTCTCATACCTATACAAAAATCTCTGCGGAGTCTAGACTACTTGTTGATATTAGTTTTTGAATCTCTATTTTATAATTATACTTAACAGAGTCTGATGAGTTCGAGGAGGCAGGTCCATGACCAGCAGAGCCATGTGAAAGCGGCGATGAAAGCGGCGATGAAAGCGATTGGGTCGATGAGGCAGATGCATGCAGAGGAGCCTATGGATTTGTCAAGTGACAATGAAAGCGTCATACTGGGACCGGGTCCTGTCATTGATGACGAGGAGGAGGCGGCAGCAGCTACAAATCTGGCCCAACAAATAGATCTTGATCTGGAACCGCTGAAGGACCGCGTGAATAAATGCAACTGCCGTATCTTCAATCGAAGACGCTGTATCAAACAATTCTCTGTAGCCGAACAAGAGTCCATAAGGTATAATTGGATCTGTCACTATTTACTTGTATTTCTTTATAATAATGTCTAAGGACTGGATGTTTATGTACAAGCTGCAGTTTAATGCAAAATATACTTACATTTATTCTAAGCTAATTATATTTTCTCCTATTTTGCAGCATTAATCAGTAGACCCTAACGTATGCTTTAAAAAAAATACTTCACCACTAAACTGTACCAAGCATAATAAATATTATAATTGAGATCCTTAGGAAAACGTTGCAAAGCTCTGTCCAAATTTCAAGTGTTTTAATGAAATGAAATTTGCTACAATACATTTACTCTTTTCTTCTTCCAAGTCAACCAACTTTTACTTTATTGTGAGCTGGTGTTTTCCATTTGAGAATGATCTACTATTGTAGTGTAACAAAAAATATTTACTTTGTAAAGAAAAATAGTAGATGCGAAAATTTGACTAATCAGGAGATTTTTGTTTCGTTTTGCTTTTTCCCTCATGTCTGCAGGTCAATGTTCCTAAAGAACAGAAGACAGAGGCACTCAGGAGGCAGGAGGAGCATCTTCTACAGGACAGCCTGTCAAGCCTTACAGGCAGTCGCGATAGAGCTCTCCATCAAGAAGCTAGGGAAGAAGACTGCGAACTCCAAGCCTGTAGTTTTTCATTACAGATTCGACTTTGCACAGCAAGTGCATTATCCAGTTGACCCCCAACAACCTGGCCCTTCGTATTTCCGTACACAAAGAAAGTGCCACATCTTTGGCATGTCTTATCCTATGTACATACTATTGATCTCTTCGGCTGTGAATTTTGTATGAAACAAGATAACTCAAGAGATTCGAAACTGTTCATCATTAATTCTTGGGCACTAATGCATAATAGTTTATGATTAGTGTAGTCACTAGTCAGATTGCATTTGTTATGGGATTCGTTATTGTTTTTTCTTTACTTTGATAATGAAAGAATATATTTTATATCTGATACTGATTGACTGAAATTAATATTTTTGCATTATTAATCTCTATCTCAAGAAGACAACAGCTCTGTCAAATGGTCTCAACTGTTACTTTATTGTACATTCCTAAATGAACCAGGATATTTTTACAATACATGTATTATAGGTTATCTGTTGTCGAGTGACTTACACGATATCTTTTTTTTTCTCAAATAGTCTTGATTAAGACTAATGCTTTATATCATAGCCTTTATTAAATATGACAAAATATCAATCATTTTGAACTCGCTTTATTTGTTCCAGTAATTATCATTTGAAAAATAGATTCTGACGGGTTTCAAGTTCAACGCAATTCGTTATTTCACTTTATTGCAATCTTATTTTTAATATATTTTTTAAAAATCATTTTTATTACATCTGGTTTTGTAATAGGCCTATTATTAAGCATAAATTTTAAGAAAATGCACTATTACATTTTATTATTGCAACATTGATGTAACCTGCTACTATTTTGTGTACAAGATAGTGATGAAACATAATAAACCGTGGAATCGTTTTCCCATCAACTTTGCCTAGTATAACAAAAACTTTGAAATTCTTTTGTTTTCTATTGTTTTTAAAAATTATCATAACTTTATTAATATTTTTCCAAATCTAATGGTTTTAACAGAAATGTAAGTTGGGTATGTGTCTAGTATGCCTGTAAAATAACAAGACTTTAGCTTGTTTGGTTGATGCCGTTGCTATGAAGTGAATGTATGCATGTTTTTTGTGTGAAAATTGAACCAAATTCTTAACTTTAAACCTCAATATCTCATAATCAACTTCCGGTGATTGAAATCACAAAAATCACAATAACTTTGTCAAATTTCAATCAATTTTTTTAAATGAGGTATCATCTTAAAGGTCATACTTTACTCTTTCCAATGATACCAAGAACTCAATTTTTATTTTTACCATGAAGTGTTGGGTTTTGCCATAGCAGGTCACATATAGGCTTTGAACTAAACCTGTCAGGTATCTGAAAGCAAGATGGTTAAGGAATATAATTAAGAAAAATAATATGGGATCTAATTAAATTGGATTTGGGTGCTGTACTAATCGCACAGGATTTAATATATTTCATTCATACTTTTTAAATGTTAACCTACAAAAAGCAGAGTAAAGGGTTGTTTATTTCTTAATCTTCTTTTCTTTCTTGTATATCACTAGGTTGCATGCACATATAGTTGTTCATTCATTTATTTCATATTTATCTTGTGATCGTTCACCTTGTATAATATACCAGTAGCTAGGCAAGACAGTTTGCAAAACATGTCTTTATTCCCCCAACATCCATGCAGAGCCAGCTCAAACTATAGACACACCCCCTGTCTCTAGATCTTTCACACTACTCCTTTGCACCCAAGTGTGTCTTCCCTCTTTCTCTATCTGTCTGTCTGTATGTCTCTCTCTCTCTCTCTTTCTTTAGATATAAAAAGAGTGTGCCAGCCCACACATCCAGAGCCAGCTTCATGCTAGATCACTCTCCCTGTCTCTAAGTTGTCCTTCTATCACCTTTCACACTTCTTATTTCTATCCAAGTGTCTTCCCCTTTCTCTCTATGTCCGCATGTCTGCCCATCTCTCTCTCTCTCTCTCTCTCTCTCTCTCTCTCTCTCTTTAGATATAAAAGAGTGTGCCCCAACGTCCAGGGCAAGCTTCAAACTAGACACTCCCCGTCTCTTTCCCTCCCGTTTCTCCTTCTAACCCAGAGTGTCTTCCCTCTATCTCTCTCAGTATCTCATCCTTGTTATTTATCTGTCTCTCTCTCTTTAATTCCTTCTCTCCCTCCCTCTCTGACCTCTCTCTCTCTACTTTATCTCTCATCCCCCTTTTCCTCTCCCTCTCTTCCAACCCTTCCCCTCTCCAATTCTCACCTATTAATCTTTCAATATCTTGCTTTTTAAATCCTATTTGAGCATTGACCTGAAAGAAATTATAAAATAATATCAACATTGAAATAAATGCAATAATTCTCATAAATTTTATTGAAGTAAATGCCGAGACTAAATATGCACACATAATTCACACTTTGTAAAAAATAAATTCATTTAACCAACATACATCATAAATTCCATATCTCATGATTATTCTGTATATAATATTCCATTTTACATGAAAGAATCAAATATACATCTAGCCGTCATATTTTATCTCTATCAATGATATGTCACAATACGTGTATCCTTCACATAGTCAACATAAATCAAACTATACAAAACACCTTTCAGAGATCGGCATACATATAATTTTTCCCCACTAATTTTCATTCTACAAATAAATTCTATCAAAGCAACAGGAATGCACGTCCTATCCAAATATACACAATTTCGCACATGTTGAACCCTCAAAATGCCAAATACACGCTTTTTTCAACAAATACAATACTCAAAATCATATCATTTTAATCTACTGATTCTAATATTCAGCATTCTTCCATTGAAAATGTTTGTATTTTGCAAATGATATGACTGACGGAATAAAAAAAAGAAGATTTTACTACAATGTAGTAACATAAATATACTTAAACTAGCAGGACCCGCGGAAATCCGCGGGATTCTAGAGGGGGGCGGGGGTGTAAATAGATATATAGAGACTGTCTAAATTAAAACCACCAAGAACTTTGCTTGCCATTCAGGCCATTAAAAAAATATACATGTTGAGCGTCCCCGCCCGATTCCTTTTTGGGGGCCGCCTCCTATTTTTTTTTTTTTGAAATTTTTTTGATTTTTTTGATTTTTTGATTTTTTTTTGAAAGAAAAAAAAAAGCGTCCCCGCCTGCTTCCTTTTTGGGGACCGCCTCCTATTTATTTTTTAAATTTTTTAAATTTTTTTAAAAAAAATTTAAATTTTTTTTGTAATTGTTTATTTTTTTATTTTTTTATTTTTTTTTTTGAAAGAAAAAAAAAACAGCGTCCCCGCCTGCTTCCTTTTTGGGGGCCGCCCCCTATTTTTATTTATTTATTTATTTATTTATTTTTTTTTTTTGAAAGAAAAAAAACATGAATAGCACTGCTAAATTGTATTTCTGTTTTTAAAAAGAAAAAAAAAAAATTGTCGGCCGCCATCTTGAAAAATAGCCAGAGTGTCAGGGAAAATGTACGGAGCGGCCATTTTGAAAAAAAAAAAAAAGGGCCTCCTCCTTCCCATTTTTTCGAAAAAACGATCCAACTGTACCTGTAGTTATTCTTTAAGCCACTGGAACTGCGTAGAGTTCCGTAGTGTGGCGTACCGACTACGCAGAAATTAGGCTGCATATTAATGGGAAAATAGTCCCTGCGTAGGTTATGCGTAGGCTGGCGTACAGGTTTGCTTATGGTTGCTTACTGTGTAGAAAGCTTTTACTGCTTTGACGATCTGGCGTAGGGTAGCGTACTGTTGCGTAAAAAGGCGTACTTTCTGCGTCAAGTTTCTACGCCGAAAGTACGCGAAAAAAATTAAACATGTTGAATTGTTGTACCTTGGCGTACCTCTTTCCGTCCCTCAGCATATAGTAACGTAGGCCAGCGTAGTTGGTACGCAACACTACGCAACTCTACGTATTGACCCCACGCCAATTAGTGACCCGCAAGTGTCACACATAAAGTATTAAAAATATGCTTATCTGACCCTAAACGCCTAAACCCCCCAAGCTTTCGGGGGTTTATGGCCCCTTAAAACCCGTGGACCCCACGCCTATATTGTATATACACTCAACTCGCCGCGATCTGATCTCTCCCCCCCCCCCCCCCAACTTTGAAGAACGTAACCCCCGAGCTTTTGGGGGTTTATGGCCCCTTGAAACCCGTGGACCCCAAGCCTATATTATATATACACTCAACTCAGGACCCGCGGAAATCCGCGGGATTCTGGAGGGGGGGGGGCGCAGGCAAAAAATTAAGTTTTTTCATTTCGGGGGCTCCATTTCAAATTTTGGGGAAATTTTCGGGGGCTACTTTTTCAACTTTCGGGGGCTCTTTTTTCTGGGGCTACTTTTTCATTAATTCATAAAAGGATAGGCCTACACTTTGTTGAGATTTGTTTAGTAGGCGAAGGTTTCAGGCTCAATACTTCATAGGTCTAATTGCCTATTTAAAAAACAAACATTTTTCTAGTTCAATAACTAAGTTTTCATGCATTGCTTTGATGCAAGAACTGTAACATAATTAATAGATCTAGATTGTGATTATTTCTGACCATGAATTTCGATAATCATTTTTCAAAGTAAAATTTTCACAAGAAAATCAGACAGTCGTTTAAAAACGTAGACATTAGTAATACTTTTACTAATTCTAAGCTCAGGTTTCGTAAATCTATTCACGAAACTATATTGAAATCGTGATGCAAACCAACAGATAACAATTTCAAAGTGTCAAATCTCTTCGACTCGAGCTCAGCTCAGCTGATCGAACTCGCACACACTCCAGCGTAACTCCATGATCAGCTCGAACACCGACGCCGCAGGCCTCGGAAGCCTGCGGTGCGCGGTGCCGGTGTTACACTGCACTGTGTGTAGTACTGTATGGGTGAGGACTGAAGGCAGCTTGCGACTGAATTGTCAGTCCAATGGTATTCTTGTGAAAACTTTCCTTTAGAAAATGATAATCAAAATTTAGTAGCATGGCCGTAATAATCACAAAATAAGCTTTCATTTCATACCTCCATTCACGACACCTATATAAAAATCGCGGCAATAATGATGGAAATAGGTCCCTAAGTTTGGACGTGGACGGGAAGCTTCGTGTGTATCTCTGTGGCTCGTGCAGCTACTATACAATGGATATCCTATAGAAAGATGCTTTACTCGGGTAAGCCCGACCCTGTACGTCGTGCATTTAATACGCAACTTAATGTGAGTGGACAGTCATCGGTCGTGTGTCTACGGATGTCATGTTGAATATCCATGAGGTATCTCTGTCGTCACGCATATCCTGCATTATGCATGTCGCGTCTGTTTTCGCCCTGGACGTCGACACGGAGGAGGACCTCGGGCGGAGTATAGCCAATTCGCTAGAGTAGACTCTCCCGCGGACGACGGCACCGGGCACCGGTACCCCGAGGGGAGGGTTCAGGAGGAGATAGCCGCACCAACTTGGGTCGGCGATCTCATTAAAAAACAATAGAATACAAAGGCCGGCGGAGACGTCGCGCCCCCCGCGGAGCCTTAGCGTATTATTATTATAGATGTCTATATACTTCAACAAAGTTCTCATTACCGGTAGTTCATTCTTTCTTCACTCCACTTCAGCAATGTAAAGAAATAAAAACATCTTTATAAGCCTTATTTCTGCGACAAAGAAATGCTGCCTATCAAAGACAGCTTGTTAAATAGTTAATTTATAATCATACCTTCACATGAAATATCTATACACATGAATTATTTCAAGTACAATTTGTTTTATACATTCTCTAATGTAAAAAACACTTTGTATCTTGAAAATCCAAAGCCTTTGGAACACTTTGGAAGCACGTATCCAGGAAAAAAATGGAAAATTAATATAATCAAACTTTTAAATACAAAATTTCTCATATAATTTGTTTGTTCATGAACTAATTGGATGTTATGAAGAAAATAGAAATATTATCAAAACTTGCATTAATAATAAGCCTTACTAATGTACCTGATGATTCAATATAAAAACCTCAATATCATGAACCTAATATAAATGGATCATTTAGGTGAAGGCATTATGTTTTGCCCTTTGTACATGTACCTATAGTGAAAATTGCATAAAAAGCAGTTATTTCTATAGCTTCTGTATAGCCTGAGGCCTTATCAGAACATACATGTAGGGGCAATGGAACATATAAAACAATCATTTAGTTTAATATTCATAATACCACCACAAGAATGATGTTCAACCTCAGCATACTGCTTTTCAGTTTCATGTATTGTAATTTATTTATTTTTTCTCAAGAATTCATGAACAAGCTAAATATCAAAGGGGGAATGTTACTTTAATACAGCTATGAAGAAAATGTATTAATCACTACCACTTAAATATCGCATAAGTAGATATTTATACTTTTTCCCCTTTTAATTGACTGATATACTACCAAGTACAATTCACTGAATAGCACATAGACGTCAGGACAACTATGTCATTGTGTTGACTATACTAGGAAGACATTTCTAAATTTCAGTTCTTTGCATTAATTCATTTTCATCAAGAAGAATAAGTGATACTACCTTCCAATAATGATTTAAAAGAAAGAGTAACACGGTGTCTATAAAGTGACTTTAAGAAGTCATCAATATCAAGGGCAAGACTGCACATGAAAGGCTCATAATTATTCCATATGTGCCAATCTATTTCTGACACCAATAGTGAATTACATGCACACGGTTGGTTGGTTATGAACCTTCTAGCCATTTTCTATTGTAATAGTATACTGCATAAATAGTGTGATATAAATATATGCATGGTTTCAACTACAGTTCCAAATATACTGAAGTAAGAGTAAAATCCAATGAAATTGCCTAAACTACATGAATCATGTAAAAAAAAAAAATCATATTGAAATTGAAGTACACTCTCCCTTCATAAGAATTTGAGATGAATTGGCTTCAAAATAATAGAAGTAATAGTTTAAGACCATGTTATTCTCTGTATCTAGAAGAATTGGAAAACCAGAGATGATGCAGAAGCACTACAGTTTATTCACTGTGTATTGTGGAATGTATAATGTTATTTGAACATCTCAACATAACATAGAGAGCCCAAGGCATTCTCCTTTCCCCAAGACAGTAGACTGTAATGAAAGTCTTTATCCACTGCATACATTATAGTTTAGAACTAAAAAAAAATACATCGGTCTTCAAGGAAAGATATATATCTTTTCAAAGGCAATTTTACTATAAAAACAAGAGTTTCACAACAGGAAAATGTCCCTGTTTTGTAAGCAATAGCTTTTCTAATAGCAAGACACTTTGCATATTGCAACAACAACAAAAATCATTTAGTTGTGATTCAATCACTTTGCAGCATGAAGCTTTCATTGACAAATTTACACACATTCCATGTGCACACAATTGTTTGGTTTTCCATTATTGACGGTGTTCATGATGGAAGAAATATATGTTACAAAGATCTATTGCAGCTTTGATCACTGAATAGTGAATGTCTTCATTTATGGAATATGGAGTGCTGTTTGTATTTATGAAAAAACAAAAAATGATTATAGAATATAAAAGAAGTTACTCTTGATATGACTTCATTTATATATATTTTCCAGTAAGAACAATAAATGAAGTAGAAAATGCATCTTTAAAAGGAGATATTGAGAAGTAGAAAAATTCATAAAAGAAGCTACTCTTTGATGTGACTTCATTTATATATTTTCCAGTAAGAACAATAAATGAAGTAGAAAATGCATCTTTAAAAGGAGATATTGACAAGTAGAAAATCATTGTATCAAAAACAGCCTTTAGGAGTGAACAGAATTGCATATATCATAGTGATAATGAGATTTACCATGCAAAAGAGGGCACTTTAGATCCACTAGATTAACAAGATATACATGTAGTTGTACCTTCATTATTATGATATAAAAACCGTAATTTGATTAATTCAATTTAAGAAATAATAACATAGTACAATGCCTATGATATTATCATCTAACTCAGATAAAACTAATAGATCGAGCAGGGTGAGAGTCTCTATAATAGGTTGTTGGGTGTATCATACATCTTTTCACATAGAGTCACACAATCTATTCACACAATCATCATTCATTTGGAATATGGTCAAACACACAACCCATTTTCACGTCCATGTAAGTTTTTTTAATGTCGCTATCAACTGTGAAAAACTACTGGTAAGATAAATACATTTGGTCTTTATCAAATAAAATGGTCCAGTTTTATCGCTATCAAGTATATCTATGAATTTTAAGTACAATCACGCTACAAACAGTGAATTTCTTTCTACTCCTCATGATCCCTGGTTTGATCATGTAGTCGTTAGTAGATGAAGAAATTATCAGCAGCACTTCATTATAACATGAAAGAAGTAGGAAAGTCAAAAGAAACGAAAAGAAAAGTATAGCAAATATACAAAAAAAATCGAACAAAAGTTATCATCTTGAAAGTCAGTCTGCTTTGATCTCGGTATCATTTGGTCCATAGAACGGAGAAAGACTAATGGTATATTTCTACTCCAACAAAAGAATGCTTACCATGGCATAATGTCTATTTGGTTATTAATGATATACATGTCTTGTATAAAATACCAAGTATTTTCTGAATATACTTACTGCTTGCATACATGAACATGAATCAAACCTTTAAGTAGGCTGCATCATGGAATGCATATCGGCATGGCAATGGAAAACTACATTCATACTCTTCTTCCTCTCTGTATGATTATTACTAAACCAGTATACAACTAGTAAACTATTCAAACATCACATGATTTGAAAAAAGAAAAGAAAATTGGATCAGTGAAAAAAATGGAAGAACATAGCTTTCAGGACAAGCCTAGAAATGCTCAGGCAAAACAGATGGCGGGGAAACTGTTCTTTGGGAGGGAAAATTGTAATATCCTTTGTACAATCATGATGTTTATTTAAACACGTTTATGGAATTAACTGGAAGTACTTGCACAATATAAAATTGGATTTCCATTTATAGCTTATAGCAATTAGAAGAGCAACATATGCTTATCATGCATCATGATCTTTATAATGGGTCATAAATCATGTTAACAAATATATATCAGCACCCCAAATTTCATATGCCTTACTATGAGAATTTCAATATGTGACATTCTCTCATATACATAGTGTATAGCGATATGTACAGGATAGCGTGTGTATAGTACAATGAAGAAAGGATTCCTCACATATCTTTTAAAGCTGGAAAAATAAGATTGAATAGACATATCATTTGAAGTACAGGTGCCATATACATTTTAATACCTCTCGTAATTTGAATTACATGATACGATTTCTACACGCAAGAATTGGAAAGAACAGGTTTACAAATATATAACATAATCCATTAAAGTAGAGCTTTGAACAAGGTCTGAATCACATGATCGACACGTGAAGGCACCAATGGCAATAAAGTCCACCTCTTTCAAAGACTAGTACCACCCTGTTCCTTGATACTTGATTCCTTCCTCTTATTTGGTCTTATTGGAACAGGTGGTGCACCTTGAGCATCACCATTCTTACTCGGTGAAGCGACTTGCCCCGGTGTGGTGGGTCCAGGGCTAAGAGGCAATGACATGGATGGTGAGGTGGCTAGCGGTGTTTTAGGTCTCTTTTCAGGGCGGTTCGGGAGAATCGGGGTGCTGCCGGACTTAGCTCCAGGAGTTGATGTGTCATTGGTATATAATCCGTTACTAGGTTTAGGGTGTGGTACAGGAGAGGTCAGATTAGATGGCCTTCTGTTTCTGGGGATGGTGGGAGGGGGAGCTCCTCTGGGGAAACTTCTAGGTTCAGGGGTGGTGGGAGAGGGAGTTCCTCTGGGGAAACTTCTAGGTTCAGGGGTAGTGGGAGGGGGAGATCCTCCGGGGAAATGTCTAGATTCAGGAGTGGTAGTGGTGGTGGTGGTGGGGTCAGGATGCATGTTGGGGGTGGTGGTAGAGGCGGGGCCGGAGTGAACAGGATCTCGGGTGACTGTATTTGACGGCGACGTTTGGATCGCAGAGGGAGAGTTGAGGTGGAGATTGGCGTTACCGGTTCCCGAAGGTCCATGTGGGATGCTGTCCTTTGCCGGGATCGCCTGCTCAGAAGAAGAAAAGAAAATATATTAATAGTGACTATGATCATGACAGTAACTTTGTCTTTGTATTGTAATAAATATTCCTTTTTCCATGCTTTACAAAAAAGAGAATTATTTTTAATCACTTTCATTCATTCACTAACCATCTTTAATATCGTCTAATAACAGCAAAAATGTTCACAGTGGAAAATATATTTGATATTCAACATGTTCATGTATAAGTCTTGAACTGTGATAAAAAGAAAAAAGAGGATGCACAAACCTTGTACCAGCTATTCACCAAATATATTCTTCAGGTATCAAAGTGGTACCAGATTTAAATTGACTTCGACAATATCTTGCGAATCTTGTACATGACTTTTCTACACAATTTTGTGATGAAGCAATCAACCTCTATAATATATCTATCTGCATGTATCTACCTATTTATTTATCAATCTAACTCCTAACTTCTTTCTGTTTCTGTCTACCAATGTAGTGAGAAACTGATGCAATGTGGATCTTTTATTTCAAGTCATTATTAGTTGAAACTTGGGGCTTCCTGATAGCATTATTCCACTATTTGGGGGAAATACTCATGCACATCATGAGTTTGGGTTGTTATGCATGCAATGTATTTCTGTCATTAGTGTAATGTTTCCCCTCTTATCTTGGTATGTATCTGCATTTCTGACAATATAGTTCATCATACTTGTATGATATATATATATATCCTGCATGAAGAATATATTGATTATTGATTGGTTGAGAGCTCTTCATGTGACCAGAAGTATTTCAACCATTTTAAAGTTGCTCTAAAAAAGTACTATTCGGGAGTACCATTTGGGAGTTGAAAACATTTTTTTTTTTTTAATTAAATTTCTTTTTTGACAGAATTCTTTGTAATTAGACTTTAATACATATTATAAAAAATTAATTTTAATAACATTCTTTTTTTTTTGGAATAAATTTTTGATGCAGGATATAAAAAATATACCATGCCTTCTTTTCAAGGTACTGGTTAAGACAGTGTATATTTGTATAATATATATGCTTCTTTCATCCGAATGGTTAATGTCATAACTGTATCTTTCAATACTTAAACCATGCAAGTTTTCTTCTCTACTTTAACAGCTGACTTCCTGATCTATTAAAAATTTATCTACATATATATATAACAATAATATTACATATATTTTTTTTTTTAAGAGCTATGAAAATACATATTTTACTGGAAATTTGTGTCTGTGCTTCTGGTAGTGGTGTTGGCAGCGATGGAGGTCGATAAATATCAGCGACTTTCTGCGAGAAGGCCGTCAGTGTGACACATATATTAACAGCCCTTTTTTCCCTTTCTTTTTTAAATCTTGAAATGTTTTATTTCATTTGTCAGAACACCAACATGAAATTATACAAAATATGTGTTACATTTGTTTTGTAGAAAATAAACAATAATGCTGCTGTACACATTCATAACTTTAACTTTAAAGAGACAGTGTAATTCATCTTAACAGAACACATTATATACTCTGACATTAATCGTTTAATGACGGAACATAAGACATCACAAGACACAACATGAAAATGAAAACCTGTATTTCTTTGATATCTTTGAACAGCCCTTTTGCCGGCAGCAGACAATTTTTTTAATACTTTTTAATGGAAAAAATAAAAGCAGATAGTGAAATTATTCACTATCTGTGGTATCTGGTTCTGCTGATTTACATACATACTCCTGTCTGTGATTGTGCTCTCCATTTTAATCAGTGCAAATATTCTGATATGGAAAAGCTGTTCTTTTGATAGAGAAAATCTCAAATTATCACAATTGAAGACTAAATTGTCTAAACTTTTTCTGGGCCCTGTTGCATAAAACTTTAAATACAATTGATGTTAACTTTGCCATCAATGGTAACTACCATGGAAACCTTGATTTTGATTGGCTGTTGAGCCCTGTTACCATGGTAGTTACCATGGTGATTGCCAATGATGGCAAAGTTACCATCAATGGTAAGTTTTATGCAATGGGGCCCTGGTATGAAACTGTCTGCATCTTGTGCATCAGTGGATTCTAAAATGCAGCACTCCAGGCACCTTCAAGCAGAGAAATGTCATGCTTGAAAAATTGAATAATTTTTTTAGTAAAGAAACACATTTCCAACTCCACATGCATTAAAACCAAGATAGAAACCCATGCTGTAATTGAGTAATTTACCACTATTTCCATTGTTAATTCTGTAATTTTAAATACAAAATCAATGTTTTTACTAAGGGCTGTATGTTCATATAACAGTGATCATCAATGGACATTTTTTGTTTAATGATTGACAATATATAATACATATTGTGCACATTTGTAGACTAATAAAAGGTGAATGAAAAGGATATCAACCAAACTGACTATCATCTTAAAATTATGACGCTTCTATAATACCATTCTGTTAGAAGATGAAAATGCTATCAGTTGAGGAGAATAATAAAATAATAAGGAAAGGAGTAATAATGCATCGATTATTGACTTTCTAAAATACGTTGTTAGCCATGCAGATGCTGCACCATCGCACAACACTTCTACAATCTGATGCTCATGCCTGCGTACCATAAAATATGACCATTCTGCTTTAAAGCATTGATGAATTCTGCCATTACCATCTAAGAAAACGTTTCAGCTGCATTAAAAAATCAATAAAAATGCATTGAGATGAGGTTTTAAACAAAAATAAAAAAATAAATAAAAAATGATGGAATGCTGACAGGAGCAGGTAAATGAAAGTCTACTTGACTAAATGACCACTAATCAATTGTCTTGTTACGCTATTTGTTAGAAATAGAGTAGTGTATTCCACAATATATTATGCAATAAATTGCATGGGAAGGGATCACTTGTTCTCTCAAAGGCTAAATTTCTGCCTTATTTTTTATGGCTATGCAACTTCAAGCTGGGAGGATATGAAGTGAACAAAATATAAATTTGATTCCTTTCTCTCAACCCAATAAACCGTTCCTCTTCTGCAATTATTTACCTGACAAAATCAGAACCAAAGTCAGACATTAACAATTTAACTGATCCTAGTTCAGGAGAAGAATATGAGAATTCATTCCATCTCAAGTTTGAATCTCTCCCAGCAGCCCAGGAATAAGCTATGATAAACACATTGCAGAAAACATCATGTACAATTGCTGCTAATATCAATAAATGATGAAAACATGTCAGTCTAAATATGATGTATGCAGCTCCTATGGATGATGTACAGATAGTGCACAGAGTGCTAGATGAATAGTTCAGTATAAAGATTTATAACTTCAGATATTGAAAGGAACACAATGACTTGTCAAAGAAAGTAATTATAGCACCTGCACTATAATTTTAGGGACATGTAGGAAATAAGTATAGGAATGATAAGCATGAACTAAAAAAAGGGTGTGATTAAAGTGGGAAGCAGGGATGGTTCCAGGATCAGAATTGTGTAACCCACCCCCCCCCCCCCCCCCCCAATCTATCCCTGGGCACCAGCCCCCATCATACTCTAAATCCACTCTATAAATAAAATAACATAATTTGATAGCATAATCATAGCCAACTAATGGTTCCATTTCATTTTCCAAAAGAAACCAGAATAACAAAGAGATTTTATATCTGTTTTGTACATTTCATATTCATAAGATAAGATCTCATATCTCATTTATAATTCCCTTTTGATACCAGCAATGTTGAAATACCACAAGCAATGAAGCGGTGTTCCCGAAATGACTGAAAAGCCATATAAGATGTAGAATGGCTATGGCTAATGTCCAGATAATTTTCTACGAAAAGAGAAAATGAAAGCAGTCTCTGAAAGCTATTGATGTACTAGGTGCCGCATGTATGATATGCAAAATGAATCTCTTCTCTCTACAGCAATGTATTACAAGCATGGCTCCCTCCCATGAGAGTAAAGATATACATGTAAATAGTGCAAAAAGTGAAACATTTCTGTGCATTCAGATGAAAAGATGGATAAGCAAAAATTTTGCATTGATAAAGTTTCATAAAGTGAGAAAGACTGAATAAATTATGACTTGTGAGAAATAAAAGTATGTTCATCATATTTCATGATCAATCAATTTCACTTTTTAATTCTCTATGAAAACTGATTTTTTTTTTTTTTTTTCTTACATATGACATCGTGGCCAAATCAATATTTTAATGAAATTTTCATTCCCCCACAAGGTGCTAAGCAAAGATGGAAGGTGAAATTTTTGATCTTTATTTTCATTTAAAATATTGACATTCATGTATAGTTCCATACCTCAAGAAAGGAGTACCCAATTGTATGTGTTTGTTTATATTTTTGTATTTCTTCATTCCATGGAAATGCAGTAATGGATTAAAATTGAAGCAGTGATTGCATCAAAGCACTTTGATAATGGAATAAGCAAATGCTACTTGAGGTTACTCAAACAGTATATATTTGAAATCATGCCTTCTGTTCAACAGACTCATTCCCAATCCAAAGCAGTAGCTGACTTACCCAGAAAAAGATAATTTTTATCTCGTAAATACTAGAAACAAGATAGTAAGACATTAACGATTGACAGGAAAGGTTTAGCAGAGGACGCGACAAATTATCAAGAGGCTGATCTGGGCCCGGTTGCACAAAACTTGCCATTGATGGTATAACTTTGTTATTAATGGTAACTTACATGGAAATCTTGATTTGATTACCTCTTGAGTGATGTTACCATGGTAGGTAAAAATGATGGCTAAGTTACCACTAATGGTAAGTTTTATGCAGCGGGGTCCCAGATTTTATTTGGGTCTTCAGCTGGGATAGAGAAGCTTGCAGAGATTTGCAGTTTAATAAAATATGCGTTTGTTTTAGATAGAGAAGTTGAGCCCCGATGACGAAAATCAAAGTAACATTTATTTGTTTGTGTCCCAGACAGCTACATGTACCATAGCAAAGTGACCCACTATTTTTTTTTTTTACTAGACATTTGTTAATCAACAGAGCACTGACCTTAAACTCTATCCATAAGTGAGAATTGAACAGAACTAAAGAAACCCTCATAACAAAACCATCAAAAAGCAAATTCCATGATTGTGAGTTTACGTGTGGTGTAGCTTTTCCTCAACTCTGACTGAGGTATTCCTAGTTTATTCATGAGTCCTGCGAGATTTCCTGATATCTATGACACCATGTCGTTATTAAGTAAAAACAAAAGTCAAATGAAATAAGACAAAAATGGGTGATACAATTCAAAGTGAACTACTATACCCATTCTACCATTGTTCATGAAGTGGTCCAGTTAAACTAAGCTAAGTCTATTTTCGAGTGAGGTGTTATGAAATGAGTTGCCAGCAGATAAAACTGGATTACCTCATATTAAGATTTACTTCCGGTAATCTAAAGTGGGAAAGATTATCAGTAAAAAAAAAAAGTAATATTTGATACAAATCATCAATTAATAAAAATAAAAAAATCTCTCAACATAAAAAGATCAAAGAGACTTCTTTAGTGCCCAGTTAAAGAAAAGAACGTAAAGTATTTGTTTCTTCACAATCTAAGTCTACAATAAAATTAATTGAATTTTGCAAAGTTACATGAATATCAAATTCCCTTAAATTTAATGCCCTTGAAATTTCTGTGGAATGTAGAATTACAGTAATTCATTTGGAAGCAATTGAATTTTTCAGACGCCATACATTCAATGATGTCGCTGTTTCCTTATATTCTTTCTTTTTGTTTTATTAAAAAACAGTACCGGTAATAATATTAAACTTAGAGCCGATTTCAGTCTAATTTTAAGCCAAACTGAAAGTCCTTCACCTCAACATTTGAACAGTAGACCTGGTTGGTAAATTGGGGGGGGGGGGGATGTTGCTCCTAACAGAGTAAAAAAGAATTATTATTCAGGTATTCATGTATGTATTTTAAGATGAAAACAGGTTTATGTTCACTAGAACTTTTCTCCTTGCAACATCCCTCATCGAATAAGACTTCAAAACCCACCGCACATGTCTTCTTTTCCCCCTACAATTGAAGTTGTAATAACTGATAAGAAGCAAACTCGAAAGCTCTGTGATAAATACAATGAAATTTAAGCAATTTCTGTGCTTGTGATAAGAAAACTGGTCATAACCATTGAACAAAATAAGAACTGCTTAATCAAAATAAATAAAACTATAGTCAAGTTTGATGAAATCCAGAGGTATACATATAGGTGGGTGTATCATTAAAAAAAAAGGTGTGATAGCATATCTCCCAGACTTACCCCAAAGAATTCCAGGTACTAAGTAGAGATATCCTGAAGGACTAGTCAATTACATGAACAATATATTGTTTACTCTTATCTCATCCATGTGTTACAATGCTAGGTATCACTCTTAGGCACATTAATGGCATTTAATTTGAAAATTACAACAAGCAGAGAAGAATTCAAGGGGTGAAAATGTCATACTGCATAGCAGAATTGATTAGGTTTATTTCAGATTAGAGCAAACAGCATAATATAGAAAATGAACTAGCACACAGCTAACTGCTATTATCTCATAACATTTGTACCCTCTACATGTTCCTATGTACCTATATTTATATATTGGAAGAGGAGGAAAATAAAAGCTAAACACAGCCTAGCAGTATAGCCACAGGAACACTTGTTAGCAGCAGTGACTACGACACTATATTACTACACAATTAAAACGGATCTATGACAACTTTAGGGTTAACTTGAGAAATAGAAAGTTTGCTGTTATATACATGTATGTGTACAGGACTTTTTACACAATGAAAAGTAATGATATGAAGGTATTCTTGGACATGGATTAATATGCTATGATTACAAATTTACATGTATATTAAGCAAGAAAATTAAAGAGGGAAATGTACAATAAAAAGATTTGAGGCATGTTGAAGAGTAATGGAAAGAGAGAGAGTAGAAGGATTGGTGACAGATTGGGAAATGAAAAGGATTACTTAGAATTTTGAACAGAAGATGACAAGAGTCAAGAAAACAAGAAGATGATGAAAAGAAGAAGAGAGGAAGAACAAGACTAACAGACAAAGAGAGAGGGGGTGGTAGGATGAAGGAGAGAGAGGGGGCGGGAGGGAGGGAGGGAGGGTGGGAGGGAGAGAGAGGGAGAAGAGGGGGAGGAGAGAGAGGGGGAGAGAGAGGGGGAGGGAGGGAGAGAGGGAGAAAGGGATGGTGAGAGGAAGGAAGGGAGAGAGAGAGGGAGGGACATAAAATAAACATGTCTTTAACAATACACCAGTTTACGGTCACATCAGTGCGCATGCACAGACATGGGTTGCCATTTTAATTGGCGAGTAAACAAAGCCAATGACCTAGAGGTCATTGGGTTTGTGCATAAATTAAGATTGCGCCCATGCAAATTATGATTTGAGCGCACAGCGCAGCGCGCAGGCAGTGATGTTATCATAATTTGCATGGGCGCAATCTTAATTACGCACAAACCACTGACCTCTAGAGGTCATTATATTTGTTTACTCGTCAATTAAAATGGTGCACACAACCGTAAACTGGTGTATTGACAACATATTCTCCTAAGATGGAGAGATAAGAAAGAAAAGGGGAATACACAGAGAAAGAGAGAGAGAGAGTTTGAGACAAAGATAGAGAAAAAAACAGAATTAGAGAGAGAGTGAGGAGGGAAGATAATGAGATTAAAGACATAATTGAACTTACTGTTCTGGAAGGAACAGGGGGAGCCACACCCTCCTCTGACACATCTGTACCAGAACAGGAGCTAGAGCTACTCATACCTACATTAACAAAGACAAAAAAAGAGGGAAAAATACATCTTTGAGCATTATAAACAGTGATTTTGATCAAAATTACAATGAAAAGAATGGAAGAATAATGAGAGAATAAGAAAAAAAACATACATACTTGGATAAAATCTAAATCCTTAGATAAAATTTATTTCCCACTTCCCATTATATAGGTATTCATTCACTACTTATCTATATGAAACACTATACAGATTTGCATTTAAAACATGGCCAAATCCGCCCCCCCCCCCCCCACACACACACACCAACATAATTTCTGACATAAAATTAAAAAACATGTCTTTAAAAACTGACAAACTATTCTCCTAAACTGGATCAAGTTTCAGAACTTACAATTTACTTTCAATATTGTGTATAAGTGGGTCATTTGAGATTCTCCAAGGGTTGCATACATGTGGAATGGCAAATCCACTCTTACATATAGAAAACCTCAACCCTTTACCATCATTGTAATAACAGATTGGAAAGAAAATCTGCTTGTACAAATGTAATTTAACTGGATACCATAAAACATGAAATGTCATAGTTGATACACAACATTTTTTAAACACAAACACTAAATACAAGAGACAGACAACATACTGCACATTAATGTTTTTCTTACATACATGTATTGGCAGCATTTCAACAAGACATGCAACAAATAGTCTCCTGTCAAAATCTGTTGTTCAAGAAGAATATCATAAAATGCAACTTTTCCTGATGCTGTCTATTTAAAAAGGCAGAAGGTCAGCAGCAAAATTGGTTGAGCAACTCTACCTGATGACCTTATTATGAGGCCCTCTTTGTATTCTCTTTCACCATAAACATGACTATGAAGGTTAATAAATGATATGCAAAATGAATTTCAATCAAAACATGACCACTTCCAAAATAGTACATGTACATGTGGGTATACTGTGGGTATGCTATGTCCATAGTAAACTTCATCAAACTTTAACAATTTTTTTACCAGGAAAGATCCAGAAGGGCATGATCACTAAAATAAAAGCAATGAGGAATATTCTGAAGAGAAAAATTAAAAAAGTGCTGAATGGTTACAGAGAAAAATAAATTATCAAACTGGGCTGATTGCTTTTGACAATAAATCTCAATGAGACTGGTACTATTAAGTTTACCTTTATGACATCTGTGACTAATCACATCTACATCAACCAGCTACATGCAGAGCTGCCAACCTTGTGCAACCAAAAAGAGGAATCATGATGGCAAAAAAAGGAATTTCAAGCAAAACAAAAAGGAATTCATAAAAACGAAACTTACAACCACGCGCGACACACTTCCAATGCAGAAATGTTCATTCATCGTGCTGTTTTTTCCATACAAGCAGGATTTTTTTGTGGTGGTTATTTTGGTATTATCAGCATTTCATTCTTATTGAGAATATTTTTCTTTTCAAGTATGTTTTAAATTTAGTTTTCTATTGAATTTGTGATCAAATCACCATTAGGGCAGCTGTTTGACGTGCGGTATATTTAAAAAATATAAAAAAAGTATTTTATGAAGAAAAAAACATAATACCGTAATTTGGAGGAAAAAACGGAGTAATTCCGGCAAAAACGGAATGGTTGGCAGCTCTGCACATGTATATTATTTTGCATGTATATATAATGCTTTTTCATGATTCCTACACAAACTCTGAAGTAAAGATAAGCTTTGACATCAGTCGTTGATCATTTTCTGAAAGATCTACAGCCGTGTGTTCTCCTGTTTTTTTTTGCAGATAACTGATGTATAAAGACAACAGCACTTTGTACATGATTTTTCTATCGAGATTGAACAAGATCATTCAACATATTCACATTCTCCCAGACTATGGAGACTGAAAGGCAATAGTTAAGTTTGCCATGCACATGATGCAGCAATGAATTACAGGCAAACTAAATGTTTAAGATTATTTGACAACAGATGAATAATCCATGTATTTGTATAAAAAAAAAGATGATGCACATTTAGCTGATGATTAATATATAACCCTATTGAATACACAAACTGCAGGAACACATTACACAGACGTAGCACAATGTAAGAACTTGCAGGGAATCAAGAGAAGTATCACTTTTTAGTGTCTTTTGATTACTGTTTGCAGATTTGGTATTTGAAATGCAAGATTCATATCTAAGAAGGAAAGCAACCTGAAGTAATTTTAACTGCTAACACATTGAAAACAGAACTTGTTCTTTTGAAGTAAAACAGCATGTACTTTACTATGGTCTTATTATCATTCAAGAACGAGCAGTCGATACATGAATCAATACATTATTGAACACTCTGTAGAAAACAATGAAAAATGTGCATTACAGCATGCAAACAAAACGTAGCAGCATGACATGACTTTCTTGAACCAATGCTTTGCAGGGAATACTGAAAGGAGAAAGTGCGACATTCACCGGATCAACAACGACGGAGTGACATGCATTGCAGTAGGACAGAGAGAGAGAGAGAGAGAGAGAGAGAGAGAGGGGATACTAAAACACACATGGTGACACAGAGACACGGCACTGAAGAGAGAGAGAGAGAGGGAGAGAGGATCCTGGTTCAGAAAGAATCGCATGCAGACACTTCAGAAGCATCTTCCCTCCAATCTATTAAAAGCCAGGTCAGCTATTCTGAATACAATGTTGTCAAGCACTATTCTGGATAACACCTGTGTACCTCATGAAATGAGCCTCGACTTTGCTGGTCATGCGAGGGACATGCAAAGACGTGTGATTTCATGTCTCACATTTGCATTCAATTTTTTTTTTTTAATCAAGAGAAAGGAGTGTCTTACAGGAACAGAATTTGAAGCAATTTAGTTAAGTATGAAATGATTTACATGCAGCAATTGACATTCTGCAGTGGATGGTACTACAATGTATGTTAGGATGATCTGAGGCAAAGTGGATCCAGACTGAATAAGAGAGAGGGAGACAGAGAGCGGCAGAGAGAGAGAGAGAGAGAGAGAGAGCGACAGAGAGAGGGGGAGACAGAGGGGGAGAGAGATAGAGAGAGAAGAAGGGAGATAGACGGAGAGAGAGAGAGGGGCAGAGGGAGAGAGAGAGATAGAAAGAGAGAGACAGAGGGAGAGAGAGGGGCAGAGGGAGAGAGGGAGAGAGAGAGAGAGAGAGAGAGAGAGAGAGAAAGGGAGAGAGAGAGAAAGACCTACGGTTGTGATCGACGCCACCTGAACCCCCAGAGCTCGGTCTTGAGCTCATCTTTCTCGGAGGAAGCTGAGGGGGGCGTTCCTCAGGGTACGAAGCCTGACTGTCTGCTGATATCCGGCTCATCAACGAAGACACAGAGGGACTCTCACTAATACGGGAAGATGATGTTACTCCAGAGAATTCTGATCATATCGCGAGTGAGATGAATGAGTTTCCAAGGAAGTCAAGTGAGTGAGGAAAAGAGATTTGTTCTATTTTTACGCATGTTGATGTTTGACGATTGAGCAATTTTGTCTTTTATAGCTATTCAAAGTAGATTCCTGATTTTAAAATTAATGAAATGATAGATGGTTACTTCTACATGTAAATGGACAGGCTGATAGCTAGGATATACAATATAACACACAAAATCTGAATAATGTAGTGAATATATGACGAGTACAAGTGCAGATGCACCAGTTTATGTTCAGACCAATTGTAAATGTGAATAGATAATTCTCTTTCACTGATAAATTCAGTTAAATGGAAACCATGCAAATTAAAGTTGGTGCCTCAAAACTAAAATTGCAGATAGGATATGTATGATAAAGCAAACAAAATATTCCTCATGTCTTCTATTCTGAATTAAAAAACTGCTGATGAAAAAAAAAAAATTACAAGTAGCTTTTACCGTTAGATGAAATGTTAAAACCAAAGAAGGCATTTGGAGGTAGCACGTGGTCCGGAAGTTTTAAACATAGTGTATCTTTAGCTCATATAAATGCATACAATGGATGTAAAGCATATATTCTATTGGTATGCTGCCAAATCAAGAAGTAAACTTTGCAATAACTTTTTTAATCAATCTAAAGCACTGCAAGTTTTTTCTAAAAATCACCATCAATCTGTTTCCAGAATTCTTAAGCAAAAGAAGAAAAAAAAGCTTCAAGAAGTAAAGTTTGCAATAATTCATTATATCGTTCTGATGGAATGTCAGTTTATTCTCCAAACCACCATGAATCTAATCCAAGAATTTTTACATAAACAAAGCTTCAATACACAAATAGGTGGACTACCACTGAAAAGGAATTATGGTAGCACAACCTAAAATAACTTTATGACATATCTACATGTGCTTGCAGTTTAGTTGAAAACAAAAATATCATCTGGCTTCTTAATGTTTCTATTGAAGTTGTTGACTTACATGTACTTATAAACTCTTTGATTAAAATTACTACAGGTATGTCACAATGGGCCAAACTGAGAAAAGGGGTTTAAATTGACACTATGGACTCGCCTATGGTTTCGACCCCACCTGAGGTCAAAATTAGCATATAGGTATATAAATGTATATATATATATAGGAAGTATATATATATATATATATATATATATATATACTTCCTATTTTAATAATACTGAACATGAAGCGGTGAGCGTCCTACAGGTGTTCATGCAGATTCAAACCATTTCTGTGAATTCTGACCATGTGTCCTCTTTATACCTCGCTTTCTAAATTCTATGTTGTAATTCTTTATGCAAGGCCTTCTAACAGTACTCTAACCAATGACGAGGCCTCCTTGCTTTTAAAGCCTGCATGAATACTTGGATAAATAAACAATTAATGTCTATACCTGAGCCGGATGAGCTAGGTCTTGAGCTTCCCTTCCTTGGTAGACTTGGTGGTCTATCATCTAGGTTAGATGATGAAGACTGACTGTCTTGAGATAAACGAGCTGAAGATACAGAGGGACTCGCACTCGTACGGTTTGAAGACGATGTCGATACCGCTGAATCAGGCACATCAGTCGTAAACTCTTGTATTGCTGATTAACAGGACCAAATGGAATAGATGCAAGGAAAATCTTTTGACATGAAGCATATAATGTATGATCTGAATGTAAGATTTTAACAGGTATATTTGTTTTGTACAAATCTGAAGTATTTGAAAAAATGTTCATATGGGTAGTGGACAAAAAAACTTTTTTATGTCATGACTCAAGAAAAGGGAATCTAGGGTTTGAACATTCTACCGGTAATCTTCTAAAACGGGGAGTAATTTATTGTTAATAAAAGCATTCTAAATGCCATCCTGTTAAAATTTAACTCATTTAATCAATGTCTTTCCAACACATCTTACTTTTTTTGAAATAAATAATCTACTTTTAATAACTTATATTAGAAGCTACTTTCATCACTACCCCCCCCCCCCCAATACAATTGATGATACTTTGCAATATATCTGCATAGAGTTTTTTTAAAAATTGCCAGGTGAAAATGGAAAATCTTCAAGTATGTACCTGTACCTGCATTTGGGTAACTGAGTGCCAGTGGTGTAGGCAAAGAATCCTTTCTTTCCTTTGTTTTTCCAGACTGCTTCTACAGAATGGAAACAAAAGCCCAACAGCTAGAGTCAATACATCTGAATTTATATCTCAACAGAATAAAAACAAGGTAAATGTTGGTAATATCTTGCAAGAGATAAGACGTTTAAAAAAAAAAAAATATATATATATATATATATATATATTCCTCATATGTTCCTCCTGGACAATATTTTGTTAAGACTTTTAATGTAAGCCATTTGCATATGTCCCCAGTTCTGACTCTTACTATTTCCCCCCTCAGGAATACACATATTAGCAAAACAAGAACAGAATACAGAAGTGAAGCAATGGCATTGACAATTACAATTATTTCAAAATGCAGCATGCAATATTCTTTTGCAAATAAAATTATAAGGTATCAGTAAATATTCTCAAGACAAAATAACAATTAATACAAACACTTCAACTAATAATGATTACTGAACAATCACAAAAATTAAAATCAACATATATAACGACAGAACATGCATATAAACATGAAATAAGTATAAATGATTATTAACAGAGAGAAACAGAATATAATACTTGATGATTGAAAGATTATTAAAAGAACTAGAATGAGAGATATTCACAAGATAAGATAACCGATGTCTCAAATGGATAGGTTAACAATGGACTTGAGTCACTACAAGTTCTAGGCATTGGGTGTTTCAATGTAAACTGAGTATGAAAACTAAGTATAGAGCAACTTATGAAATTCAGATAACAGACAACTGAAAGAATAGCGACAAAATAGCAATATCTGTTATAGTTTACAATGTCATAAAGATTCATGTGAAAGAAACTCATGAACTGAAAGAGGCTAAATCAATGTCATAGAAACTATACAACTGATGGCGATGATTGAAGTATATGAAATCTATATGGTACAGGGCATGGTTACCCCAAATGACACAAAAGCTAAATCAGAAACACTCTGGCCTAAATGGAGAAAGGTTGTCAACCATTAATCAAATTTTTACCCATTTACTTTGGTCTACCAAAAGGGTCACATTTATCAATAATAAAAAGAGTGGGGTTAAAAGCACAAACAAAGAAACAAACTTATTTTTTAAAAAGACAAAAAATAAGAACAAATATTTACACAAGTTAAACATCAACATGTCTTTTGCATCTTTGAAATCTTTTTTAATATTCCCTGTTGGTCATATTATAATCCATAATAACTATGATTAAGGAGGTTGACTTTGCAACAACAACAAAATCGTTCAAATCTGACTTTGTAAGCATTTGTGGCTGACCATATATGTGGTTTAGACAATGGTTTAGATGTAAACCGCCTTTGTTTATTATTTTCTCTTTTGAACTAATCATAATACCCCCATTGGAAAAATACTTTATATAAAATAATACCAGATGTGTGCTTCCCAGCTTTCAACATGAATCTTGAAATAATTTTCTAAAAAGCCTATATGCAAAATTACACCAGTCCTGGCATCCCCCTACACCAAAATTTAATAAATGCAGGCCCATATTTTTCTGGTGCTGCACACTGCTGAATAGCAGTCAAAACCTATCTTTGTAGGCTTATCCATATAAAAGCCTTTTAGGTGATAAAAAAAACCACACCCTTAGTCCTGTACTTAAAACAAGCAAACTGATGTTTGCAGAACAGAGAGATTTCAGATGTGAATATCACAGAACTCTCTACGCTGATGCTGAAATTAAACAACTAAAACCTCTTGATCATTCCCTTATTTATATTGTGACATGATTGAAGATTTTACAAGAATGCTTTGATATACTTGTAGCGGATGACTCTATGAACCACTTATAATGGTTTCTTTTGGAAGATACGATGGTAAATAATGTGATATCTAAGACTACCATGTTTGAATAGAAGAAAAGATAGCAAGTCCTCAGTTGACCATCCCTCTCTCAGATCTACTGTACCAATGAATGCTTCAACAAGATATCATACTGAAACAAATACTTTAAAATATAATTTGGATGTTAAATTAGTAATTATCGTCTCCTGAAAAAAATGTGTCAAATTATTAGAAGCATGGTTTGTGTGAAGCTCCGGACAATCCCATCAATAAAATCATACCATTTTCTGAACAAAATGTGTTAACAGTTTTGAATACAAAGTATACGCCCTGTGTTATTATTTGCTCTAAGCATATTAAAGCAAGCTAGCTAACTGATCAAACAACTGGTATCTATGAATGCTCGTCAGAAAGTCATCTTGGAAAGAATATGAAAAAATATACCAAAGTTTAAAGCTGAATTAGTAGAAGCATGGCGTAATAGGGTGGATTCACAATTTACAGCCCCCCCCCCCCCCCCACTGACAAGTCGCCAAAGTCCAATCTTTCAGCTCATGGGTCGACATCTTTTAACCAATGAAGCACAGGAAAATGCTCGCCAGCGATTACGACAAAAACTTATGAAATGATGTTTTTGGAATCAGCGCAAAATTTCACCCAGATAAAGCTATTGAAACCTTACCAACCAAAACTTCTGATTAAAGCCCCAAAACTCCAAGGGTATATAACAATGCCAAATAGCTGATATTCTTTTCAAATTTTTCCAAAAACACATCACATTAAAATCAACTAAACACTGGTGACGCTGGATGGTGTTTGGGATCATGAATCCACCCTATTGTGACTCTATACCATCCCGTAAAATGAAAACTCTACATGTATGCTTTCACCAGTCAATATGTGTTAAAAGGTTTGAATAGATGGCAGTTGCCAAGATATGGCAGGAAATAGCTTAGTGGCTTTAAATAGTTGTCATTTATACATGTATACACGCGTTACGTGTGTATGCGGAGCATCAATGACATTTATTTAGTATACCTGCGACGGCTCCAGAATAGTAAAGACAGATTGAGACCGATTTCGTTTCTGTGAGTACAAGCAAAGTTATTCAAAACCATTGTATGAGTACTCAAATCAAAATATACAATTGAAATGCCCGCATCCTGTCTGGCTCTGAGTGCTCTCTGAAATGGATCTGGGCCCTGTTTCATAAAACTTATTATCAATAACAAATGTCTAATTTCTATGACAAATTTGCTCTCGGCCAATCAAATGCCACGATTTCAGTAGCTTATAACAGTTATTGTAACTTGTTATTGATATCAAGTTTCATGAAACAGGGTCCAGAGCCCTGATTCATAAAACTTGTTATCAATAGCAAGTTATAATAAATATTATAATATACTGAGTTCGTGGCATCTGATTGGCTGTCAGCAATTTGTCATCGAATTTTAAGCATTTGTTTAATATCTGAAGACAAATTTTATGTATTTTATTACATGACGATAAATTTTGAATCTTGAATTGATTACAAGTTTTATGAAACAGGGCCCTGATACAGCTCATTACACTGGATGCACAAGAAGTATCTTATGTCTCCAATGAAACTTAGCCAAGTATGAGCAATTAGCTCCATGAAAGGAAGAACACAGACAAAGGTTTCAACAGAAAAAGCCCTGCCCCTGGCACACCGGCAGAGGCATGTACCTTTTACCTAAATATAGGCTGTAAAATTCTTTCATTTAAATACATGTTATTAGGTATTCCATTTTAGTTAAAGATTTGGATCTTCTTTCATGACAAAAGATAACAAATGTTAATGCTGAGAAACAAATCATGTTACAATAACCAACCACCTGCATAAGCACACACTTTAGCAAAGTCACTTTTTAAAAACCCAGCATTATCAAATTGTTTAGTAATGCCTTCCTACATTAGCTCAAATTGACCACTGGCAAGATCACTGCATTTTTGTGTGTTTATCCCTTTAAAAAATCTTTCTTGTATTACAATAATAATTTTCTAAGCTTTAAAAGAAAACAATGAAACAAACCACTGTTCTGTCCTTTTGCATACTTTTGGTACTTACTACACTGATCTGACAAACATGGCAACATTTATTTTATAGAAAAGAAATTGTATCTACTTTAAATGTTTTTAAAGCACTTTAAGATTATAATCTTTGTATATTGTAATATAACAATGCTAAACTCTAAGAATCATTGGTACATTTTGTTTTACAGTTTCTACATATATATATTCTGGAGGCCAGGTATTATATACTTTTTTAATAATTATTTTTATTAAACCCCTATTTTAAAACAATTCCATTGTCCATGACCAAACTTTGTTTGAGATTTAGATATCCAGTTAAAAGTTTATGTTGGAACAAATTTGATGACAAAATTGGGAAATTTTGTAGATAAGGTGTATTGAATAATGTATATTGAAAGTAGGCAAACAATTTTAAAAAAGAAATAATTTAAATTGTATTTGTTCTATGAAGCACGTCTAAATATCTATACAGACATTTCTCAAGTACAAGAAGGACAAAACAACATACATTACAATTTTATGTATAATTCAAATTCTCAACTATGGCATACAAATGCCAGTAGCCATCAGCATCTGTACAAACTACGTCAGAAAGAAACTGTGGAGTAAACTTGTGGTTATACAAAACAAATATAGATAAAATATCACAGTTAATGTCACAGCAGGCCATCTACATTTTGCCTACATTTTGCCAACACAAAGCAGCTTTTAAAGCAGTAAGTTTCTTTTGCAGACTTGTGCAGACTCTATGGAACTTGGCGAGTGTTTACAATATATCCTTCAGATATTGTTTGTCAAATTTTTCAGTCATAGGTTCTGAACGTTCTTTAAGAAATGAAAATCAAGCCCTTTTGTTCATATTGCTGCAAAGGGAGCTTTTCTCAAATCAACAAATATTACGGTCAAATTAATTTTGAAGTATGTATGAATATTTTTTTAGTCTAGAAAATAAACATCTGGAATTAAACATTCAAAATGTATTCAATGGAACTTCAAGTTATGGGGTTCTGCAAAAGGAACAAACCATCTTTAATATAATACAAAAGCATTAAAGCATCACTGAGAAAAGCTTCAACACAAGCACAGATGGAAACGATGAACATCCACTTTTGCAAGCACTTTAGTTTGGAAAGTTAGTATAAGACAAGACAAACTCATTCTAAAAATAAAATTGACAAAAAATAGATAGGTGTATTGAAAGCAGGCAAACTGAAAAAAAGCAATATATGTAAAATGAAAAACAAAAGCAAAAGCACAACATCAAGAACATGCAAATTCCATGTTTAAATTGTAGTAGAACATAACTAATCTCGACCATAAAACATTCATTGTTCGCCCAGATTTATCCAACCGATAAGAAATAAAAAATAACTGAACCCCCCCCCCCCCCTAAAATACTAGAAACTGATTGAATGATACAAAATATTTCACAAAATTTAAGACTCAATTCCACATTTCCCGTGAGCCCTAATGCCATTTAAGACGAAACGTGAGCAGATTTTTTGTTGTTACTCTACAAGGTAACACTGACTGTGACTTCCACTAGGTTAGTGAATCCAAGAATATTCCAGAAAATTGCAGCTAAACAATTATGACCTTCATGAAATTATTGAATCTTCAATGTCCAGGGCAATGTTTACCATTAATGATGAGAGCAGCTCATTTATGAAGAGCACACCATGTGGAATCGAGTCATAAGTCCACCAAACACAATACGATCGGAATGCAATAAAAATAAAGAAATTAAGTGCAATATCATTGAGGTTTAAAGCTTTCAACCTGTAAAATATTCCTTATTAAAGTTTCCAATGGTAATCTAAATGTGTAATTTGTGGGTACTGCAGGCTTTTTAGTCCATGAAAAGGCTAGATCAGTTTTAAATCGTAAAATGACTTGTGACAGGCCAAAATTGTGCTTCACTAAGATTTACAGCAGATTTGGGCTTTACTCCAACTAAACGACAAAACATCCTGCAATTTTTATTTTACCATTCATATGAACAATATGTCCAGGGGGGGTGTTTCATAAAGAGTTCGTAAAGTTATGCATGACTTAACGAATGTCTTATATATGAAGTGCCAGATAGGATGCCAAAAGTTTTTTTCTGATATTTCCAATAACCTCAATTAAATTATGGCAAAAAATATACTTTCCATTAAAAATGGTTGTTATAATAAGAATGTTAATCTACATCTGCACAGTTCAACTTAATAAATAATAATCAATAAGGATTAAGCATCCCATTTGGCTTTTCATATACAAGTCGTTCGTAAAGTCATGCGTAACTTTGCGAACAGCTTTATGAAACACCCCCCTGTAATTGCACCCCATTGATACTGCAATTCTGTTTAAAATCTGGTCGCAGTCAGATCGTATTGTGCATGGTGGGCATTTCTATGAATACTTTATTAAATGCTATAATGAAAATGAAAAGTGCGTTGTATGTACCGGCAGAATGCGGATGTACCCCGTGGGATCTACATGCGAGACATGATGCTTGGAATTGGGAAGAGGTGGTGGCGGCATATCAGGAGGAGGCATTCCGGGGGGCTCATGTACCTCTTCCGACATGGGGGTGGTAGTAGCAATGGTGGCTCTACCACGCTGCAATGTGCCCCCACCCTCCGGCAGCGTGCGGCTCTGAAGGGGTGGAAGGGGGTGGAAGGGGGGTATTCAGAGGAGGAGTGCGCAAGGTGGCACAAATAGATTCAGAAGAGTGGGTAGGTGGGGGGGTGGAAAAGAGATTTCAAAAATATACATAAGGGAGGCATTTTAAAGGCCAATACAAAGAGAGAGCAAATGTACAGGGGAGTGTTTCACAAAGATCCTAAGTAGAACTTAACTCTAAGTTGGACTTATACATTATTGAGAGCCATTTGTAGCTTTAAATTGAAATATATTCAAAAGCAGAAATTGAAGTATTTTAGACTTTTCATAAATTCCACATCAAGAACATGAAACCTCCTTGATAATAAAAAATATGGGTGATTTGAATCAACATTTCATGCCTTTTAAAACAACTTTTACAAAATATTTTCAAAGATGCTAATGGCTTTCCATAATTGTTAAGTCCAACTTTGAGATAAGTTCAACTTAGGACCTTTGTGAAACACCCCACAGATGGCAGGAATGCATTATTGTGAGGGAAAGGCATGCACGATGCGAAGTGGAAGGGAATTTATTATGACAGGTGGTGATAATAGGATGGGATGACAGAGATGGTGTTGATGAAGGAAGAAAGAAGGTATGATTAGGTAAAGTAAAAATAAAAGATGAAGAGGAAGATGTCCCATAATTCACGAGATTCGAATTGGCCATGTCAGATCCAAGAGAGTAGGAGATAAAGATTTGAACAGATTTGGATATAAATGAGAAGGAAGGGGTAGATATATGACAGGGAACTTGTGGACCAATTAGAAAATAAAAGATAATTAAGCTTTAGAGAAAAGCATATCTCCAATTTGAACTTTTAAAATTGTTTTAAAATGAAATATCATGGGAATTTAAAGGGATGGAACCATTTCCCTTAAAGTTTGAAAGATGGGAGCATTTGACTTTGTGCATTTAGAATGACAAATGAGGTGCCATATTAGAAGACCATCATATGATATTTAATCTTTGTAATAGAAGAATATTACAGAGGATTCATCGTAAAACATATCAAATATCATATGATAATTGCTAGGTTGCATGGTTCTCTTTTTTATTTTATTCTTCAATTGTATCAAAATGGTGCAATATTTGTTAGCTTGAAAGGCTTATTGCATGCAAGCAAATTTTTTCTTCAAGTCAATGCATTGCTCAATCAAGTCCTTCACTATTAAAAGCTGTAACCCTGCATTCATACACAAATTTAACATGATGAAAATAATTGAAGCATGCAAAATGATCTGTAAAGAAGCATATATAGTCAAGTCAACACCTTCAGCTGACTATGACACAACCAGAAATATTTTAATGGTAAAAACAAGCATGGCATAGAGATGTGGTTCGGGAAGAGCATGTATTTTGAACTTGAAGGTCCAAAGTATTTTGAGAAAGAAGGGAAGGAAGAGGTGGGTGTGTAGAAAAGAGATCTACACTGTACAAACAGAACAATAATTGCAAGTAAAGAAATGCAATTAAGAAAAACATGACTTGTATATCACACCAATTTTAGCAAATCACAAGAATATCATGTATGCATTTTTTAAACATGAATTTTACGATTAATAACAAAAAGTGTCTACCATTTTACATCTGCTCAACACAACGAGCAGAGATTCTTTTTTTTTGGAATGAGCAATTGACATCAAGGATACACTCCAATGGAAACAATTTATGAAAATTGTCATCTATAAATGCTACAACATCGATACAACTGATCAAGCATACAATGCAATTTTCTATGTTACATTCACATTAACACATTTCAAGCACGGAGTTGATTTCTTTTGGTTCGGTAAGCACTGCTACGTTAAGTCTTATCCAGCAAAGTTCTCATTAGAAAGAGCCATTAGATGTACATGTATGCTATACATTACCGGTACTGGAATCTCCACTGGTGTTTGAAAGTAGAACATGCTGTTTTTTCTGTCCGGCTTGGGTCTGCAAATATAACACAGCCAAATTTGATTTGATTTGATTTGATTTGAACTGGTTTATTGATAAAAAAAAATATACACTCAAAATATCAGCCAGAGGATGAAACAAAGTGAATTTACAAAATGTTAAAAAATTACATCAAAATACAATAGCGGTACATAAAAATGGTTTGATAAAATACAGTACCGGTAATATGTACAATAATACACAAAGTAGGAATAACATTGCACAAAAAAATCATTAAGGAAATGGAAGAGGACAGGGAAAAGACAATGACAGACGAGATATGGCTTGAAAAAGAAGAAGAAGAGGGAGAAAAGCAAGTTTGGATAAATATTGAAATTTTGAATATTGAAACAGATACATGTATTGTGAAGTACTGAAACAACAATAGTTACACAAAAAATTCAATTCTGAACACAAAAAGCTACCTCCATTAACCGTTTATAAACTTAGTGGTTATGGAGAGGTAAAAGGGCTCATTACATAGCATTAACTTTTTTCATTTTACATTTAATCTGTTTTGTACTTACTGTTGCAAGTTCAAATCCGATGTATTTCTTTTGAATGTTTTGGGTCCAGATGAGACGTTTGCCGGTGGTGGTGGTGCAGCAGACTGGACTTGTCTAGATGGAGGCCTGGCCTTGGAATACACTTTAGGTTGGCCCTACAAAATGGACATTCAAATTATCTTCTTTGTAAATCATCATGTGGTATTTAACATCTTCCCAAAGCAGTGAAAAAAATACATGGGGGCTCGGGGCGATTTAGCCCCTGAAAAGCCCAAAAGAGCCCCCAAAATTTGCATAGATTTCAATGCAAAACTAATTATTAAAAGAGTGTTATTTTCATGCAAGCAAGCTTAAAAAGTAGCCCCCAAATTTGATAAAGTATTTTTTTTTCCCTGTCCCAATGGCTCAACAAATCAAGTCAAGGGAATTTTAAATCTTTAAAATCCTTAAATTGGTAACACATTGAGAGATTCAAAATCTTGTTTTTTTCTTTCAAAATTAGCCATTTTTATTCAACAACATTCTCAACCATTATATTATTACCAGAGACATTACATTTTATTTTAACATTGTACAAACAAATAAAAAATATTATGGTTGCCCGTTTGAAGAATACCGGTACACTTAACCCTTCATAAGAATTTGTAATGGTGTGTCTATATGACAAATGATTAAAGCTATGCATAGAAGGTAGGCCTACCCGCTGTATGCCTTCCTCTCAAAAAGTAGGGCACACCCAGGGGGTAACCTGAGTTCCCCAATCAATATACACATGTATGTATATGCATTAGGATGAAAGGGTCATAGTTAGGAAGTTTTATATTCCTCTCCTAGGCACAGATCAATACAAATAATTAACAATAATAAAATGAACCCATAACAATCAAAAGGTGGTGTCAGACAGAGGCTAATTATCTAGATAATTGGCTGCCAGTCATCAATTATCCCACTGAAAAACCCCATGAATAATCCCACGAAAAAATCCTCTAACAAAACGAGAAAATTCTCCCTTGATAGGATTTTCACAGGATTTTTTGCTGGCTTTTCTGTCTATCATCAATGTTAAAAAATCCCTTTAAAGGTCAGTGTAAGTTCAACTTTTAACTTAATGATTGTCAGGTATATGGTTTTTAGCGTGCTATTATAACCTGCGCACAATTGTATTAGCGCACATTTAATGAGACGTGTTAATTGCACATTACTTTTGATTGAGCGTATGATGTCACGGTGCATTCGCACTGGCCCTTCAATTATCTAGAATTATCTAGATAATAGTAATCTTGATAATTCGTAGCCTGTCTGTCACCTACGTAAGTGAATTATCTAGATAATAAATTCTTTTTTTGCTTCCATATGACAGTATAGATGAATTTAAACAAGACTTACCAGGTCAAATTCCTGCATCCGCTTGGCCAGTTTCTTCTCCAGGTTGAGATGGAAGCCCATCAATTCTTCAGAACACAGCTCCTTGTGTAGCAATACTCCGTCATCCAAGATATTCAACTATTACAACCAAGAATATTTCCATTTTCAATTGTTTCAGTGTCTTTTTGCTCTCTATGTATTATTCATTTACAGTCAACATTTCAAATATATATTTCTTGTTTATTTCTTACACTGTAAGTCAAGTGGGTACACATCATTCTACATGACTAAGTGTTTGTTACATCTGAGCTGCAGTCTGGGTTTATTAAAAATTGAGATGTTTTTTTCTTTTTCTTTTTTTAAGGGAGGGGGGGGGGGGAATGGGGGTTATAAAACAAAAAAACATATAAGTTATATATCTATCATTCAAAATTTGCCAGTTAACTAAAATATTGTTGTTCTTTCTTTTACTTATATTTAACATTATTTTAACATATCTCATCCAGTTAATTTCATATACAGGTTTATATAATATGTTAATCGATCAGGAATGCTTGAAGAAAAAAAAATTAAATAATGAAATTTAAGAATATAATTCTACCTGTTCAATCATTAGCTCCTTGAGAGTGATGATAGCCTCCTTGTCTGTTGGGTTGTTCTCCCCATACGCAGCCGTCAGAAACACCTGAAAGTAAAAAAGAGACATATGAAAGATATTTAGCCCAAAAATTTGATTGCCAACAAATATTTTACTCAATTACTGTCTATACTTTACTTCTGGAAACTGAAATACATGTACATATAGTTACCTGAATATGATTTAAAGGTATAGACTAGTTTTGGAAACACCCCCCCCCCCCCTCTCAAAAAATGAAATGGAAGCTCTTATTACCAATCATGTGAAAGAATATGTATTGACTAATACATGATGATACAAATTTTGCCGGGAAATCTCCTACTAATTGATATAAATTAGTAAATTATTTTATCTATCCAGACCAGATAGATATTGCACATGTGTCGCGTAGTCCCATATACATCGTTCTGTGTACAGTGCTTGTAACTTCACCAATACTGGGCCAAATTTCTTATCATTTTGATGATTCCAGAACCTTGCAGTACACACCAATACTTATATGCTAGATGATTAACCTTTTCTGATCGATTCCACAACCTTTCTTTTACAATGCAATCGCATGACCAGAACTGATCTATACCTTTAATTCATGGAAGATATTTCATGTCCATTCATCACTAAAGCAAAGCATTATAAGTCAAATGTTTATGCCCACGAGTTCATATATGATTCATTGTCCAAAAATGAAATGGGTCCAGAAGGGGTTAACATCATTATTGCATGAGCAAATATATAGGCAGACTGATGTTAAAGGCCGACTGCACGAGTTCAGCCAGAAGGGATTAGACCACACAGCGAGTTTACTGATGGGTGGCTATCTCATTGACTCAGCTCTCAATAAACATATGAAAAAGGGGATCATGGGGGACCAACAGGCACCGATTGGGGAAGTTTTCCATATAGAGGGAGCAAGTAGCTACAAGTAGGACAGTGTGGCTTTAAGGGCTTACATCTTGGTAGACCTTGATGCCTCCCTGCACTGCTGCCTCGATAGTTCCTTGCAGCACCATACTAAGAGGGTTGATGTTGGAGTTTCTATGGGCCCTGTGTCCTTGGATCTGTACTTGCATCGATGTGTTCTTCTCTCTCATCACGTTGACTGCATTGGCAATGGGTCGGATCTCCTCCTACAAAATAATAATAATAATAATAATAATAATAATAATAATAATAATACATGACTTATATAGTGCCATTATCTATTTCAATTAAATGCTCACGGCGCTTCAATATATTAGGGAGCACATTACATCTTGACAAAGAATCAACAAGACACCCAATACAATTCATAACAAGCAGTGTTGTTATTATTCACCATTTTGAAATGATCTAAAATCGGTCCACATTATTATGGGCAGCAAGGAAACAAACATATTGAATTGTTTCTTTGTTTAAAGCCTCTCTACACTAGTTTGGCCAGTCACTGACAGGCGGTTATCTCATAAAATCAGCTCTCACTTAACATAAGAAAAAGGGGATCGCATGGTGGACCAACAGGTACTACTTAGGCATTGTTTGCTATATAGAGGGCGCAAGTACATGTAGCTACAAGTGGTGCAGTCCCGCTTTAATTAATAGTAATATGTTTTAAGTTGGTCTGAAGTACTGCAAAAATTAAGCAAACACCAAGGACCTCCCTACACGCCTCAAAAGTTTTATTTTCTTCTGAAGAATAATATAATAATTATAATGGATTTTTATTTCGCTCATATCCATCATGCTGTGGTGCTCATGGCGCAAAGACATTATTACCCTAGCACTCGGGCATACCAGCTACCCATTTACACATGGGTGGAGAGTGGCGAATGTTTTGCCAAACGATATTAGTGCCAGGGTGGGAGTTTGTTACCCGCACCTTATGATCCACAAGTCCAGTGCCTTCAATAATCACTAGACCACAACATATATTGCATGTCATACAAGCTTGGTCTAGAAACAGCCAACTTACTTTATTTAGATCTTTAAAAAATTACTAAAGAAAAAGGACGGAACTACTTGTCACGGAACTACAAAGATCAATTAGATATGTAGGTCCTGACATTTGGAACGCTTTGCCACCTGAAATATTTTTCTTAAAATATTATCGTTAACTTTTGAGGTACATGTTGTATAGTGCTAAATGTGTTAAGAAGAGGTAATGTGTATTTCATTGTTTTGGCTTGTTGTTCAAATACGTTAAGGGGCATAATTTTTGTATTTTGTTTTATTTTTGTAACGAATGTCATATTTTAAGCCATGTTCTATTTTTACCTAATAATTATCAACTATGTTACTTAGGGACGTTGCGCTTCAAACATTTTTTATTTATGCATTGTTCCTACTATGTATTATATATCAATGTATCCCACTGTAAACAGTTATTTTACATGGTGAATAAATAAAACAAACAAACAAACAAACAAACAAACTCCAATGCTAGCGACCACGTTTCCATATGGTTCCTATATAGAATCGACCCACTGAGTACCAGGAGTTAGCAAAAGGTCCCAAACATTCACAAATAGTGGCAAAGGATTGGCAAACAGTTGCTAGTCTTCGCAAAAACTGCCGCTTACATTTGTTTACAGTCGCTCATAGTTGCCAACTGTCTTTCGCAAAACTATGAAAATTAATCAGGAATACTACTTACCACCACAGTCTTGACGATCTCAGACCAGCTCAACAGACCAGGTAGTGGTGAGCCTGTAGTCATGAACGTTCTCTCCACCCACAGGGTCTACAAACAAACAAAACAAGAATTCCCTCAATTCTCCTGTCCATCCAGTGGGTTTCTCAATGACATGTCTCTGTTCTTTGTGAGGAATTATAGTTGAATATCATCATCCTTTAATACATTTTATAATTTAATTTTTAAAATCATCAAAACATAATGCACTTTCACAATGTACAAATAAAGCCGATACTTTTTAGTGGGGGCTATATCAAGAACAGCACAACAAGCTCAAACCAGTCATTTCTTCGACTGAAAAGCTGAAAGTCAGTTGAGGAAACAAAACAACTTTTACTACAAATTCATCATCTCAGAAGCAAAGCTATCAAATGAATTGACAGTCTAAATAAGATAATGTTTCTTTCATTCATTCATCCTTCCCCCACTTCCATGATCTAAAACAGAACCTCATTATCCCTAGACACTGACCCCATTATCTTGTGAGTCTAGACATTGACCATTAATGACCACCCCAGAGAGTTAACTTGAAGGAACCACATTTCAAGAACTATGACTCATAGGCCCGATCCCAGTCACTTGCACTGTGCATCACCACACCCCCTTATACTAGAGCAATCCCGGTGGACAATCAACTATTGACAAATCAAAGCATGTTTAGATTACTCAATCCCAAATGATAACTCCCCTAGAACTTCATGATTTATAAGTGAAGTTCCTAAACTAGAGAAGAGGAGATGACTTTCAGAGTAGAACAACATTTTTATACTTCAGACAGCATGAGTAAAGTTATCCATTAGACTTGTTATCGACTTCATTGTTAATTAATCATATCTTTGCGTGGTTCTTCAATAAATGCTATTCTTCAACTGTATTTTTACCTTGAGCCTTTATGCAATTTATATTGCATTTATATTGCGCTGGCAACGGAGTAAAACTATATAATCCGATCCCACAACAAGACAATAAAGTGATAAGTACCTTGAAATCCTGTGTCTTATCCCTCTCTCCTCTATGGAATGGTCTGTCGAAGCTGAAGACGCTGATGTCGTAGTTCTCTGCAAAGTAGCGGATGTTTGGAGGAACGTTGCCCTGCAGGTGAGGGTGCTGGGGAGGAACGCAAATCACGTGTCTCACCTCGATGTCTGTAGCATGGCATGTTAAGGTCTATTCAAGACACTCAAATCTAACTTCAGTTTTCTATTCAATTTGTGATCAAATCAACATTTTAGGGCAGTTGTTTGACGTGCGGTATGTAAAAAAATAACAAATAACAAAATAAATAACAAAATAAAATAAAAATAAACAAACGTATTTTATGAAGACAAAACGTACTACCGTAATTTGGAGGGAAAAACAGAATAATTCCAGGAGAAGCATAATGGTTGGCAGCTCTGTTTAACCCTGTTACATATATATATTGGAGTAAAAAAGAAGACCTTTCAGTTTTAACAGTGTGAATGACTACGGTAACCTCATGCATTCTGATTGCAATCATTCAACACAGAACAGATATAAATATAACTGACCTTTGGTGCCGAGTGCATGTACAATATGGATAAGAATTGTCATAGTCAAGTGGTTTTTGCACTTGACTTGAAATTCAAAGGTCGTGGTTCAATCCCCGACACAGCACTAATGTCCTTTGGCAAGGCATTAATCTACAATTGACACACTCGACCCATGTGAGGTAAATGGGTACCTGGCAGGAATTAATTCCTTGAAATGCTAGTGTGCTGTAATGGCAGCTAGGCTAAAGCCGGGGTAATAATTAATGTGTGACTCGGAATAGAATTGTCTCTAGACGGCATTATATAAATACCTATTATTATTATTATTATTATTATTATTATTATTATATGTAAGGATACATTGATCATACAAGAGCAGATCTTCTTCTGTAGGAGGTGCTTTGCCAGTCCATGGCTTAGCCTGGGGGAAGTCTGCCTGGAATCTCTGGATCACTATCTGAGGTTGATCAAACGGCTGACCTCTGTAGATGTACTCACGGTGCTGATCAAAAATGATAAAGATGTAAACATGTACTGATGAGCACTCATTTATGAAAACAAATTAGAATAAATGATACATTTTATCCATTATAAAGTAATCATAACTTGAAATATGTTTCCAAACAATACAATAGTACTAATAATAGTACTATGGCATGCACTGAAAAAGTAAATAAATGTAACAAACTGAATTTTTTTCTTCCATAGGAAGAGTTAATTTCAAAAGTTGTCTTGATTTCTTCCATAGTACAGAAATATAAATCAGCTGCTCTTAAACAAGTTTACGATGAGACATAATATGCAATTAATTGAAGTGTGAGAAAAAGTGGTTTGTATGAGATATGAGTATGGATAATTGAAGATGGTTGATTTGAATACTCTGTTTAATACAGAACTTCATATCAAAGTTGATATTACACTACTTTTCCCATGAAAACTCAAAGTGGAAAAGGATAATTGATGGTTTCCTTAAAAAAGTAGACAATTTACAAAATGTGCTGAATAGTAAATGTACAAAAGATGATATGGTGTTTTGTTTAGAGAAGATAAAAATGCCACAATATTACAAGTAGATGGTAGATACTTGGTTTGAGTTCAAAGAGACAGTAAAAAGTAATATAACAATTGATTTACAATGTATTGATGTTAAAAGTGGGGACATATAGTTCAACTCAAATATAAGAGATCATAACCAGAAAGTATTATTCAACGAAAAAATGGTTTGATGTAGGCCCTTTGAAAATTAACGATATTGTGAAAGACTCTAGATTTATGTCTTAAAAAGAAATTGAAGAAAGATTTGAGAAAAAAACATGCTTCTTTTTTTCAAGAATATAAAATCATAGTTAATGCGATTTCCAAAGTTGAAAACGGAATATGTTTAGACAGATATATGATGCCAAGCAAGAAAAAAAATGAAGCTCTTATGAAAAATGTTCGAAAATCAAAGTTTTTTTACTTTACGATTTTTATTTATTCAATTGTAAGACCTAAAATTGAAGACAAATCGGGAAAAATATTAAATAGTGCAGAACAAATTGACTGGAAAGTCATAGAGTCATTTGATTTACGAGCTATGAAAGAAAACAAAATGACAGAATTTAATTTTAAGTTGTTACACAATTTAATACCAAATAAGTATAATTCATCCAGATGGAAATTATGTAATAATCCCTATGTACATACACAACACACTTCATTTATTCGTAAAATGCAAACACACAAGATTATTTTGGTTAAGATTTGGAGACATTATTTGAAAACTTTACAGTGTTGATTTTTCTTTTGACACCTTGTTTTCATTAAAGGTTATGAATTGAAATAAAAATGTTAAAAAGTTTCTTATCATATGCGTAAAATACACAGTTTATCTAACATTTATGCAAGCAGAAAAATTGCAAACTTATTTTCACAAAGTCTCTATTCTTTGTATCTTCAAAAGATTAGTATGTAACTGTTTAAAGATCGAAAAGTATTGTAAAACAAATACCGGTAGGTAATGCATTTTTGAAAACCCTGTAATTCAAGAAAATGAAACATGTTTTATTTGAATTATGTAAGGATGCTCTGATGTTGTTTCAATTGATTGTATATGATTGTTTGATATGTTAAAAAGCATATTTTTATCAATAAATTCATTTTACAAAAACAAACAAAAAGACCAAAAAAAATTAAGTTTTAGAAGAGGAATGTTTCATGATGAATACTTACTTTTCTGAGGATGGGGAAAATACCGTAGAACTTGATCCTAAAGAAGGTCGGTGGCTGTCTTGGTTGGTTCCGGATGTTCTCAAAGAACTGAGCTTGTGTGACCTAGAAAGTGTAAAATGGTTAATACAGTTTACATATTACTGGTAGGTACTCTTCATGATGCAACATACACATGAGCCTATCTACCTGACCAGGGGAGTGTTTCACAAAGACTAAGATCGACTTATTAAGTTGGACATGAAATTTGGCAGGCCGTTCATGCCACTAGTTCCTCTAACCATTCCTAGCATTGGTTTCTCAAGGGACGTACACACAGTGGTCACAAATCTACTGATTTTACTTTTTTGATAGTTCATTATTGAAGGAAAAAAAAATTGTTTCTAAAGATAATAATTTCTAGCTCAAGCATTAATCGCATACTGTAGTTTAAATCCTAGTCTTCAATATAACTTAAGTATACAATGTAAGTTACTTTTTTCTTCAACAATGAACTATAGAAAATGTAAAAATTATGTAGATTTGCGATGTACCTTGAGAGACCAACAGTGAGAGCAACCAGTGGCATGAATGGCCATCTAACAACTAAAAATGCCGTTATTTACTGAACAAGGATTAATAAACATTTCAAAAAATGAAAACTTTGCCAAGCCCAGAATACCAATGACACAAATAATTCTATTAAAAAATTGTCAAAATTTATCTTTCATTAAGACTTACCAGTTGTACACTGAGATTCTTGTAGTCAAACTGCTTGGACTCATACTGAATAGCCAACTCCTTACAAAGAGGAATGCCATACTCCCAAACCTAAGATTAATATACAATACAGGTACACGGAATTGAAAATCTTATATAGAATTACAAATCACTGTTTACAAAAACAAGAACTGATAAATGCATACATGCATACATACATAACATAATGTACATACATGAATATATAGGTCATAAATGCACAAACAAGACATGCATTTTTGTAGGGATGATGTAGACCTACACAGTGCATGTGTGTTCTGATGACCAGGGCCACCCTCTTTTAAATATTTGATATTAATCGCAACTTCTTTGTGATTGATATCAATTGCAACTATGAGACTGCAAACTTGAAATTGATTGGAGAACTTGCCATTGATTTGGATCAATCGCAACTCTTTATAATATGGGGCCCACCACTATGATAATTTGCTTACACCTATTAAAAGTGTTCATGAGAGGGGACTAGTGAGCAGTATACATGTAACTGTACATCATCATACCTGCCAACATTTGAAAATGAAAATTAAGAATTTTTAGCACGGTATGTCTTCGAAAATAAGAAATCTGTACCCTTAACAGGCGTTCGCACATGCAGCAGCAGTGTAACTGGCAATACGCGGTAAATCTGTGCAAAAAAGCAAATAGAAATTCGCTGCTCAATCATGCAGCCCTTCAACGCACGCGATATGGAACTCTCACATCGCGGCATATAGTAAAAAAAAACTTAATTTGGCTTAAGCAACACACACAAAAAAAAAAAAAATAAAAAAAAATCGAAATTTCCGGATTTTGGGGTCCTAAAAATCCAGAAAAACAGAATATTCCGGATTATTTGGAAGGGTTGGCAGGTATGCATCATTATCACCACCATTGCTAGTTACATGTGTAGCCTTTCAATTGGGAAGATTATCATCCTTATGCATCAATCCACAGAGCTACAACTCATTTCTTACCTGGCCTTTCTTGACGAGCTCGATGATTTCACCGTAGAGCTTGGTCTTGCGTTCGGCTTCAGTCTGCTGTTCGTGTTTCTTGTCCGAGGGTAGTACATTGTCTGTCCAGTCCAGTGTCATAGCTAGCATGAGGAGCGTATGAGCTGCTTCGGTGTAATCTCCCGCATGTAGATGGAGATCGTGGAGATGGTAGATGTATCTCATGTAGATGTCCTTCCGTCTCTCATCGTCCTTGTAGAAGTTCTGATTGGGGAAGATTAAAGGTTATGCAAAGTTTTGGGAAATTTTGAAAATTGGATGAATAGTAATTCTTTAAAATTTTGATATATTTGGATGCCCCTGTGGATGTACATGTATTATAAGCACTAGAAAATTGAGCCTCTAAAAAAAATTCTGCTTTCGAAATATTGAATAATCAAAAATTTACTAGTGCTCCCGGTAAATTTCAAATATTTTAAGTAGCGCCTAAGGCCATTTTTAAGGTAGCTTTGACCATGAAAATCTCAGAATATGCAGTTGTGATATATAATTTCCAAACAGGAATAGCAAATCGGTCGATTGTAGTCAAGAAACATTGTCTTGAGAAGGAGCTATACAACATAAAGAGCTCATTATTTACAATTTCATCACTTAAGACTCGATTTCAACCGCGACAATGATCATTGAATATTGTAAAATCGAAAATGCTTCCAATATGTTCATTTAAACCAAATTCATGACCCCATACCAAAACTTTGAATTACCTTTAACATGAGCATGAAACATCTTGAAATCAAGTCGCAGTGTACCAAATAGTTATTTCCTCTCCATAGTAGCAGGCTCTCATGGGGAATTCAACACTATTGGGATGTTTATCCAATAGCAGGTGTTGTCAATCACAAGGATTGGCCTTCAGTTTTTATAACCAATAGGCCTCATGTAAATGCTCTGCACTTTTCACCAATAGCCCAACATGGAAAAGTCATGATCTCACCCAAAGACTCTCTGACAGACTAGGGTTCTTGTTGTGACCACATATTTGCTGTGTGCAAGACTTGTACACCCATTAGAGGTATTTCCACTAAGTCTGGTGTCAGCCAATTATGACCAACTGCACATGGAAACTGAATACCATCTCCCTTTAATTTTCAACTACTCTTCAAGGAAACGTCCAGAGACAAGGGTAACCTATTTTGCACTGCAATAGTTACATAGATTAATTAGAGACAGACACTGAGTCAGGAAAGCAGGAGTTCCTAAATACCAAGAAGACTTGTAATAAGTGGGACAACCTTGTCAAATCAGGGCAAGCACCCTCAACCTTGCAGCAGTGCAGTAGTATCAATATTTGACTTTTAAATATTGCGCTTGAAATTCTTGAACACTAGTTCATTTGTACTTTTTGGTATAAAAGAATAATTCTCAAAATTTTCCTGAAAGCTAAAGAAAAATGAGGATGAAATAGAGAATAAACAACATGTGCCCAATATGAAGAATGCTTGAGCTTGAAGAATGAATGTAGACTTGGGGTGCGTTCAAGCGACACTTTTTTACCCTAGAAACAAGGTTTTCAAACACTTTTAGTTCAAAACACAGTTGCGATTTCAAGCGATTTTTCGTCGGTCGTAAAAATAAAAGTGTTTCAAAATGTAAACATGAAACACTGAAAAAGATGCGTTTTGTATCCTGATTCTGCAGAATCACCGTCGCTAAAAATCGCTTGAACAAATGGAGATCTCAATCATGATTCTATAACATAGTTATCGTGACCTGCTTCCGGTTTGGCCGACAGTCGACCATAAACAAATTCAGAAAGCAGGCGGCGAAGTTGACCTATACTTCCTGGGTCAACTGCGCAGTTTGATGAGCAGTGGCTGGGCTTGAAATGAGCGAGAATCAGCGTTGATGAAAAATCGCTTAAAGATGAAGTTGAGTACTGGTCATGCGATTGCATTGTGAAAGAAACGGGGTGGAACCGACCAGAAAAGGTTGATCATCTAGCATATAAGAATTTGTGTGTATTGCAAGGTTCTGGAATCATCAAAATGATAAGAAATTTGGCCAAGTCTTGGTAAAGTTACAAACACTCGCACAGAAAGATGTATATGGGACTACACGAACACGTGGCGTAAAAAGCCGGCCCCCGATTTTTACGATGTTACATGCATATTTAGAATATGAAGGCATTTGAAGAGCCATGCTTTTCAGGGAACATGTCTTAGCTGATGTTCTTCCACACTTGCATAATAAGAATGAGTAATGCTCACAAATTATTTTTCACCTCTTCCCAGAACTCAACCTTCTCTTTAAACGCTCTCCCGCAGTAACCAAGTTTTTTAACGGCGTTTTGATTCGTGATTCATGTTTGTGATTCTAGCTTCAAAAAATCGCTTGAACGCACCCTTGGAATAAAGAGAGGGACTACTCACCATGAGTTGGTAAAGACAGCTGAGCTTGAGGTAGCGGTTCTCGACCGATTTGTTACAGACATTCCTGTAGTCGATCAGTCTCTCTAGTAGACGAGTAACCTTCTCAACAAACTGCTCTCCTTCTTCCTGCCACGGCTGTGTGGAGATCTTTTCTCTCAAGCTGTGATACACAGATGTGAAGTAAACCAGGCATTGACTAGACAACTTGGATCATAGGACTGTTCGAGTCCATGTACATATTATTTAGCTCTTTCAACATATAAACCACTAATGTATCTTCAAAAGAAATTTAATGAGTACACATGATGTGCAGATTTGGAATTACATTATTTAAAACCTTTCTCTATTATCATTCAAATGCTTTCCCAGTCTATAATTTCAACATCAATATTCCATGTACATCCAGAATACTGGTGTGATCAATACATGTTTTTTTCTTCACTATTATAAAACAGGTCGAATAATTATAGATTCTGATAAATTGGGATGCTTACGGCTACCGATTCTAAATGACTTTCAAAGCTTACGTGTTATTGAAGAGCACTGTGTATTGTTCATCACCATTGTTCTGCACACAAACCATGTGATCAAGTTTGTCAATCAGATCATCCTCGAGCTAAGATTTAAATCAAAAACAAAAAGAGACTTTCTTTAACCCCACCATGTTCAAACTAAAAATAATGATAGTAATAATAATAATCACAAGAAAATTTTTCTACGAGATCCATCTGAGACTATTAATGACATTTTGCAGCTAAAGTGAAAAATCAAAGTTGGAGAGCCATGCAATGCACTCATCTGAAACAAGATGGACATCCTATAAAAACAATTTAATTACAATATAAGGCGCATTTATACTGTCAAATACCTCATTTTGAAAAGTCGCGATGTTTCGCGCACCCGTTTACACTTGTGCGGAAACATCTCCGACTGAAAAGCTCAGTGATGTTTTGGCGAGTTTCAGTTGGTAATGCGCATGCGCGGCACTCCGATGCAAACACTTTCCTCTTTCTATCTTCCCTTGTTATTCTTTGTTTTTCCTTCTATCGCCTTCTCTTATGTTATTCTTTATCACTTCCTTCTATCACTTTCTCTTTCTGTGTATCCTTATGTTATTCTTTATTTATTCCTTTTATCACCTTCTCTTATGTTATTCTTTGTTTTTTTTAATCATTCTATCACTTTCTCTTTCTGTCTTTCCTTATGTTATTCTTTGTTTTTTCCTTCTATCACTTTCTCTTTCTGTGTTTCCTTATGTTATTCTTTGTTTCTTCATTTTTGTATCACCTTCTCTTATGTTATTCTTTGTTTTTTATCATTCTATCACTTCCTCTTTCTGTGTTTCTTTATTTTACTCTTTGGTTCTTCCTTCTATCACCTTCTCTTATGTTATTGTTTGTTTTATCATTCTATCACTCCCTCTTTCTGTGTTTCCTTATGTTATTCTTTATTTATCCATTTTATCACCTTCTCTTATGTTATTCTTTGTTTTTTTTATCATTCTATCACTTCTGTCTTTCCTTATGTTATTCTTTGTTTCTTCCTTTGGTATCACCTTCTCTTATGTTATTCTTTGTTTTTTTTTATCATTCTATCACTCCCTCTTTCTGTCTTTCCTTATGTTATTCTTTGTTTCTTCCTTCTATCACTTTCTCTTTCTGTGTTTCCTTATGTTATTCTTTGTTTCTTCATTTTTGTATCACCTTCTCTTAGGTTATTCTTTGTTTTTTTTATCATTCTATCACTTCCTCTTTCTGTGTTTTTTTATTCTATTCTTTGTTTCTTCCTTCAATCACCTTCTCTTATGTTATTCTTTGTTTTTTATCATTCTATCACCCCCTCTTTCTGTGTTTCCTTATGTTATTCTTTGTTTCTTCCTTCTATCACTTTCTCTTTCTGTCTTTTCTTATGTTATTCCTTATGTTATTCTTTGTTTCTTCCTTCTATCACTTTCTCTTTCTGTCTTTCCTTATGTTATTCCTTATGTTATTATTTGTTTCTTCCTTCTATCACCTTCTCTTATGTTGTTCTTTGTATATATCGTTCTATCATTTTCTTTAAGGACGACATCTAGCTCCGCTCCTAACGTTACGTCACCTAACATCGCGATGTTACAACTGCGAGCGTTTATACTTGCGAAACACGCCAAAACACGCCAAAAGATCACACTTCGATTTGGAATGTTTTGGAATTGGCATTTCTGCCGGTAATGCGTTGTTGCCCTTGGTAACATCGCGGCCAGGCTCCGGTTTGGCATTTTTTGGCGTGTTTGGATGACAGTGTAAATGCCCCTATAGGTTATCTTTGTTTGAGCTCTACAATTTAATCACCTATACACAATATGTACCTACAATGTAATCTCATTAGCATTTAAAGGCATCGTTTAACAATGTTAAATTTGAGATGCATGGCCCGACGTGTTATCAGTGTCTGTGATATGGTGTAGTATTGAAGCCCTAAAAAAATTGCGCTTCAAAATGATCATGCAGTGCCTCAAAAAAGTAAGATCTTTGAGTGACCAGTGCTCATTTTCCCCAATAGACTGTAGTGCTATAAAAAAACGTTGGAAAAACGGTTTTAGATATATCACAAATATCTTGATAATTAGACAGGGGATCGGCTTGTAAATGTCATGGGATTCATGACTGACCTAAAGGTTTATAATTATGATTGCAACATGAGCTAAATCAAGAATTTTTTTAAAGGATCTAAGACAAAGTTACCGGATCCCTTTAACCTATAAAAGATAAATACAAACACAATATTGGATATGTTGGACTGACCTTGATGAAAGAAGACTTCTCCTTCATCTCGGAGCACATGATGTCAAAGATGAGCGGCAGACTAGCCTTACGTATGGCATCATGGGGTATCATCGTCACCTCTAAGAAATTCCGCGTCAAATGACTGAACTGACTCTTGTACTGACCTAAATCGAGGGAAAATTTTGAAATGAATGCTGAAGACAAGCATAAAAATAGCACCAAAGTCATATGTGTACTAGAATAGCTATGCATTGATCAGACAATCCCGCCAAGATTGATTATAGGCATTCCTTCATATACTTTGTGCTGAATATACATGTACGACTGAGCTGACTGGCTGGAATTTCTCTTTTATTGGTGGAATGAAATGAAATATAACTGTTTTAACATAACTGACACTTTTCCATTTAAGAAAGTGAATAAAAACAATATTGTCAAACGAGTCTTTTTCCAATACACCAGGGGTGATAGTGAGCTCTAAAAACCAATAAGGTTTTTTATTATTTATTTTTTACTCAACTACCATTCCCCCACCCCTTTTTGAACAATTTTCAGAAAAATTGCATCACCCCCCCCCCCCCCCCCCCCCCCCCCCCCCCTTGCGCACGACTTTTAACGGGCCCAAAAATCTGTAAAAATCTGTTTAAAAAAATGGTTTTCCTTTTTGAATCAGGTAATTATCAGGCCTGAATATACTGATGAAATACTATTCTATTCACTATCATCCAAAAGTGTGAAATACCTAGGCTGTTCCACTTCTCAATCAACTCAGTGGCCATCGCAATCCTCATGTCACCAAACATCTTCTTGAGTCTTTCTTGTTTGGCCGACGTGAAGCTCTCTAACTGAAGCACCGGTTGAATGATGAAGAATACTGCTAACTCAAAGTACCGTGATCTCATCTAGACAACAAAACAAAACACTAGGTATGCCAAATAGGACAATCTTTGTTGTTTCATTCTTCGTAAAATATATTCTGAAAAGTTATTTTAAAATAGAAGAGGGGACTGTCATTAAAAATATTGAGATAAGTGTAAACACATAACATGTAATAATTATACTCCTGCAATACAATGCTGAGTTTACAGGACACTGTACTTGTATATTACAAGATTTTGAATTCTTATTCTATCAACAAATATATATCATGTTAAAGTTATTTCGACAAAATAGATTGCAGAAATTGTGTTATACAACTGGTAGTGTAATTAATATGTTTTTTGTTTAAACTTGTCTATTTTTCTCAATGAATGCCCCGTTTTGTACTTTTTTGAATATTTTTTACAAAGAAATTAATTTGTATGTTTATTCAGTATAATTTAGAATGATTGATGTACTGTATGAGTTGTATTTCAACATAAGGCTTGATAATTGGTGCTTCTTGATTTCCATCTTGATTTGTATATATTCTGTACATTTTATTTTTTGTAAATTGAATACTTTCAGCTTGCAGGCTGCATGCTCAAATATTTTATTCAATCATAATCAAAACCGATTCAAAATGGTCTCATGGAGTGTTCTAAACTCACCTTCTCACAGGAACTATTTCCTTTAAAGCCTGTCTTCACTAGTTTGGCCAGGAGGGCTTAGACCACCCTGCCGGTCACTGGCAAGTGGTTATCTCATCAAATTAGCTCTCAATTAACATAAGAAAAAGGGGACCATGGGGGATCACCGGTCACCACTTAGGCATTGTTGGCTATATAGAGGGCGCAAGTAGCTACAAGTAGTGCAGACAGGCTTTAATCTAAATCTAAATCAAGCTACTTATTACTTACCTTGATCATGTCCTCCTGGTTGAGATCTGAGCAGAACCTCTTGATTGCCGTAAGAATGACCCTGTCAAAATGAATCATATACAACATCATCAGAGGCTACAGTACAGGGGGGACCTCATACTAGTCATCATATTAAAGCCACTTCATGCCACATCTATCCCCATGGATGACTGCCAACAGATAAACCTCCTCTTTTGGGGGGTTTGAGGGTTTGTAGATTAATAAGTTGACAATGATCTCTACGACTGTTGTATTCTTGAAATGTACATGTAAAGGGAACGTTTCAAGGACAATAGCTAAAAAGTAATGTAACTGCTGGCAAACAACCTTTTACCATTATAAGGAGTAGATAATGTTTAATATTTGAGGTACATGTAAAGTCAACATTTTATAAGTTATGAAAAAATGACACCTGCAAAGTGAGTAATATATAAATTCAATTTCAGCTTATCACATACATGTAAGGGAGCTCCTATTCACAACCTTCATTGTAAAGAATGCTACAGAGTAAACTGGCTGCTCTACAAACCTAGATGTACATTTACCTCTTGTATATGAACTAATAGGGTTAACTGCACAACCATCAATCCAGCTTATTAGTTCTCAAGATATATATATATATATCAAGCATATTGAGTACAGGAAAAGGTCAGAGGTTAGAGGTCAATCGGTAACATTACCTGTTGACAACCATCCTCATAGCTGCCCAGTCCTTGGATATATCTCTTGTATATGAACTAATAGGGTTAACTGCACAACTATCAATCCAGCTTATTAGTTCTCAAAATATATATATCAATCATAACTTCAAAAGTACAGGAAAAGGTCAGAGGTTAGAGGTCGATCAGTAAAATTACCTGTTGACCACCATCCTCATAGCTGCCCAGTCCTTAGAGTAGATGTCCTTGGTCACACACTCAGCAAAGAGCATCAGTATACCATTGAGGAACTCTTGTCTGTAATGTGAGCTTGGGAAGCAGTCTGTTAGCTGAACGTAGTGCTGCTCCTTCATCAGACGTAACATCTCCATCAGGCAGGTAATGCAACGGGTCTGGGCAAAGAATAATCAGTAATTTTTTAGTGGTACATTTATTCAAAATCTGGACTCGCAGCCTAGGCTAAATTGTACAAAAAATTACAAGTAAAAATTAAATTAAAAAATAACTATACTTTTATAATATTGGATGGCTGTGAGTGTAATACAAGAATATATTGCTCGAGCTACAATGTATGTCAATATTGTCATAGCAAGAGCAATATATTCTTGTATCACACAAAAACAGAGCCATATAACATTATTTTCTATACCAGGCTGACAAGCGAAATATAAAAATTTGACTAACCTCAGAAAATATGATTTTATTGTGTTTGATATCGATATTGATATATCGATAGTTGTTCCTGGATGACTGAGCAATACAAAAACATTATTGGTCAGTCATCCGGGTTCTGCGCTCAAGATATTGAATACACTGATTTATTGTAATTACTTGTAAGCCTTATGTGGATAATAAATATTATAAGGATTAAAAGAATGATACGCGATTTGGCATGGCAATGGGAATCCTAATCCTAATGATAAATATGATCCAATAGACTAATTTTTTGTCCGAAGGAAAAGAAAGAAGAAAACGCAAAAGTAGAAGTAAATAAAACAAAATAAATAAATAAATAAATAAATAAATAAAGAGAAGAGAAAGGAAAAGGTATAAGGGTAAAAAAAAAATAGAAGTTAAAAAAGTCAGGAAACAAACGGGAAAGACGGTTTAAGAGAAGGGAGAGGCTGTACATGTATGTAGAGAGCTTTACAAAGGATGAATAATGATGAAAATACTGATAATGATAATAATAGGAGTGGATTCATTACATAAGACATACGAAGGTGAGTCTTTTTTTATTTTTTTGTTCTATTTTGAAATGTATGTCAAGATACTCATTTGACTTTCCATTCCTTCTTTGAACAGCAATTTACAATTTTATTCCACTTGTAATTGTGTAACTTTGACCTTGTATGTGGCCAATAATGAATATTTCATAAAAAGTTAACTTATAGACATTGCTTTGTCTTTTTAAAAATATTTTGATGTCTAAACTTCTTTTCATGATTGACTATATTAAACAAATATAAACTCATAAGAGAAAAGTTTTTTGTTTCTTTTTCAATAGGCTGCCTTTATTGAAGCAGTGTTCTAAATGATCATGATTGATGAAGAAAGACATGGTCTTCTGAGTTTTCAGATATCAATTCAATTTCGGAAAGATTTGCCAGCTACAGCATAAAAATGGCTTTGAAATGTATTTTCTTGTTTTAAAGTGATATCATTGGCACAAAGAAGTTTGCAGAAGAATTGGAGATACATGTAGTTAGCTGAAACAAAGAAGTGTACCTCGTGGAGAGAACAATACTTGTCTAAAGTTAATGACACACACACTGCTTTCAGAATGATAATCAGAAATGTAGATTTTTTAAATGATGAAAAGAAGTAACAAAATCAGTATAAATTCATCAAACACATTGAGTGATTACAAGTTGGGTGTTTAGGGCTGGAGTTAGTGTTTAATAAACACCAGCCTAAATACCGAAATGGAAATCAGCTGGTGTTAAGGCTTTGACCTCTGAATATCGTCAACTTCCGGTAGCTAGTGTTATCGATTTTGCAAAATCGTCGTCTGCTGAACCGACCTTTGTGGCTGGTGTTAATATTTTTACGTACAAATGTCCTATTCCCTAACACTAGCCCCTAGGGATTAAGCAAATGTTAATTTCCAGTTCGGTGTTAGTGTTGTACCCGCACACAGTCAACGCACGAACGACGCCAATTTATTGTCTGACGATCAAATCAAAATATGTGAAACAGGTAATTCATATATTATTCTTTCGTGTAAAATTTGTTATTTTCTAAGACCAGAGAAATAGGTGTAAATTTATTCTGTACTTTTCATGATATCTTTAGTTTTGATGAACTATTTTTAAATCATCGTCGTAAAATCAAGTATGTGGTGACGTCACGGCTGGTGTTAAGCTATCGATTTTTTATATCGGTATCAGGCTCTTAATTTCATCAACAAATTCTCCGCTCGATTTAAGAGCTCCTGACTACTCTAAACACTAACACTAACACTAACATCAAACTTGAAATCACTCATTGAGTGATTACAAGTTGGGTGTTTAGGGCTGGAGTTAGTGTTTAATAAACACTTACACTTACACCAACCCTAAACACCAAAACGGAAATCAGCTGGTGTTAAGGCTTTGACCTCTGAATATCATCAACTTCCGGTAGCTAGTGTTATTGATTTTCCAAAATTGTCGTCTGCTGAACCGTCCTTTGTGGCTGGTGCTAATATTTTACATACAAATGTCCTATTCACTAACACTAGCCCCTAGGGATTAAGCAAATGTTGATTTCCAGTTCTGTGCTTAATAGTGCTATCAATATTGATTTCGACATCAGGCTCTTAATATCATCAGCAATTTTTTTACCTCGATTTAAGAGCTCTTGACTGCTCTAAACACTGATACTAACACCCATCTTAAAATCACTTATTGTTTTGAGGATGATAACTAGATATGAAGAGTTTTTAGCTGATGAAAAGAAGTATCAAAATCAGCAAAAAAAAATTCATCAGACAAATTTTTTTGAGGTAGATAATCAGAAATGAAGAGTTTTCGGCTAAGAAAAGAAGTATCAAAATCAGCATAGATTTATCAGAAATACTTCAGCTGCCAAGCAATTTTTTAGGAAGAAAATGCTTGCATAATCCACAAAGATTTCAATCAATTCGCTGGAAAGCTATGATAAACACAAGACATTTAGTCCAATACTTCCTAGATACTCACTTTTCTTCGGAACAGCTTTAGTCACAAAACAAATAAACAAAAAGAGAAAATAATGAAGAAAAAAAAATTATACAGTCCAGTCACGAAATGATTTCAGACACAAAAATTGCCCAAATAATGTTTTTTTTCCTTCTGAATAAAGAGTATTCATATATCTAATACTGCATCAAGCAATGATAATTTCATCGCTACTTATCGTTAGTACCAGATGGTAAAAGACATCAAAAAAGAGTTTCCTTCTGTACAGCTGCCACACACTCATAACAGAAGGTAGAGGAAAGAAACTACTCACATGTAAATCTGTCATGTTCTCTGATGTTGGCACCATGCCAAGAATCTCCCTGAAGAGATGACGGATCAAGAGACTAATCTCCTCTTCTACTTGCTCTGTCTGTACAGGTCAAAGGTCATATAAAAAGATAAAAGCTGTGAGATACATCTTTATTCCAAAATTACATTTCAAATTGAATAATAAAGCAAGGGGGAAGATTAAAATTAACATTTACCTACAGACTGGAAATTCTAGATATCCTTAATGAATGTCATATTGCAAAATGTAACAAAACTGCCCAATAAGCGACATAGTAGAGTTGTTTAAGCACTTGACTTGAAATTCAAAGGTCGTGGGTTCAATCCCCCGACACGGCACTAATGACCTTTGGCAAGGCATCAATCTACATTTGCCACTCAATACCCAAGAGAGAAATAGGAACCCGGTAGGATGACGAAAGCATTTGTGTTAGTAATTGCCTATACCCTCACTGGGACCATATAGTAGGAATACTCCCCAGGGAGTGGAGAGGGTGCACATTGTGCGTGAATGAATCCGATGACAGGGGTAAAAATTTATATACAGCTCTTAGAGACGGTGTGCCGTCTTCAGCGCTATATAAATCTTGATTATCATTATTATCATATCAGGGCTACTCAGAGTTACAGCATTATTGTTCTATAGTCAGTCTGGTGCGAGTCTTCACGGTGCAATTGGAGTTTTAGATAGTGCTGGTTACCTGTGAGAGTGTATGTAAGGCAGTCAGGATGTCTTCCACAATAGCGATACAGACATCAGGTAGATGCTCAGCCTGAATGTGGTGCTGGAGCTGGGCGAGGCACGGCTGAAGAAGTACTCTTCTTGCCACTGAAATAACCACATTATAAAAAAATGTCCATCCACATTTTTGCTTTGTATTATTTTATATACTTCAGTAAGCATCTAACTTCTGTCTTGATTATTATGGTATAACATTACATTAAAACTTACCTACAGATGTCCAGAAACCTACTCACACACATAATTACATTAACATTAATTCAAATGGACATAGAACAAAGTTATTTTTTTAGTGCAAATGTAATCTTTTTCTTCTATTCTCTATCTATTTTACTCAAACCCTCTACCATTTTCTTTTATGTTTTTCTTTCTCTCTTTTTTTCAGTTTAGTTTCTTTTATTTCACATGAAAAAATACAATACATTAACAAAACATAGCATATTTACAAAATTGATATTTGAGAACAATAAAGACATCTTCACAGCATAAGTTTGTATGGCATTTACACTAAATAATTTCCAGATTCAGACCTGCCAACCTCTGGAATTCAAAAACTGTATTCTGTAATCCTAAAAACTGTATTCTTTAATCCTAAAAGTTGTATTTTACTGAAAAAATTGAATTTTACCCCAAAAATATCATGATGATGCTTATCTCTATGCAGATTAAGGTAACTTACTGGGTGACTTGAAGAGTGTGCTGTTGATGGCTTCTCGAATGCATTCCAGCTTGCTCTGTAGAACCTTGGTTCTCCTCAGCGTGTGTGGTATACACAGCAATAAGTCGGCTGTGAACTGGCTCACCTCGGGCGCTGTGTACATGGCCATGGCCATCAGCTCGTTGCAGATGGTGCTGAACTTCCGTAGCACAACCAGCTGGATCAAACATAGGTTAGGACTCATTTTCAAAGTTTATAGCATCTACTAGTCAAGCTGGATAAAGCCAGGTACAATTTAGTTTACTCAGGAATTGTAATCTTTACAAAAATTTACTTTGTAAGACAGTTTAAAGCCAAAGACTTACAGTTTTGTTATCTTGAAACCTATGATCTGTAACTCATAGTTTATGAATTCAGTACAGTCAAACCTGCTTTAGTGACCGCCTGTCTACAAAGACCACATTTTTTGTTTCCCTTTAAAATGGTTTCTCATTGAAACATTTACTTAAGGAACCTGTCTACAAAGACCACCTGTCTACAAAGACCACTTATTGTGTTTCCCTTGGGTGGTCGCCATAGACAGGTTCGACTGTATAACCTGGACCATAGTTCAAGAAATATGGCCTTATGAGAGAAACATTCTGAATCTTCACTTTCAATCATTTCCATGTTCTCTTTAATCCAAATATACTGTTTAGGACTCTTTCCACAAATCTGAATCACTAGTGATAGTGATTTAGTGACTCCATAATGGTATTAAGTGTGCTTGTAAGAAGCTCTATCGGACTAGCATCATTGCATGAATGTTAAATGAACAGCAACGAACCTGATGTTTCTCCAGTTTTTCATCATCTTTCTGCATGAGATTATTGATGGAATTGAAGAGATTCCTGATTGAGTCCTGCATATCACCATCATGGACATCACCAGTAGCCCTACAATGAAAAATAATTAAATATTATTGGAACATTCTGTATTCTCACCTGGTACTATCAAAGTCACTCATACTATTACCACATATACCAAGTACCACTTCTTCGCTTATCACCACAGTGACAGTGCCTGTTTAAATTGTATTTGGTATGGATAATAATAATAATAATAATAGTTTGTTCCCTTGATAGCACATTGCAGGACCGCAGGCCCTCTCAAAGCGCTTAACAGATATATTATTACCCCGGTCATCGGATTCAGGCTCACCCACAACATGTATGCACACTCTCCACTCCCTGGGGAGCATTCCAGCCAGGCATCATTTTTTTTTTTACAAACGCACACTTGCTCATCTAACCTCATTAACTTTCGCGTCCTACCGGGTCATTATTTTTTTTTTTATAATGTGTATGACGCACTGCAGCGACATGCTACAGGACAAATTGTAACACCATGGAACATGTTACTTCAACCCTGGCCAAAACAGTATACCTAGCCCTAACACTAATCCTTCTAAACCTGGCCTAACCTTAAATCCAATCATAGAGGATGTGCGACCTTTCAACTGACATTTTGAAGACAATGTGCGACCTTTCAACTTACATTTTGAAGACGATGTGCGACCTTTTAACTTACATTTTGTAGAGGATGTGCGACCTGAAGATGAACTTGAAGAGGTACTGAAGTCCTTCCAGCATGTTTGTGATGTGATCCTGCTTCTGTTGCAATGCCTTGTCAATGTACATCATCAGGTAGTAGACCAAGAACCTACAAGCAAAATATTTTGTAATAATAATATCAATAACAACAAAAACAACAACAATAATAACAATAATAATATTAATAATAATGTTTTAATAATAATATAAATAACAAAAACAACAATAATAACAATAATAATAATCAAAGAAATATTTTTTTTTTTTTTAAACAGTAAAAATAATAATAATAATATTAATGTATGTTTAAAGCGCATTGTTCATATACATATTCAAATGCACTTAACAATTATGTTGTAAGAGGTAAGACATACGTATTATAAAAAGCTCTACAATAGAAGACCCCCAAAATGGAAGATAGCCATACAGAAGTTGGTACTAGAAGGATACTTACTGATGTGCTAATGTGCTGACAAAGTGATTATCAATGTAGGTATCCAGGACCGTGGTGAAAGACTTGAAACGTTGTTCACCGAGTACACTGATGATATGAACCTAAAACATACAAAAAGATCAATATTCTTAAAGAAAACTAATCCATGTGGTATGCTGGAATGAATATTTGATGATGATGATGATCACCATCAACTTTAATCATGTTTACAGTCTGAAGGCTCGCATAATTTTCCATGAGAGGCTTATAAAAAAAATGATATGGCAACGGTAATTACTACATGTATTTTAGGATTTAACGAACATCATAAAGTCAATACATGTACATGTATATGCATGTTAAAGAGTATAACACTCTGTTGACAATCATTATAATAAATGCTACAACTGATTTGATAGCTCTAAAAAAAATCTATTTAATAGGAATGTGAGTGATTATTATGGAAACTTAACTTATTCCTCATTAACCCATTAGCAACAAGATATTTTGTCAAAATGGCCTATAACTCACTGGAAGATGTTGCAATGTTGCTCTCATTTTTGACATTTTTCTTTACAATATGAAATGCTATTTTTCTATGCAGAATCCTACTGTAGACATTGTAAGGATTACGAACGTATAACATGTTCACGGTAGACCCTAGAACAGATACTATAGGGCGTTGAAAAGGGACGGAAACGGACGGGCGGTTTCGGGCGGTTTAGTTGCTAAAGGGTTAAAGTCATGCATAGATCTGAATAATTATTTTCTCACCAGACATTCAAATATCTGACGTCCATATTCGTCACTCCTCTCATCTAAGATGGAGAAGAGGGCATCCAGGATGTCTTGAAGTACCTACAAGATGTAGCCAAAGACAGAGACATAAATAGGGTTAAAGGTTAAAGGTGGGCTAGGAAAAGCCAGAAGGTGAGAATCAATAATACAGTCCTCATCAAAGATATTAACATGTATTGTATAGCAACAATGAACAACAGAAAGAAAATCAACATTATTCCAAGACCATTTGAAAGCCACACCAAAGTGGAAAGTATGCTTTAGATATAACAGAGATACTGGGCTTTAAAACATTTTAACATGGAAGCAATCTTTACGACAGCAATGTATTGTTGAAAAAGAATACATCAGACAAGTCCCGGCCAAGAGTAAAGAGCTTCTGCTGACAAGATATTCCATATATTCAAGGGACCTCACTAAAATATTTGATCCTTCACGTTATCCAGCATGAATAGTACATGGTTTTAATTCCCTGATCATTGACCCATGGTTGTAACCATAATGGAATGTGAGAAAGACGGTTGAATGTAGGACTGACCCTGACAATGTCCTGACCGCTGACACTGCTCAGTTTCTCTAGGATGGCATGTAGTCTATCGGGATGCTGCCTCCACTTCAACAAACCTAGCAGGTTGACTAGTGGACGAAAAAATGGAGAAAAAAATCACAGGAAAGTAAATAACCATGATCATTGGGAAGCTACGAAAACACAAATGTTGAAGTTCACGTCATCACATATGATGCATAGTTCTTCACAAAAGACTTGTTAATCAATTATTAGGAGAACAGTTATTATGTTGTTAAACCATTATAAATTCTGTTCACACAGAAAACCTTTACAAATCTAACTTGCCTGTATGTAAATTAAAATATGGTGGATGTATATGTTTTGGTTCATTATTTTTGTATCCATTCGACATTAATCTCCATACACTTTGGACTGATTTTAAGCATCCATTCTTAGAATATAATAGTACAATTAAATAATATTGAAAGCTTTGAATATATTTAGGATAATAATTACAAGTACTAGTTATATACAAATATTTTTACCAGCAAAAAAAAAATACTTTGCTTACAAGAAAACATTACTTTCCTTCTCTTGTATCTTCAAGTTTAATGTGAAGTGTTTGGCCTAATACTTACTGTTTTGGACAAGTTTTGTTGAGCAGATGACCGTTTTGACAGTGAAAGTATCCTTGCAGTTCAACTCATAATTGTTGTTGCTTGTTGCGTTGCCCTTAGCAACCATATCAGCTGAACAATATGGCAGACTCAGGTATTGGGTAGGATCACTGAAATCATGGTGTTCTGAACACTGTCACAACAACAAAAAAATGTTTAAATCACAATTACAATCAAGCATAATTGTACAGCGTTGTTACAGCTAATGATGCATCTACATATGTGAATTTGCAATCTTGCTAGTTTAATCTTAAAGTGACTCTGAAACAAATCCTGGAATTAGTTCATGCTACAATCATATCTCTCTTTCAACCTAGGAAACCTGCTAGGATTCATTCCTTGAGATTTAATATATGGCTATTACAGCTGCAGGAGTCCGATTTATCAAGTTGGAGTTATAATTTCCAAAGCATAAAGGTCGGGCGACAAGAAAATCAGCTGAAAATGGCATTTTAGACAAAGGGAAAGACATTTTCATGACGATTTCGAATATATGACAATCGTTTTCCACAAAAATGATAAGAGGACCTGAAAATTTACTTTGGGAATGCCCCCCTAAAAATTTAGTCTGGTGACAATTGGGATATATTGCTCTTTTAATCTAATTTCGAGTTAGTCTAATTCCCAGTTTGTCTGAAGCCCATTTTGTAGACTATCCATATGGTCTAAGAATCATTTAATCATAAATAATAATAATAATAATCATCAAATTAGGAAATAACATGTTGATACATGAATTATCTTTCAAGCTAAGTCTGCATTTTAACAATGGTTAATAGGTGATTGAATGCAGCTTACCTTAAAGACAAAGAGACTGTGTGTGCTGTCTTCTACCGCTGTACCATCCTTCTTCATGAGTGGCATAAATGCCATTGCAAACAGACGTTTCTCCCTTCTCTCTGTTCAATCAAAAGTAAAAACGTGGATTATTGCTAATCAACCTTGTACCAAGGGTCACATATATCATTCAAATGAACATTTGAAGATGTTCAACTCTCTCTCTCTCTCCAATCTAACCATTTTCCTCTAAGATTAAGTGGAAGAAATGTCAATGCAACCAACCTAAATATAGTCAAACCTGTCTATAGCGACCGCCCAAGGGAAACACAAAAAGTGGTCTTTGTAGACAGGTTCCTATATTACATGATTCAATGAGAAACCATTTTCAAGGGAAACAAAAAATGTGGTCTTTGTAGACAGGTAGTTACTGAAGCAGGTTTGACTGTACCTTGAATTACTGTGGTAAATGAGATACATATAGCCAAGGTAGCCATGATTTTTTACAAGGAAAATTAATGCTGATCAAACAAAAAAGCAATATTGGAAATATATCATACTTTATGCAAAATATCTATGATATAGCATTTTTTGTTCAATATTCTTTTATGCACAGTCCCTGTATCAAAATCTGAAAGGAGGAGAACATAAAAATAACGACTAATATATAAAAAGGTTCTTATAAACTGCTGCATTCGCATCTTGGTTGAAACTGAAACTACATTGTATACTTGTGAACAGTCTGCTTTACATCCCTCATGTACTATAAAATTCAATAACCCACTCATCATGCTTGTTGTTTTGTCCCTTCATAAAATGTAATCTTTAGCAAGCTCATATTTCTGAAGCTTATCAGGAAATGTTAACCGCAAATGGTGCACCGCTAACAACTAACACCTACTCCTGTCACATAAAACTTAGCTGGGATACAGTATTCTTACTTTCAGTATAATAAATATACCATGTTTCAATGTATCACATAAAAATTGCTCTATGTATAATCATGTATTAGTATATATATATATATATATCGAACACCTGCTTAATATGCATAGTAATTTCTTTTTCGCTTTTATGATCAGTCATTGTCGGTATTTGCAAAAATAAACATTAAAAGAGGCCCGTAATGAAATCAAACAGGCCAATAAATTGTACAAAGAAAAGAAAAAAACATGAAATGAAACATGAAATCATCACTAGATCAGACTTATCTAAACATACTTGTGGCTTACACCCGGTAAATAAGATCGATTGATCGATCTGTAAGTGAAGAACAAGTCGGAACCAGCGGGACTTGAACCTGCCATCTACTGCTTGCCAGGCAGCGACTCTACCACCAGGCCATCACTGGCCCATGGCACAGTCACGATGAACTAGAAACAAATACCCAAGCTCTCCTGATTCATTCTGACTTAATTAATATTCATTAGATCCGACTTACTGTTATCTTTTGAGCAGTGTCTGAACTCAAAGCGTATGTGCGTGTTCTTGAAGCTGTCCATAGGTACATTGAGTCGGACTAGTTCGTTCCAGCGCGGGGCCGTATAGTGTAAGTAAACCACCGATCTATACTCTATCTCGGCTTCTTCGTCGTCCACAAGGCAGATGCATCCCTATGTAACAAAATCAAAGATTGATTCTGTTTTCACAATGTTCTTTTGTTTAATTGTTTAAAACATCTCATACATAATACAAATTAAAATGAAACAAATACATGTATTTCAAATTTATCATCATCATAATACAAAATGATGATAAATATAGTACGAGTATTAAAAATCGAGGTAATGGATTTTAAAAACAAGAACAAAAATGTGCCTAGTTATAGAGACCATTGTTCCCCATGGAAAACAATTTAAAAATTCATTACTGGAATTTCAAGACAGAATATTTCATTCACATTGATATCCCCAATGTTTGATAATAATAATCTTCAATCCATTATACAGAATGACATAGTCAGAGCCACTATTATTCTACAAATATGTATTTCCTACAATTTGCCCTGCCTTGCTGCCAAGAGAAGTTGACTATATGGTCACTGGTCCTCTCCTTTGTGACTTTTTCAAAACAATTCTTCTTTTTTCATGACAGGAAAAAGAGAAAAATATTAATTGTACTAGTGTACATGTGAAATTCAGTTCATGATGATGTTTAATTCAATTATCTACACTTCAATTGATGGGCTATAAAAAGTCATGTGGAAATGTATATTGGAAGTACAGGAGCTTCACACAAAGATTACAAGTAGTATCAAATTGACTTACAATCTTCTTCCATTTCTCGTCTATCGTACACATGGTCACCTCGATATTGCGCCCAGCATTCTTATCATAAAACTCCCCTCTCTCCAAGGCAATGAAGAGGTCATTCCGCAGGTCACCTTTGCAATAAGTATATGGATATACCCCCATTAGTGTTTTCCCCCAAAAAAATAACTGTCACCATATCTCTTTATACACCTCACTCCCAGATCCTAATCAAATGATTGGTCATGCACGGTCACTTGTGATTCATTTGCTGAGACTATCCCACGTTTTTCATGAAAAAGCGTGCAATAGTTTCCAGTACTATGACACATTTTTTTTTAGTGCATGTACATGATGCGCAGTAGTGAGCGTAGAGGTTAGAGCGCTTATACTATGTGTGCATGGGCCTATTCTAATCGCGCAGCACTATGCGTAAATGGGTATAGAGGTATTAAGTGCGCTTACTATATCATTGTCTGTGCGCACTTAATTAAGCATATTAAACTTGAGATTTATTTGTATACTGTCACGAAACAAACTTGAATGAAATCTTTTTACATCAAATAACAAGGATTTATGTAGGATGTGTGTATCTATCGGCTTCATGCAATAGATACACACAGCCTCAACTCGAGTGCGAATAGATCTCATAATGAACTCGTGCGCATGCATCATTTGTATACTATTTAATAAACAAGATTTACCGTTAACTTCTTCTCATTTTGTCATATTAACAAACTAGATGGAACTTCGACTGCGTGCAGTCGAAAATGATGCCTCCGTCATAGAGCAATTTTACAAACCAAAACAGAACAAATTTTTCAAATTCAAGTTCAATTGTAATCCATTAACAGGTTCTCAGAATATCGTGATTACAAGCAATTTCTCATATACATATATGACCCTTGGATCTTTGACCTCATGACCCTAAAATCTACTCAGTTCATCGGCTCTGCAATATGTCCTGAGTTAAATAGTAGTCCATCTGTCAGCTCTAATGAGAATGCGTTCACAAGCTATTTTTGCATATATAATGAGCCCATGACCTTTGACCTCATGACCCAAGAATCTACTCAGTTCATTGGCTCTGCAAGATACATACATGATCTAAGTTTGGCAGGAATCCATCAATCTGTTCTAATGATAATGCGATCACAAGCTATTTTTGCATACACAATGAGCCCTGTGACCTTTGACCTTTGACCTCGTGACCCCAAAATCTAATCAGTTCATTGGCTCTGCAAGATACATACATGACCAAAGTTTGACAGGAATCCATCAATTGGTCCTTCAGATAACGCGATCACGAGAAGGGGACGTATGGACGGACAACCCGAAAACATAATGCCTCCGGCTACTTCGTAACGGAGGCATAAAAATAATGCATGATTTCGAGACTGCAATGATTATGTTGAGATACCCTGGATGTGAAAACGGGGAATATCGCTTTCAATCAAATGTTAATTACTTTTGAGATGTCATTACTGCCATCCATAGTTTCAATTTTCAGCCATCGATCACTTTCATATCCTCATATCTTGTTTGTTTCAAGGAGTTCTTATCAAGACTCGATAACCATTATGATCCAGTTTTGGTCCTTGTGGTCTTAATGAGAATACAGAGAGTAATTAGGAACTGTTTACTTGCTAATTAAAAAGCAAGCCTACTACAATAGTCAATGACTGGGCAAGCCAAGGATTTTATCCCATACATTATCTGGGACAGCAAAGACTTAAACATCTAGTTTTCTATCCAATTTTATCCACTTTTGCGCCGGAGGCTGATTGCAACATATCCCACCACACTCATTGTTATACAAATCAGTTGTTCCAACATGCTTATTAGTGCACAATAAATTTTAAGAAGCAGGAGGATGTGGTTAAGCCCTCATACTAGTGTATCATTGAAAACAAATCATATCAGTTTTCGTTTCCTTTGACTTTTAACAACACTTTCAATTACTTCAAATCTTTGCTGGTGATTTGACAAGTGGAGCCAGCAGGGTAGGGTTTACAGTAGGTATAGAATTAGGAAGTTAATGATATAATGCTGGCTCCAGGACTTAAGTTAGGAAAGTTGGTTAGTGTAATAGAAACTGACTGCAGACCATTCATTTCCAAAGCATGTGTAACCTAAATATAATCAATTGGTGGACAAAATATGGTGACATTGTAAGATATATTGATGGCTATGGATTCCCAGAAAGTCACTCTTTTACTTTTATTAGATCTAAGTAGTGCATTCGACACCATAGATCAGAAACTTTAAAGACCTATTCGTCATTACATGTATTAAAATCAGGAACATGCAAGGAGACATGTGTATCATTTTTACGAATCGAAACTTATATGTCGAGGAATGCCTTAATAGAAACATATGTCATGAAGATAATATATTCTCGATTGATGAAGTATAGAATAACATTTCACCTTCAATTCGACTTAGTAATGCATTTTATAAACATATTATATTTCACGATTTCAAGAGCATGTGCGGAAAGAATCGCGTCTAGAAGGATTTCACAAACTTCTGTAGCACCGTAGAATATATATGTTGGATAGTTTCTGTGCTCAATGTAAATGTAATATTTACCTGGCATGATGATGTCACTGAATCCTAGCTTATGAGTAACACTGTGACCTCTGTTGAATAGAAGATGCTTCTCTTTCTTCAGGCTATCTAGATGACCATGCAGCATCAGAAGCTTCACTGTGATACCTACAACATGAACATGTACACTCCCTGGTGATAAGTGTTTTTTCAATTTGTTATTATTAATTCAATTTAGTATAGTGATTGAAAAGGGCCTCTTGATTTCAACCTGCAATCAATTTATCTATTCATTGATTTATCTATCTCTTTATTTGTATTGGCATTTTGTGTAGATTACGATTATTATGTGTTTCTTATATTACACAGTTAACAATTAAATTATTCAAACCTTTACAAGTTTATGTAATATTCTAGGTATGTGAATTGATTTGTCCAGATTTATGTTTCCAGAGAATGTGAGATCTTTAAACCTTACATCTAAAAGTATTCAACAAAGGACTTAATTCAACCAGTCCACTTTACAAGGGGCATGAATAAATCAGTAGTTATCTGTACAATCACAACTTACCTATATTGCCAGAAGCAGAGGTGCCCTTTCTACTTGTATTCCTAATGATTTGATCATGAAGTGAAGCAAAGTCCTTCTCATCTGCTTGATTGGCTACACTATAATGCAAATAAGTAAATGTCACATACTTTAATAGTGCAAATCTCTGGAATACATTAAAAAAATAACCAACGTAACAATAATTTACATTGATCGTATAGGTAGATCTATAAATGCAGTACTGCTCTGTCTTACATTTTTGTTTGACTTTGGTATTCTTCATATCATAAGTTTTCCCCATGAAGACACCCCATGGTCACATTTCACACAATACATGTACATGTATCTTGCCCTAGCAGAGTATTTTCCCAACAGTGTGTATTTATCTGTTATGAAAGATGCATACATGTATGAAGAAATTGTGAAAATGGCAGAAATAATTCACCAGCTACAAAATATCTTTCGTACTTAATGCTTGTAGCCACGACTTACCAGTACTTGCAAGTCACATATTGAGATGAAAGACAAGTACACAAAGTCATGAAAATGATGTGTTTTGATTGGTTGATACACCACAGAAGCTAATAAATGTTTGATAAAGATATGAATGTATTTACAATTCCATGAATACAAGCATCAATACCAGCATGCCAGAGTATCAAACAGTACCGGTACTAAAATTTGTATGCCAAAATAAAGAAAGAAAGTAAGTAAAAGAAATATAGTAACAAGAGGTCATCAGTTCAAACTACAAAAGAAATATGTAAAATCTAAATTGAGGCAGAGCTCTTTTTCACATAGAGTAGTAAACGAATGGAATGGTATCCCATCATATGTAGCAGAAGTTCCATCACTCAATTCTTTCAAATCAAATGTTGACAAGTACTGGTCACTGAAGAAGGACAAGTTTAATCCTGATGAATTATTCAACTGTCCATGTTCATCCGTAACTGCACAGCACCAAATTCAAGAGTAACCCACTAGCAGTCACCGAGGGGCAAATAAGTTTTGTACAACTTTATGCCTACTTCCAAGGTATGATATCCTAGGTATGATGTACTTCTACTTACTATATTTTCATGACTTCTTCCTTTCCTTCTCTGCCATCATCCTCTGGCATCTTCAGAATGTGAGTGACCTTCAACACTGATTAGAAAATAGAAATGAAGTGAGTGATGAATGTTGAGAAAATAACAAACAACGACATCCAAGCTATTTAAGATTTGATTTGATTTGTTTTATTGTCCACATAAATGGAAATTCTTTTTTTTTCACATGGTTACACGATATATACATAAAGCATAAGTCAATTGAACAAACTTCAAATTATACAAGATGAATGCAATCATAGAACTTTATATTGTTAGGTAAATTAAACCCCAAATACGACCAGGGCCCCCTTTCATAAAACTTGTTATCAATATTAAACAAGCGTCATATTTCTATAACAATGTTGCTCTCAGCCAATCAAATGTAAGGATTTAGTAGAGGTGTTGTGGTCGAGTGGATACGTCGCCGGACTGTCGATCACAAGGTCCGCGGTTCGAGTCCCGCCGCTGCACTAATGTCCTTTGGCAAGACATTAATCTACATTTGCCATACTCCACCCAGGTGAAGTAAATGGGTACCTGGTAGGAATTTATTCCTTGAAACGCAGCGCGCGTAACAGCTGCACTGCTAAAGCCAGGGTAATTATGCTGCATTATTGTAGAGCGCTAAGAGACTTCTGACAAAGTAAGTGTTAGGCGCTATATAAGCACTGTAATTATTATTATTATTATTATTTCATTAGCTAATATGACAATTATCGTATCTTGTCACTGACGACAAGTTCTATAAAACTTGGCCGACTATACATGTACATACCTCCATAGCCATAGGGTCTTCTGAAGTTTGGACCAGTAGCCTTCTTGTTGTCTTGGTGTCTGGTTGGTTTCATCTGGCCACATCGTATGATATGACAAGTAAGATAGAGATCCCTCTCCATATCTTTGTTGCTCATGTCCTTCAAAGCAGCAACAAAAAAAGTAAGAAAGATCAACAACAAAAAAGAGTTAGCATGAATAAACTTTCACTGGGACTTTTGCAATTGAGCTCAATTGATAGAGAATACAGTAGGCCTATTACAGTGAAATACATGCACAGTTATATATAAATCAAACTGTGAGATAAAAATATTTGAATACCATTTTTATGACATTTACATTTATATTCTGACAAGCAAAATGATGGTCTCTGTGAGAAAACAAGTGCATTGCCCTGTACATGCACATTAGCTATAATATTCTTTAGGCATTTGATTTCCAACTCTTGTGTCGAGTTATTAACCCGTCGAAAGACTAATCTAGAGATACCTTGGGACGAAACCCACTGAAACAATGTTGCTGCCATTCAATTTCAACCCAACCACCAATCATGATATGCTATCCAGGAGTGTCATAGGACCTTGGTCATTCCAAATCAAAGCCTAGATTTTCAACTAAACATGCAGTGAATCTACTGTGACGATAGCTACCTGGGAGTTTGCTGGGATTTTCAATTAAGAATGTACTATGTCACTCTGCCTTTTTACTCTCACTGTGAAGACAGGTAACTGATCTTGGACTAGCTTTTCATATAAAGGCTGCATTGTATCGTGCTGACTTACTGTGAAAATGGTGACCAGGTTACCAATCTTCTCCACGTTGAGAGGTGCACCCTGTTTGTTGAACTTTGCTAGATACCGCTCTCTGTAAGTATCAAAACAAAAGATGAATCCAACCAGTTCAAGGGAAAAACAAGGAATGATGTTAAAAGCAAATATACAAAGATATAAGACAGAGAAAAAATTGATTAGGTACATGTACATACTTTTGGGGTAAATGTTGGCTTGGAGGATATCAACCATTATTGTGTGCTACAAACGAAAATTGAAATTTTAAATTCCAATCATAAATATCTTGATAATCAGACAGGGGATCGGCTCGTAAAAGTCATGGGGTTCCTGACTGACCTAAAAGTTTATGATTATGATTGCAGCATGAGCTAAATCCATGAATTTGTTTAGAATCAGAGGCAAAGTTACCCGATCCCTTTAAAGGGTTTTCCTATTTTACGTCCGAACCCCACTGACTACTTACGTGATGAATGTACCCTCTTTAGCATCATAGAGAGCAAAGAAAGCCTCCGCCGCCTCTCCTGTGTGGATCCCAAAGTTGACCAGCTGAAGGTGGAGATGGTGCGCAAAAGCTTCCAGCGGTTCCGTCGTCTAAAAACAATCAAGAACGATTGCCAACAATTATACTTTGGCAATCATTTTTACAACTGGGTACCAACGAGTCAATTTCGCTATTAATATTACTCCTTTAAAAAATTCAATTCAATTCGATTCGATTCCGTTAAACTAAGATGAAAATGTCTTAACCATCCAACAGCTTGAAATTTCGGGCAGTATTTCCATCTATGGTACTGAAAGGTTTCAAATATTTGCCTTAAAATGAAGAATGGAGTATCTAAACATAATTGTTGAGGAGGCATGGTACTGTATAGCAATACTCTTCTGTCCAAAAAGGGCTCATCCACAAGTTGGACTTATGTGAAGCTCAGGGAGAGAGATTAAAATAATCATTACTGACAAAATAATTAAACATGAAAATAAGGAAAATTAAATTAATTGGGATGCATGGAAAAGGAAAGGGGTTCAGTTTTAAATGATAATTCATCATTACATGTATTAAAATCAGGACCATGCAAGGAGACATGTGTATCATTGTTACGAATAGAAACTTATATGTTGAGGAATGCGTTAATAGAAACATATGTTATGAAGATATTATATTCTCGATTGATGAAGTATAGAATAACATCTCACCTTTGTTTCGACTTAGTAATGCATTTTATAAACATATTATATTTCGTGACTTGAAGAGCATGTGCGGAAAGAATCTAAACTCCTAACTACACTCTAACAAAATTATATTTCTCTTGGTGAATCAATAGCTTTCTAATACATGTACATGTAGTATTCAACAGAGTCATAGCCTGTATGAGCATCCCACTTTCTAAACTATTTTGATTTACATGAAATCCTGCCAGCTAAACTTTAAAAAGTAGCTCAGTCATCTCCTTTTTCTTACGTACTGAATGTCAAGAAACATTCATTCTGATTAAAATGTTATAATTGGAAACAACCAACTGACCCAATCAATTCTAGCTTACTGGTGCAAATTACCTGTGCCTGTGCACTGGGGTCTGGAACTTGCAATGAAATAAGAGATAGCAATGGTTGCACGGAGGTCGCGACCGGCTGTGAGTGGACCATCCCACGGCACACAGGGGGGTGGACAGCATCAGAACAGGAGGGAGGCATGCCAGGATTTTCACACAACATGGGTGAGAGTTAATGGAAGAAATGACGATGGGAGGGTGTAGGTGAAAAGAAAATTAATACAAACACATGAATAATAATAAATGATAGAGGAGACAAACACAAAAAAGAAAATCTATGTATTAGTCAAAATATTTCACTACAAATCAAGGGAATAAGTCATCTGTTCAAAATGAAATAGTCCAATGCATAAATCATCTATGAGATTTGTTCATAAAATGTGCATGCCACCAATACTTGTAAACCCAAAACATGTAAATCATGGGTAAAGTTTGAATTTGGGTATGTGGTATAAATGGGGTACCGTATTTCTACAATAGGAGTAAACATTAGCAAATTCAAGTACAATTTGTTCGTCATTTCTGTTAAAACTACACTCTTTGCGTGTTTGTTTTTCTTCACTTTTTTATTCAGTGGATTCTAATATTGAAGTTTGGAGTGATTTGCTATTACAGCTTGTGAAAAATAAGTGTGAAAACTAACTAATGAAGTATTTTTTTTTCTCTAGGATCTTTCACTGAGATAATCAATTTGTTGGTAAACGCATCATGATCACAAATTCTACAACACAATTTGAAATAAAAATTAACCCTAATAGGGCCGGGCTATTTGAAGTCTTAGTAGGGCCGGGGGGGCCATTATGGCCCCCCCTTAAGATCTCGGCCGCGAAGCGGTCGATCGCCGCCAAAATTTGCACGCATGTCAAGTGAAGTGTAAAGAATAATATGATAATTTCAATTTTTTGAAAAATTCACTCATTTGCATATTTATGGTAATTTATGCAAATAAAGTCATAAAAATCACATTTTTACCCATAAATCATATATTATTCATATTTAAGCATTCTTTTTCACTAGATATATTTATTAGACCATTCTGAATAATAATACGACAAAAAATTTGGAAGAGCCAGCTTATTTCTTATGTTATCCCTTGTTTTGTTAATTTCTTATGTATTTCATTGTTTTTTTAACTTATGTATTTCATTGTTTTTGTTGTTTTATTTCATCTTTTACTACAATTCAACTATTTTGACTCCCAAAACAACCACCTAAACTTTAATCAAGACCCAATAACCCATGTTTGATCTGTTTTTAGGAAAAATGACTTTGCCATACGTTTTGTACACAAATCACGAAAATGAGCGATTTTGAGGCTGACATGCAAGGACAAAATGTCACGTGACCTTGTAACCCTAGGTCCGATTTTCAAAAAAAATATTTTAAAAGTTGCGCAAGACTCGAAAGAAAAAAGTCAGCGAGCGGCGGGGCGCCATCCATATGCGTTCCCGAGCAATCAGAAAAATTGTGGAGGGGGGGGCCATAATGGCCCCCCCCCCCGGCCTTATTAGGGTTAAGGAACACGGCAAAAACACTGTTAAAGACAAAAATTAGAAAAACTGGTTAAGTTTCAGTATATAAGCATCCGTTATCTTGCCAATACTGAAATCTACCTGTCCAACTACCAACAGCAACTTTTGACCAATCACATTAACCTTTCTGTTAATGAAGTGCCTTGAACAAATAATTCTAAGTCATTTCATTCGTCCAATCAGAGAGCAATCATCCGTCACCAATTTGAATATCAATCGAACCAATCAGTGAATGACACTTTTACCCTGACAGACGCCATCTATCGACACTTGGACACTCAGAGTATCTAGACCCGAGCGATATTCATTGATTTTAATTGGTATTTTAAAGAAAAACTAAAAGGGCTTGATGGTCAAACCATCCTTGAATCTGGGGATAAGTAACTTTTTGCAATCACAAACCTAAAGAGTCAGAGTAATTGTCAACTGACTCTCTGAAGAACTTATAATCAATACTAAAACTGCTCAGGGCTGTGTATTCTCGCCTAGCATTTTTTCATTCTACACACAAGTGACTGTAAGGATGAAATTGAGAAAGTTAAAATCATAAAAATATGCAGATGACACTGCCATTCTGGGGATGATAAGGAACAGTAAAGATGAGTACAGACTAGGTGTTGAACACTCTGTAAATTGGTGCAATGACAACCATCTAAAGCAAATACATGTACATTCTAAACTAAAGAAATGGTCTTTGTCTTCCGCAGGAAGAAAACTCATATCCTCCTGATCACTTTATCAATAGTAACAATGAAGACATTGAATTTGTAATCAAACACAAGTACTTAGGCACAATAATTGACAACAAGTTATGTGGGGTTAATCAAACTAAAGAAGTAGTGACTATTAAAAGCAACCAATGGATGTATTTTCTACATAAGCTTCTATTCCCACTCCTAGCTGACACTTACAGGAAGATAATGAGCATGCTTTACAGATCAGTCAGTCATATACATGTACATGTATTATATTATGATCATGCCCACTATCTGTATTTACTTTGTATCACACATGTAGACAAAACAAATTTCTGTGTATGATTTATGGATAATAAAGTATTGAATTTAGTTGGTTATTCCAAAAAAAGTACAAACTTTGCAATATTAGAAGTTAACTCCATTGAAATTAAATGACTTATAAATATCTTACATACCAGTGCAGAAATTTTTGTTTCTTGCGCACTCCTCAGGTGCTGAAAAGAAGAAAAAAAGGGAAACATATATAATAACAATAACTGCTCAAATAAAGAGGTAGGGAATTATTCAAACAAAGAGGTAGTATAAGATGGTGAAATACACAAAATTTATATCTCAAGAACTTGCAGGATTGCTTGGTCTTTCTCCTAATTTTGGAGCAGACCTTTTCTTGATCAGCTGTATTTCAGATTATTACTTAACATTCAGTACATTCCTGTTTGACCAAAAGATTCTGAGCTTAACACTAATAATATCAACATCAAATTAAATTCATTAAATGATGAAAAAATTTAAAATACACTATGAATAGTAGATAGATAGTGGAGTACATAGAGACAGAGGCGACGAGACAGAGAGGAAAAGTGAGCGCAGAGTGGGCGGAGAAGAAAGTGTGAGAAAGAGAGTGGAGAGCGGAGAGAGCATTAATACGGGAAAGAGATAAAAGAGGAGTTTTTAATGTGTTTTTTTTCTTTCTTACCACTTGATGTAGCTCTAACAGACTACACTGATTACTGTCCATGATAGATAGTGGAGTAAAGAAACAGTGGTGAAGAGACAAAGAGGAAAAGTGGGCGCAGAGTGGGCGGAGAAAAAAGTGTGAGAAAGAGAACAAGTGGAGAGCAGAGTGAGCATAAACAAAAAACCTGAGATAAGGCCTAAAAAAAAGATGTTGTATTGCCCTTTAGGTGCCAAAACATGGGTTAATCAGTTGGAAATCTTTTTTTTTTTTAAACCCTCTTTGGGCCAATATTTCTCAGTTTTGAATGCTTTAATACATTTTTTTCTAAAAAACATTACAAAAATTCGACCATAGATTTCAAGATTTTTGGGTCGGTCGCAAAGGGCAATACAACATTTTTTTTTAAAGCCTAATGGAGGTGTATTCGGTCTTACCACTTGATGTAGCTCTACCAGACTACACTGATTACTGTCTATTATCTCTCCATCTACACTGGGTACTAGATCGAGTTCCAGCCTGCAGTTTCCCCAGTCCACCCTGCTCATGATGGTACCTTTGACCTCTTTGCTCTTGCCCAAGGTCATCGTCCCCGACAGGAGCTGGCTTCGAAGGTCAATCACCTCCAGCATGATCTTCTTCAGTTCTTTGAACCAGTCCATCTTGTGTTTCTACAAAGAAAGATGGAAATTTTGACAGAGAATATATAAGAGAAAGAAAAGTCCCACAAATTTAATCCAACTATTAAGCAATAATCATTGGGAGTGATACTTTGAATAACTAAACTTTCTATACAAATATGATATAAAAAACAGTCCACAGTGTTATGCGGCAGCAAAATAGCAAAGAAACACAAACAGAAAAACTAAATTTGAGAAATAAAATATTTAATCAGATTTAAGGGCTAAGAGAAACATGGAAGAGCAAAGTGACTTTGCAAAGATTCCTTTAAATTTCAAAGGCAAAAGATCAAGGGAGATCATTAAAGGGAGGTTTTATACTGTATACCACCGTGAAGTTGCAGTGTTTGTCATGGTCATGGATTATATGAAATGTTTCCTTCATGTATTGCGAGCAAATGAATAAAAAACAATTTCTTCAAATAGCTTTAAAAGCTATTGAAAGAAATTAAGGGTAAAAGGAAGTTAGGTTTAAACATCAAAGAAAATCAATTTGCTTTCCCCTAAAATGCAATATTCTCTTTAAAGGGATCCGGTATTAACTTTGTCTTAGATCCTTTAAAAAAAATCCTTGATTTAGCTCATGCTGCAATGATAATTATAAACCTTTAGGTCAGTCAGAAACCCCATGACTTTTACAAGCCGATTGCCTGTTTGATTATCAAGATATTTATGATTGAAAATCAAAATTTAATTTTGCGTTTGCCAAACAGTTTTCATAACACTACAGTCTATTGGGGAAAACAAGTATGGTAAAACCGGTCACTCAAAGGTTTTTACTTTTTTGAGGCACTTCTTGATCATTTTGAAGCGCAATTTTGTTAGGGCTTCCATGTAACACCATATCACAGACACTAATAACACGTAGGGCCATGCATCTCAGATTTAACATTGTTAAACAATCCCTTTAATAAGAAAATCTCACATTCTACATTTGCCAATGTAAATAGAACCTTCTGTCAACAAAAAGCTTAGAAACCTGAGAGACATTCATTATCGAGGTTACCAGCCATAACAAAACAATATTTGTCTGTTCTATCCACCTTGGTACATGGATAGAAATGAATAAACAAATTGAAAGAAATCTCTGATTCTACCCCTCAACTTGGACTATTAAAGGCATAGACCAGTTTTGGAAACGCCCCCCTCTCAAAAAAAGAAATGGAAGCTCTTATTACCAATCATGTGTGAAAGAATATGTTTTGACTAATACGTGATGATACAAATTTTGCCGGGAAACCGCCTATTAATTGATAAATTTGGTAAATTATTATATCTATCTGGACTGGATAGATATCCTGTAGTCCCATATAGATACATACATCTTTCTGTGTACAGTGCTTGTAACTTAACCAAGACGGGACCAAGTTTTCTTATCATTTTGATGATTCCAGAACCTTGCAGTACACACCAATACTTATATGTTATGATCAAACTTTTCTGATCGATTCCACAACGTTTCTTTCACAATGCAATCGCATGACCAGAACTGGTCTATACCTTTAAACACTGCACATTAAGTTTCTACATACTATACTATGTCAATTAAGCCATGTACATGTATCCATGTATGAACCCACAACTTTGAACTTTGCGTGTTCTGGGTAATGGTAACTCAGTGCCATAAAGGTTAATGGCAGATTGAAAGTAGCCATAATATCAATTCTGCTTTGCATATAAATCATCTAACAATGGCATGTTATGACAAAGGGAATTTAAAGATGAAGTTGAGTTCTGGTCATGCGATTGCATTGTGAAAGAAACGGTGTGGAATCGACCAGAAAAGGTTGATCATCTAGCATATAAGAATTTGTGTGTATTGCAAGGTTCTGGAATCATCAAAATGATAAGAAATTTGGCCAAGTCTTGGTAAAATTACAAACACTGTACACAGAAAGATGTGGGACTACATGAACACATGGTGTAAAATCCTACCCTGCATTCTTACGATGTTACGTGACATATTTAGAATATGAAGGCATTAATTTGAAGAGCCATACTTTTCAGGGAACATGTCTTATCTGATGTTCTTCCACACTTGCATAATAAGAATGATAACGCTCACAAGTTATTTTTCACCTCTTCCCAGAACTCCTCTTTAAAGAGAATTGAAACTTCGATATCCAGTCAGAATATCTGGTTTCAAAACATTGAAATACATTTTTCTTTATAAGGACAGATCAGAGCAGTGCATCTGTATGTACCTGTACGTGTCTTCTCGTCAGAATGAAAGCTGAGTAAATTTATCCAGTGCAAAAGGATACTTTTTTGGCACTATGTTTCAACGTTGAGTCCAAGAATAATTTAATATTAACATATACCAGGTAGTTTTCTTATCAAAATTTACTTTAAATGCAAAACTATGGTATGGACTCTACAACAGATGTAACAGGAGACAAGACATTGGTACTGCAATGGACACAAAGTGGTAGTATACCGGTACATGTATGTAAATAAATGTACATTCATGAAAGATTCCAAATTATTTGTGTTTTACCTTATATTCATGAATTTGGAATTTTGAACAGATTGTGAAAGCAGGAACTTTCCATGGTGAAAAGTACTATCTCTCACACCATCTGGTGGAGTACATTGTAAAAGCCTACCTATTTAGACACGTTATATAGTGGAAATACTGCTATGAAGAAAAGAATGCCTGCATAAAATATTGTGCACTTCAACTTTCGTTTACTGGTAACTATTTTCTTTATCAAGGAACAGGTGTAAGAACGATTGTTCATGTCTGACAATCTCAGGTTTTTTTAAATCTCAGAACAATTACCTAGCTTAACTGTTCTTTTTATGTTGTCAAGTTTTTTTTTTCTGCTGTTTTATGTTTGTTTGTTTGTATTGTTGTTGTTTGTTTTGTTTTGTTATAGTTATTTCACTGCTCATATCCACTCAAGGTTTTCAGAGTATAAACAGAAAATCAATTTGGAAGACTACAGGGTAGTTTCTGCTGTTTTATGTTTGTTTGTTTGTTTGTATTGTTGTTGTTTGTTTTGTTTTTTTATAGTTATTTCACTGCTCATATCCACTCAAGGTTTTCAGAGTATAAACAGAAAATCAATTTGGAAGACTACAGGGTAGTTGCAAACAAATGTTTAATATTCATGTACAAGTAACCCATTTATCACAGAACAATGACAAATAACCTGTATGGATACATGTACAACATGACTCAGATATAGTATGAAGTCACCAGTATAAAGGGGAAAACTTTTCCAGCTACATACAGTGTATGCTGTTCATTTGACATTATCATATAATGTGTTATCTTTGGCAAACACGCATTGTATACGTTAATGCAAGCAGGATATCATGGAAAAGGGTAAGAATTCCATTAAAACAATTACACTGCTTCAGAAATAAACGGGGAAGAAATTTGAGATGACTTGCCAGATTTACCTATTGACCTCATATATATGATATAGCAATATGCTGCTGTGAAAGAAGATTGTTTTCCAAAGAAAAAATGTAAACAAATGCCCAATCTATAGTACAGTCAAACCTGCTTTAGTGACCACCTGTCTACAAAGAGCACATTTTTTGTTTTCCTTGAAAATGGTTTCTCATTCAAACATGTACTAAAGGAACTGGTCTACAAAGACCACCTGTCTATTAAGACCACTTTATACGTTTCCCTTGGGTGGTCACTATAGACAGGTTTGACTGTATTTATGGAGAAATCTGGTACATTTTTACACATTATTTATTTATGCCACGGATTAAGTTAACTTTCTGGATGAGTGGACACAGATTGTCATTGTGGCACAAGCCCAGAGGTCTGGAACTCAAATGTAATTACTGGTCTCAACATATTATTTTGTTCTGAATTCGAATTTTGTTAGGGCTCATGATACTAAACTTACCTACATTTTCAAATAAACAGTATGCATAATGTTCGAATTTTCATTTAAAATGGTAACATAGATGCAATTTATGTTTATACTGCAATCAATGTACACTGTATTATATATATTGTTTCTTTTCCAATGTAAATAATCATTTTCAGAATGTTATTATGTTTGTGACGATATACATTTGCTATTTCCGTATTATGTATTTCTTCTTGTATTATGTACATGACTGTAAAACCAGTGAAAAAAGAATTTCCTGAAAGGGACAATAAATTTCAATTCAATTCACTGCACCATCATACATTCTCCACACGTTGAACGACCTTGAGCAAACTTTAGCAGACCTCTAAAATCATTTACATAAAGCAGGAAGTTCATAGCAGTGCTGGACAAAATGACAAGAACATATGTACATGTACATGTATATATATATACCCTTCAATTGTAAATTGGAAAGAGTTACTAGCAAGAGCAATTTATAATCAATCAACGGATTTGTGAAAGTTTGGTTGTGAGAGAGCAGACAGCTGAATGCATCACGTCTGATTCATCCCACTCCATGTACTAACGCGCAGCAGGAAATATTGACTCATTGTGAAATTGTGTCCTTCCCTCGTCAGCTCGATGAGGAAGTTTTCTCTCTTTGTTTACAGACGTTGTGACGGTGTGGAAGTCATCAAGTATCAATAATGAGATTCAAATACTTAATAATCACACGATAACTCCGTACACTGCTTCTGTTCGATATGCATACAATGTAGAAGGTCGGTGTTGATTAACTGTATAAACATAGACCTATATGTACAAGGCACTGTATGGAACCTTTGATTGCTGTATGAAAACCTCACGAAACTGCATCCTTTTTATAAGCGTCGATAGCTTCCTCTTTGACTTTGGGGAAAACGGTAACATTCCCCGAGTACTGCCCGTTGTTCGATAGTACTCAATCATGTGCATGTATGTCAGAATTACAACCATCTTTCATCCACAATGGAAAACTACAACATGTATACAGTATGATACATGTACCTGTACAATACATATTTGTTACATAATTGCAGTCTACACCTGTACATGAAGTGCATGTACGTTATGCAAGCTTTCTGCCAGGATTTCAAAATGGGGGATTCAAACAAAAGTGAAGGGTGTTTAAACTCTGTGTATTGTGTATTTACAGTATATGAGTTAATGTCCTTTTGGCTCTAGAAGATTTCTCTATCTGTATCTGTCCGTGACGTACCGGTACAATCACAAGCATCTGGTTGTCGCGTACGTAGGGTTACGGTCAAACGCCAAACACACCTAAATATCGAAGTGTGCTTCGTCTACAAGGTTTTTAATATCTAATGAGTCCAATTTGGTTTTGAAAGTTTTCACATCGGGTGAGATTTTATGTCAATTATAACAAAACAAATGTTGGTCAAACTTTCTAGCTGCATGTACAGTATGCATCACATTTTCTATGATTAGAAACTCTTTAGAACCTACATACAGTATGTGTAGATCAATCTATCAGTGTAAGTGGTATACTTCACATTTTTCCTGTATTGAAATGAGGAAACGTCAGTAACATTTTCCTCACATGTATACACGTACTATATGTCCTATTATTGTAGAACTTAAACTTGCGACCCTTATAATAATTTTCTTCTTGTTTGGAAGTGTATCTATCTCTCAAGGTTTACTACAAACACTCAGTGCACACAAATACAAGGTGAACTTAACTTTGAACCAGTATCTATCCATTGAAATTTCACAATGGGAAAATCCCGCATTGAGGAAGAGAAAAGACACACATACTGTACATGTATGTATATACATAAGCTGTCATGTACATACATATACAGGAGCGTTGTATATGGTAGACATGTAGTCCGTAAAATTATCATGAAAAGTTGCTTAGAATTAATTGTTGTTTGTTCAAGATTATTTAGAATCATACCAATGAGTCAAAACTGTTTTGAAAATTGAAGGAAAAAAAACATCACTTTGGTGCTCTACACAATACAGCCTACGAACTCTTGCAAGTACAATACTGGTAGACATATTGAGCGATCTCCCTTTGGGGACCATAAATGATTGACACTGCCAGAAAACCTCTTTGGTATATCAGTCGAGGCAACAAACTTTTGGCTGGGTCACTTGTCTCCCTCCACAAATCACTCGATGACAATTGATTATCGGCATGTAATTTGTTTTTATCTACAAATGCTGTCTGCTTTCTTTATCAATCCTATCCAAGTATTAGAGTGTTGTAGAAAGTACTGTAGGAACCTCGAAAGGAATTACCTACTATCAGATAATGAGTCTGTCAGTACCTAACACAAAGAGCCCAACGATAAGACAACTAATCAACACTTAATCAAGAGACTCATGAGTGTCTGATTAAAGGGATATCCAACCCTAGTGATACATGTAAGTTCGTTTTTATAAAGCAGAAAATTAAGATGACAAAATACTAAAAATTTGAAATAAATTGGAGCAATCAATAGAAAGTTATGAATGCTTGAAATCACTATTAAAGTCTATATGCAAATCAGAAATCGGCAGTTTGGTCAGTGGATTGTGATGGAGGCGCAGATAATTCTCCCATTTGTCTTGTACAAAACTTATCATTGATTTCATTTTTTTCTCCCTCCTAAGTGCCTTCTCTCTTAGTTGGGGCACTACTCAAACTATGTTATGGATAGCATATTATTACTTGAAGAGCCCATACCTACATGTATAGTGATTAAACTTTAAAAATTAACAACTTTCTCATTCTTTTTTGTCCAATTTCATTCTAACTTTTACCGGTCTAATTCTCTGCTTTTTCTGCGTTCCTCTGGAGTAGTTTGATATCAAAGTTGGATTTCCCTTTAATGGAGAGGTAAGCTTGACACACATTCAATGCTCCTACCAAAGGTACAAGGTACACATCATTTACAAAATGAAAGTATGAGTCTAAGTATTACTTTGTGGTTAAAATAAGGACTTTGATTCGTTTAATTTGAATATCTACGTTATAAACCTACCCCAATTACCTGTCTGTTTGATTTTCACAGCAAAAGATATTTTAATAGTTTACCATAATTCTTTCTTACCAGCAAATTAAATTACATTTTTCACACTGTTTCTTGATGTTTACAGATTCTAGAAATTGTATGCTTTCATATCCCAAAATGTTTTGTTCCACTTGCTTTAAAATCATTATTTTCATTGTCTGTTTTGTCTAGAACATTTCAAAACAAATCTATGGCTAGTGAAACCATGGCAAACTTCCAAAAGCTTAATACATGTACATTGATAAAATAAAGAATAACATTTGTAAGAAATCTTGTGATTAAAATATCACTTCTTTCATCACACATGTACACTGGTATGTGTGTTTATAATATCAAATGATTTTAACAGAACTCAATAACTTTTCTTGAAATTCGTAAACATGGTTATTGCAGAATATTACATTATCAATGTGACTATAAATGTGCATCTATTATTGCATCAACAACCACAGAGGCTCATGTAGTAATGGTTGAGCGTATACTTAGCTAGCAGGACCTTGGAGCATTGTTTTAAAAATAAAATTCTATTTAAATAAAAGACTCATTAGCTCTTACCGTATTAGATTAGTGAGTAATGATACAAGTAAACAGTATTGTGGTTCTGACTTCCTCTTTTGCTAACATACAGATAAGTATTTCCTCTTTTCCTTTTAAATGCCCTGAAATTTGATCATTTGGACAGACTCAAGCACATTTACAAGCAGCCTACTCACCATATGATCAGTCTAAAATGACTAAATGAAGATTCGACTCATAAGGGTCTGCTTATCTTTTCTTTAAAGCCCCACTGTACTACTTGTAGCTACTTGCTCCCTCTATATAGAAAACAATGCCTAATCTGTGACCATTGGTCCCCCATGATCCTCTTTTACTTATGTTAATTGAGAGCTGAGTTGATGAGATAGCCACCTGTCAGTAAACACCAGAGTGGTCTAATCTCTCCTAGCCAAACTGGTACAGACGGCCTTTAATTTCTTTCTGATATATATATATGGAAGCAATTATTCATCAGCTGAGTGATTGTCTTCTAGGAGTCTGTTTTATATAATCAGTAAAAACAATCTTCCCCATGATTAACTCATTAACGACAAAACGAAACTCAGTGGGAAGTTTGGGGAGGTTTTTCTTCAAAAGTATACATGTAGTATTGTCTATTCAGATATGAATAAAAGAATCAAAGAATAGAATGGCATATAGAAGGTGACCATGCAAAGTTTACTCTGGTACAAAATAGAATATATATTGCTGCAAACCCAAATCAATTTCTAACATGAATAAAACTATCTAACTGAACATGAGTTCACACATTTTCTTGCGTGAATATGAACAGCACAAGGACATACATACATGTACATTGTAGCTTCAGTACATTGGAGTCAAGGGGTCATTGTTTCTTACCATAAAGCGTTCAACGAAGATGACATGCCACTCTCGTAGGACCAGCGTCACTTCCTGAATCAGAGGCTCGTTGGCCTTCCGGCGCCGTTCTTCCTCTCTGGCGGTACATGAAGCAAAAGTGGAAGAAAGAAGAGAAGAACAAATCTGAGTGAATTGTGCAATGTAAAATGACAGGTTCATACATGTATACGTAAACATACATTCACTTTCATTCAAAGCAGTATACAACTGTACATGTATATGACGCCTGGCTGGAATGCTCCCCAGGGAGTGGAAAATGTACATACAGCACTTTGAGAGGGCCTGCGGTCCTGAACAGCACTATATAAGAACAAACTATTATTATTATTATTATATTATCTACCAAAAGCCAAGCTAGGGAAATGGAGCAATATCTTTGTCTTTTTTTTTCTTTCTCATGAAAGACAAAAGTGGAAGTACATTGTACCTTTTCTAAGTCTGAACATACTTTGTAATCAAACTGTAGTTTGATGAACTATATGACATAATTTCCCCAAAGTTAGGAAATCTTGAATGGGCACACCATGTGTTTAGTCCTTAGAACGACTGACGACGGATGGAGTACACTGTCCGAATCATCAAGACGATCTCTTTCTTCAAAGTACTTGTCAGAACTATACCCAATATATTATAACAGTTCTTTTAAGAAATAATACATCTTTCTAATAAAGAATACCCCTGTCCATCTATTAGAACTACACACATGGTGTACCCATTTAAGTTTTCCTGCCTCGTCTCCCCCACCTTGAAAACCTATTTGACATTGATCATTTCATTATGACCCCGGTATATATATGTAGTTCAATGAATTCTGCCGTCATGAACATAAGGATTTTTTTTTAAAGTAAAAAGAATGACTTGACAGCTGCCTTTAACGTATATGACCTGTGTCTGCAGGTAGTTGACACATGTTTAAGTTCAAGCTCCATGTTGAATGAGGCGGCCATTTGTCCTCCATGTACTTGTGTCTTGTATCCCTATCGGTTTCTGTGTTACTAATATCCTCTACTAGTCCACATCAACGATATTCAGTGCTATAGAGTTTCTCTATCCCTTTTTAAGTTTTTAAAGTTAACAATCACAAACAGTCATATATCTACCTACTTTAGCAACCTTTTGTATAGAAAGACTTAACATCTCTACATGTATAAAGACATTTTTCCCCTTTAATTTTTTTTTTTTTTTTCTATTTTTCATTTTTTCATTTTTCATTTTTCATTTTTTTTTTTGGGGGGGAGGGGGGGGGGGGGTCCTGGCCGTTATGCGTCATAAGGGACATTATGGATTTCAGATATGGACTTTGTGCATTCATGTGCAGAATTTTTTTTTTTTTTTATATTTGTGTCACTTGATTTTTATTTTCTTCTTCAACCTACATACATGTCCGGTATGCCCTTCATATGCCCTTCAGATGTACACATATGTAGTAAAATCTACAAACTGATCAGATTTCAGACTAGGGACTGGAAATTAAACCATCCAAGGTATACATGCAGGTGAAAGAAAAAAGAACCAACTCAACTACCAATCCAAGAAAAGTCCCACATTTTTGTGTTGCACAATGTCTCGCTGCCTTACAGTTTCAAGTAAGCTTGGGGAGCAACGCTACGTGTACTGATACAAGATAAAACAAAACTCTACTTTTTGTTATCAGAATAATCAATTACAAAATGTAGGCATACAATTTACTTGTATGTCTTTTGCATACAACTGATATGCTCTATGAATTGTATACCTATGATAAAAATCAATACAGAATAATAGTACTTCATTCTGTGTCCAATACTGTCTCATTCTGAATTTCCTCAACAGTTCAAGTCGACCAGGTCTATAATCATGAAATATTGCAACAGGAAATCAGATTTTGTGCATGCATGGTGTACCCTCATTCACCTCCATAGGATTTCATTGTGCTATACTGTAGTTTCAAAAGACGGGCCACACTATAGGAAACTGATAAAGACCAAAATAGATTTATTTTAACAGATGTACATGTAAAGGTATAGGTGCTGTGCCTCTGGGCTTTATACTGAATTCAGTTTCTGTTTCTGAAGCGTGTATGCACAGTCTGTCATCAAACATGTTCATGTACATGTAGGCAAAGAATAATATGGCTTAAAACTCTCAAGAACTATGTGTAATGTAATGTCGAGTCTCACTGGTTTTAATACTCCAGCTTTATGGTAGAATTTTGGAAGAGTTTTAATGAGGTAATATATTATAAGCAGGTTGCAGGATTTCAAATCAAATTATAAACTTGAACTTTGCTTGAGAAGAACTATATATACCGGTACATTTTGGACCATGTTTTATTTTTATTTCAAGGTTTTGATGCATTTTAAGTGGTGAATATGCTTTCTTAAAACAATCACTGAGATATTCTGAATGGATGTTTCTGTGCAATAAATAACAATAGCTGTGAAATACATTCCATTTCGGACAGGTAAATAAAAATGACAATTACTGTACGTGTATAAAATTCAAAAAGCTAATTTGCTGAATGCACTTGCTGACTGTATTTGTGCCAAAAATGGATTGGCTGACGTGTATCATATTCAACAAACTATTTTTAGTTTCTGGTATACAATAAATAGCTTTTCAAGGGCAATTCTTTTCATGTTATATGGCAAATTGGCCAATTTGCAAATTTTCCAAAAAATACTAGCAGAGATAAAAATAAGTATGAGATTAAACATATAAACATTAATACAGTACATGCAAAATACTTTGGTATCTTTACAACCTTTACCTATATTTTGAGCCTATTCTGTCATTCAAAGTTAGTATTTTCATTCACATAATAGGCCCTTAATTCACATCAACACTAAATTTATCTGTACATGTGTACCCAAATCACCAGTGAAGTATAGCAAATATTATTGAATTGTGGTGACTGTCTTTATTTCTCAATTGGCCTTTTGAGGATATGATCTGCAAATATTTCAGTTTGAGAAGAAAAAGAATCTAAATGAAGTAAGTGCACCCATGAGTGCATGCACAGACTGTAGGATTCTGACTCAGAATTGGTCACGTGTGAGCAATTAACAATTAATCCTGAAATGTACACATTGCCATTTGTTTTGGCCTGATACTGTGTACATGTATGCCAGTCTACAAACCAAGGTTAATTTACCAACATCTATAAACCTCTGCATTTATACAAGTAGCGTGCAGGCAATAAAATATCTTTCTTTCCAATACTTCCCCATAACAGGCGATATGCACTCATGCTTGACATCATAACAAGCAAATAAACAAACAAATACCATTTACCGGTACATGTATTCAGTAGATTAATCACCTATTGAACAAGTTGTGGATTTCAATGGAGACAAATTGTTCCAAATTTTAAATGAATAATAATGCCTGTCATCATAATCTGAGCAAAATATCCAAACTTGGTATATAGTCGGTACTACATGTATATTGTTCGTCGTTTGGTATCGAGATAGTTTGAAATTTTTGACCAATAATCATTTTTCCTCTACTTTTTTTTCATTTTTCTCACTATATATTCTGAAGGCAAAAACAAACATATGTTATATATAATTCTACTCATAAACTTACTCATGCCTCCCCCACCCCTAAAAAAAAAACACCCCGAAACTATTTGATTCATACGGGTTTCAATGGGGTGTTTACGGTATGAAGTGAAGACCTACATGTACGCTGCAGATGTATGACAGTTTGTGAGGCATTGCATGAAAGGTATAAATTTCATTATCACTAGGTAACTTATTTATTTCTTTTCATGAAATACTTCCAAAAGACGGAATTCTACAAATGACATCATGAAGCAACGAAAGGAATAAAGAATCAAGAAATTCCACCTACAATATTATTGTCAACAAAAAAAAATCATATATATGGGAAGACATATGACATGTGATGGTACAAACATAATATACAAACTATTCAAAAAGCAAATGATAAAATATGTTAAATGTAGTATTGTCAACTTGTGGACTTACCCATCTATAGGTGGTTCTCTTATATGCACATAAGATGTTGGGAAAATACCCTGTATGAGGCATGGAAACAAAACAAAAGATTCATATATAAATCTATATTTGGATGGTCATAACATCATTAGTAAAAATGGGGGGGGGGGGTGGTGCTCGAAGCGTCAACACACTACCAGTATGTTGAGTTCTTCAATTTAATCTACATGTACAGGTGTATGTTTACATGTAGTTGTATTCACTAGGTGGATTCAGTCTGATTTGTAGATCACACAATTTCTGCAGACTTCAGCCAAAGCTCCATTTATCTTGAGCTTAATTAGTATATCATGGGTTAATCCTTTGCCTCCGGAACTACAGTAGGTGGCTGCAGTATTAACCCTATACACTGTAGGATTGACAGAATTTGGTAGTCAAGGGATTAAAATGCATGGGTCACTAGTGCTATAGCTTGATTTAAATAGGAAGTCTAGTGTCGACCGTAGACCATTCATACATATAATGTACAGGACTACATGTATGTCAATTTGCTGTTCTTAGAATCACACAGCCCAATGCAATACAGGCATGTACAACCTATTGATAATTTAAAACAGCGTGTAACTGCAATTAGGGAATTCATTTCATGATCACAATACAAAATTATCCTACTGTATATACACTAATAATGTATACTTGTGTCATATATCTACATGTAACTTTAAATAGAGAGGTGCTATTGCATGCTATATGTTCTAAGGATTGAGTACCGAAACTACCATTTAGGAAGTTCATAAAAAGTCCCATCCTACACACAGTCTGCTCGGTGAACAATAAGCATGTTTGCTCACGACATGGGCTAAATAAATCATGTATGACAAAGAAATAAGGAAGTGATACTCTATATTTTTCATTATCTGCATCATACATGCACATGTGCATTAAAGGTACTATGTCCCATTTGCAGGCCCAAAAAAATGAAAAAGTTAAATTCCAACTGCATTTGAAAGATAATACTAATTTAGAACTTCCCTAAAAAAGGTGGGGCTTGAAAATGTCTTCAAGTGGGAAAATAACGACTATTAGTTGTCAAATTGACTTTAGGGCTATAGAGCCCAAAAGTAATAGTCTTGATTTTCAGACAATTGTACCGAATGGTCATACGTTTTATGCTGCGCAAAGATTCAATCAGTTTAATCTTGGCCATCACAAGAAGTGGGTTATTGATGTAGACAAATGCTCATGTACCCTTTACAACTCTTTTCATGTATGTTATTACCAAAGAAGAAGAAAAGCCAGTCAGTCACTCAATAGTGTCTGACAGTGAAGTCTAGCAAGTAAACGGGTTTCCTTGCATAATTTAAATATGAGTACACTGCTAACGTTTAAATTTCACAGATAGGACATACATGACATATTCATAATTCCTTCAAAGTTCTACAGAATTTGAGGTTGGCTGCAAAAGGGACATAGTACCTTTAAGAGCTACATGTCAGCCAATATATTGATAGGGGAAGAAATTAACAATTTTCTTTCTTGTCCTAAGACTTGTTGGATAGATGCCAACTTTAGAAAGTTTGGATGATGAGCTGTCGTCGAGATTAGCAACCAAATGAAATCCAAAAGTGATGGATTTCTGGGTAACAAATCTACTCATAGCCCTGAGAAACGAGAAGTGACAGCATCATATCAGGGCAGTGAATGAGAGAGGAAGTTTCCTTCCATTTTCACCCAAACCCTGGATCCAACCTTATAGTCAAAATGAGCAAGACTGTCTAGGTCTGTCTCCATCAGCTCGAGATTGCCAAATAGCCCGCTATTTCTGATTTGGGAAATAAGCCAAAAGTTACAAATGACGTCTTCATCAGCTCGAGACTCGACCTCGAAACTTGAAACTTGAGCTCGAGAAATTAGCTCGAGATATTTTGCTCAGCGTTCACGCATAGTTCGAGTCTTCGGGCTGGTGAAGTGCACCGGACAAATAGCGGGATATTTTGCAAACTAGCCCAAGATATCTTAGGATGATTATCTCAACCAAATATCCCGCTAATTGCAACTGCAGGCTGATGAAGATGTAAATTACCATAGCTGGATAATTGGCAATCAGGATAGTTGAAATAGTGGGTGATTTGGCGATCTCGAGCTGATGAAAACAAGCCTTCTGAGTCCCTTTCTCAATGTTATTTTTTTTCTCCAGCTGTTATACATTCATTCATATCGATGTACTACACATACACATACATGTATGTACTCAACATTGTGAACAGCCACCCCTTGAAATACTGTGGCAGTGTGGACAGACTTTGGCCTCGGTGAGATTGCATGTTTTTAGAATGCATTACGATTTCATTGATTACTAGCCCCTGATGAGCCATTGCTTAGTCAACCCTGTGACTAACCCTCCCCGCAGTGGGAACAGTGCCATTATAAAGGGGGAAGGGATTTATTCCTGGAGGGCAGTGGAGGCCCACTGTGCAATATTCTCTCAGCTGATCCTCTAAACAGCTCTTCACCATTGCACACCTGCTCATCAATCTACATACTTGTGTATGTGTATCAAACCTGTGTCCTCAAAACTTTGCATTTGAACATATGTACATATGCATTAAACCTCTATCATGGGTCTACGTGTAGCATTTATAAGAGTAAAAAACACAACCTATTTTCTATGATTTGCATTTTGCAGTTCATCTTCATCTACACGGGCAAGTCTTAGTTTTTTTTTGTCAATTGGTGTCCATTACATTACCTATTACATTAAAGAGTTATCAACATATTGAAATGACATCAAATGTGTCAATTGGCTTCCCATTCTATGTGATCAAAGCATTAATAGGGCTAATATTGATTTAATTCCTGTATAATATACAATAATATCTTAGATGTGGATGGTAAAATATGGGGTAAAATAACTGAGATTTGCACATTTAAGTACAATGTCTTTATCAGCAGGAATTATATTAGTCCAATACCATGCATTTATTTGACATACTTAATATTTCATTTGTATAAAAAAAACCTGATAAAGACAGATGAGCAATGCTTACCGGCACAGAAGGTTTCTTTGAGCAATAACCCCGATACCACCCTGAGAAATAGAAAAAACAGGTCATGAGAGAGAATGAAATGAAAAATATACATCAAATTTTCAGATACGGTAAAGATTTTGCAGGATTTCAACAAAAATCATGAAAAGCCTGCTTCTGCATATTAAAAGCACCACTCTATATCTTATACCTCACTCAGATTCTAAAGCCTTTTCTTTGAAGACATGACTTTAATCAATCACCCGCATCCTCAAATACTTCATCGAGCATTTTAAATATCATATTAATTTATTGATGTACATGCTTTTAGGCAAAGCTTTTTGTACCTCACCGACAAATTGATTCAATTTAGTCTTGAGATACAGATCATACAGTAGTTCTACTGTACAGGTAGTACCATATTTTCAGAAATTCCATGCATGTCCAAATTTGTGCATCAAACAAGATGAACGAGATTGATACATCTATATATATATCTCTGTAAATGACAAGCAATTGAAAGCAAAAGAAAGTACTCTAAAGATATAACACAGCATACAACATACTGTAGATACAAATTTAGATTCAGTCTCATGCATATCAGCCCACTCCCCACTGGGTTTATAAATACAGAATGTTTGTTTTGTTTTTAATATTTCCTGGTTTAAAAGACAGGGGTGATAGTGAGCACTAAAAAAAAAATAGGTTTTTTGTTTTCCCCTCAACCACGCCCCCCTTGAGTAAAAAAAAAAAAAGAGGATTCGCGGGGAAAAAATGGCATCTAACAACATTCCCCCCTTTCGAGTAAGAAAATTGGGACAAAATTAGGAAAAAAAATGGGGCAAAATAGGGAAGAATAGAGAAAATAAGAGGGAAATCGGGAAAATCAGGATAAAATAGGGAAGAAAAAAAAAATTTGTAAAAAAAAAAAAAAAAAAAAAAAAAAAAAAAATCTGGATTTTTTTTTTTTTTTTTTTTTTTTTTTTTTAAATCGGGAAGAAAAAAAAAATCGGGAAAAAATCGGGAAAAATAAAAAAAATCGGGAAACCGATTTAAATCGGGTTTTTATCAGGCCTGAAAAGAACAATAAATAATGTTCATAAGATTGAACCACACCTAAAAACACAAAATAGTTACTTTTATCCAATTGTTTTTTTATGGCAGGCTAATACTGAGGAAAAAAATACCATTTTTTTGTCATTCCTTATTTGAGGGGTGGTGAATCAACACAAGAAGTAGAATTCAGAAATTATACTTTACCCATGTTTTCTTCCAAGATGTGGACAGCATCTCCGATTTCAAGTGGTAATCCATGCTCAACTTTGCCATCAAAATTCCAAACAGCTGGGGTACATGTAAAGAAGAAAATTCATACATTGCTTAAATTGCTTTCATAAAGTTACCTTTTAAAAGAGAAAAATCAAATTCTACTATTTTTTCAATGTTACATTACAACTTTTGATGACTACACATGTAGAACATGTCTGAAAACTATGCATTTTGTTTGTTAATGTTGTGGTCGAGTGGATTCGTTGTCAGACTGTCGATCACAAGGTCTGCGGTTTGAGTCAAGCCGCGGCACTAATGTCCTTTGGCAAGATATTGATTACATTTGCCACTCTCCACCCTGGTGTTAAATGGGTACCCAGTAGGATGCGAAAGCCAATGTGGTATGCTTAGCAATTTGAGCCTAGTAGCTCTTGTTGGAATGCTCCCCAGGGAGTGGAGAAAGTGCATACATTGTGTGCAGGCAAGTCAGAATCCAATGACCGGGGTAATAATGTAAAGCGCTTAGAAACTCAGACATTCCCGACGTATTTTGCACTATATAAGCAAAAATATTATTATTATTATTATTATTATTATTTTTAGTTATGTTTCATTGACCTACATTGTATGTACATAAAACATCCAATCAAAACAAAGCTGTCTTATTGTACATGTATGCATGCATTTTTAAAAAAAGGGATGCTTCAGCCTTCAGGAAAGTTGGATGGGTGCAAACTACAGTGTATATATCTTACATTTAACAGAATACAACTGCAAATTTAAAATGTCTACCGGTAGTCAATATTTTATATCTAACCTTTAACATTATAAGCGAGGCTACATGTATGCATTGATCTTTGCCAAGGTGACTATTACCTCAGACACCTCTGCAACCAGATTAAAGGTTTTGGTTACCCTAGTTACTACTGCCTACATACTAATAAATAGTGAACTTATATGTGCTAAACACAACAAACAACAGCAATAATCCTTAAAATAAGAAAAGTTTTAAATAGCCTTAGAGCACTTGAACTTTAATAAATACATGTACATGTATCATGTGAGCACACATGTACAGTACCGTATGTGAATTCACAAATTTCAACATATTCATGTGTTACAGTGTTCCCATTCAACTTACCAAGATTGAGGAAATGTTCCAAATTCATAATTTTGCACCATGCCAAGTGCTCCAGATAAAAACAAGCATTACAAAACTTTTTCTCAACAGCCTACAAGTACATTCCTAAAGGGAATAGTCCAACAGTTTTGTCTCAAACTTTACATATGTATTACCAACTTTCTTAAAGTAGATATTCATTGATTTTAAAAACTAACTTTGTTTTCATTATTGCAAAGTTGAAGCTTTGATTCGACAAGGTTATCAAAATTCAATGCTTGGACACATTCAAAGTAATGATTATTATAAATTACAAAATGCTTAAATACAGCCCCGGCATAGCACCTGAAGAGCTCTCCGAACGCTGCTGAGATGTGTGAGATCACAGTATGGACATGATTTGCACAAGCAGACGATGTCCCATGACATCTCACACATTTTCAGTGCCTGTGTTTTCATCTTCTCTTGAGTTCTTTCTCTTACTTCACTACCATCAGGCTAAATGTATAATCTATTGCCTCACTCTAAACCCCGCGCATGGTTTATTTTGATGACAAATGCAGCGATACAAAAATAAAGGAATTTGTCGCTTGTAAGCAAAATAAGACGCCATTGTATATTCAGCTGCACACTACGCGGTATGTTCGGCGTTTCAAGAGGGAACAAATGCCGTCCTTAATATCATTCCGGGGGTTTTTCAATTTGAAAGTCTGGTTTCTTTGATTGTTAATTAACCCCTATCCTGTGTATTTACAAGCAAAAGATTTTAGTTATCAGAATCGGGTCATATCCCTTTTGAATGGTTTGACATGCCATTACATTTATATACACTAAACTCATTATAATGTGACAAATAATAGCTTTGCAATTATGTTCATTCTTTATGGGATGTCGTCTGCTTGGGCAGTATTGGTCCATATAGTGACGTCATTAAAACATCGTTATTTTTCCGGCGAATCTCTCGTATATTCCAGCTGCTATGGAGGTGGTTGTATTTGTATTTTTATAAATCACCCGATATGTAGTTGACCTAAACCTTGTACGATGGCCATCTGTTAGCTTACCAGTTTCTAGTAATACATTAGTTGACATATTTGTGATTTTCTTTGAATTTCACCTTTAAGGAATTTGTCTAGGGTGATTTTGAAAGTCCATGTTCATGAAGGTACATGTATCTACAGTGTACATGTATACTTTTTTTTTCCCAACAGTTTCTCTGTGGGATAATATTAATAATTATTCATTGATGTAGTACTTACATCAATAATTGTAAGGTGAACGTAATTTCAGTTGATAGATAATGTACAAGTACATGTAGGTACTCTATCAGTCTTTGCATTCAGAGTTTTCAATGTACTGTACAAAAGGTTGTTCAGTACATACTGTGTACATGTGTACTACATTTATACACACACAATTACCAGGTACTTGATGGTATTATTTTTCTTGAGTGAGAGTAATACCATGTATGCAAGTATTTGGATTTTAAGTGTTTCACTGTTGTTCATCATAAAATGAATTGAAATATGTACATACATGTACATGTATGCCTATCAATTTAGGCTTTTATTCATTTTGATGGCTGCACTATAACTCAACTAGGAAGTAGAAAATAATAATAGCAGAAGTATGTGGAACAGCAAACATGTAGAGTAGAAGCCGACAATAGTTCTTCCCCTTTAAACTTGAACAATGTACAAACAGGAATGGATGAATGAGGAAGTAGAGGGAATTATATGGAAGTTCTACTGTAAGTCTAAGACACCATTTGAAAACAAATGTGAACCTGTAATCTGTATATTCTTTTTGGCACATACCGGTACACGTACAGTGCACAGTATGACACATACCGTATATACCTTATGTCTTTATATAAATTATCCTTTGATCCTTATAAGCATCATAAATCAGGATCTAACAGGTAGAATGTACAGTGCTGTGCATACAGTTATACACACAATGTACTTGTATGTTGAGCCAAACATTAAAAAATGCACCTCTCTAGTTCTTAAATGACTGTGATGCACAAACTGTGACCATGACACTGCGACCATGACAGACAAGTGAGCAATTGCACCTCATGCTCCGATACTTCCATTCACAATACTTTCCTAACACTTTCCTAACTCAGTCAAAAAGAGAGGGAAAAAGAGGGGGAGGGAGCTTGTAGAATGAGTGTTTACCATTAATGAATAATGATATTATGACATACATGTACATGTACACTGATGTATTTCAGCAATTGGGTGATACTTTGTGATATTTGTGATATTGTGCACCACTTTTTTATTCCAACCTAACACATAAACAAACAGATAATATTGAACGAATACAAAAACGGGCATGTAGAATTACTTTGGGACTTAATTATGAAACATATCATGCTCTATAATTGTGCAATTTGTTAACGTTGGAAGAACGTAGGAATAAACTTTGTTTCAATTTCGCCATTAAATTAGAAAAGCATGATTTGGGCTCGTTATGGCTACCAAGTCAAAGAACTGTTAAATTTAATTTACGAAATGTACAGAAATACTCTCAATTTATTTGTAAAACCAGTCGCTTTAATAATTGCTCTATTCCCTATTTTGTTCGTATCTTAAACGATTATCATTCAAAAAAGTAAGCTTTATGTATTTTTGTATTATGTTTATGTTAAATGATGTTGCCTATTATGTGTATAAATGTGTCTAGTATTTTTATCCTTTTATATGTCATTAATTTTATTTTATGTCAACATGTATAATGCTCAGTGTATTTTAAATATCATGATGTTTTTACCTTGTATAAATGACCTGCAATTCAGCTTCGGCTGCCAGAACGTCATATGAATAAACCATTATTGAATACTAAATTTCTAATGAATCTACCGTAAAATAATTTATTTGGGTACAAACAGGTGTTATGTACATGCACATTCCCCGAGGGGGTTATTTCATGAAACCGTCAACGACATCTCAACACTGTTACTCGATTTGTCCACTAAATGTTTTACAAAACCGTCTTTGCCAAGATGAGTGACAACTTCCCAGAGAACAGACTTGTCATTATTATTATTATTATTATTATTATTATTATTATCATTATTATTATTATTATTATTCATTCGGCAAAACAAAGTGGATACAGAGGAACACACAATTATTTGACTCCAACCATGTCATAATTTTTAAGAGAGCCATCTCATGTCAACTTTAAGTTAGTCTATGGGCAGCAAAACAATAAAAAACTTATATTTAAAACTCATTTCTTTACTCAAAACTCTCACTTTAACAGGTTTTATTGGTGTTAGTATAAAAGCATTATAGGCCTACAATCATTCAAAGTGTTATTATAACATTTGTATGCCTTAACAAGTAAATAACATTATTATTTGTCCGTACATGGGTCTCCCATAGAAAAGGCAGACCCACAATAATAACAATTTTCTTGTAGAAGTTCTTTACATTTTTAAAATTTCAAGCATACATGTACATCTGTACATTCTAGCATCACACAAATACCTGTATGTGATACGTGTACACCTGTAGATAAAATTAAAACTGTGGGTCATATACAGTAAGTCTTGTTTTCATTATTTTCCTCAATAGAAATGGAACCAAGGCCTTCTTTCGAATGGAAAAACTGTGCATGTCATTACGAACTCGTAGCTCGTGCACAGTTTTTCGTTCATAATCATTTTGCCTTCGGCATAGACTAGAAGGGATGAGATTAACATGTAGATGACGTCATCAGACCTGCCAACCTCTGGAGTTCAAAAACTGTATTCTTTAGTCCCAAAAGTTGTATTTTACTGACAAAAGTTGTATTCTTGAAAATAAACACAGATTGTTTCGCGGATCAATGGCTCTTACAATTTCTACCTACAGGAAGATTTTTTTTTATTGATCATTGGTTGAATATATGCATGATTTCGTCATGACTGGTGTGTTCGATGAACCAATGAACATCCCCAAATTGCTGATGTGAGATGCTTGTAGGATACTTTACAGGACAAAATGGACATTTTGCCATTGAAAATGGCGGACGCACACACAAAATATTAATTTAAAAAAAATTTAAATAATTTTTTTTTTTTAAATTAATTTTTTTTTTTTTTTTTTTTTTTTGAAAATCGTATTTTTTTAAGGAAAATTGTACTGTCGTATTTGCTTCTAAATATCGTACTTAATACGACTAAATCGTACTGGTTGGCAGGTCTGCTTCATGCACAGCAAGAGTTTAAACGACCGCTGCAAGTTTTTTATAATGGAGTCGATTTTGACCCATAATTTCCTAAAAAGGGACCATTACACGGATTATTTCAGTCAAGTTGGTAAGTGGAACCAAAGTAGTTAAGCCTAGACCTAATTGTCAAAAAAAGATGCACCTGATATATGCATCCTGTGAAATATGGAATTTGGCCGGTAGTTTTGCCAAGTTTGGTGTAACGTTTCTTTACACAAAGCGTGAACACTAAAGCGAATAGGGATGTTCTGTCTCTAAAGAGAGAGCCGACCCTACCCAAATCAGAGGCTAACGAACGAAAGAGACAGAAAAATTCAGTCTATGCAATGACATGTCATTTATTGGGTATGGCTATTTGGGTATTTGACTACGGCTGGCAGAAAAGGACAAGCAGTCCTCCAGCGCCAGCTATAATCTTTCTACACATCGACATTCCCTTAATTAGGCAGAGAAACACGGGCCCCTGGGCCAGAAGGACTAGAAATTTATGTTTTTTTTAGTGTTAATGTTACTGACATGCATTGCCTGTCCTTGTTTTGTTTTCTTCATTAAGTCAACTTCAGAATGTGCAGAATCAAGATCAACAACAAAATTATCATAAACAGAGGATTATGTTATAGTTTGATCTTAATTAAAGGTATTTTCTTTTATCTTATTTGTTTACAGACCGTGATCATTGTTGAAGTCTATCGACTGACACATATAGCCAGATCTTATTTATGATCACGGTGACTACCAACCATGCCTGTCGTCGCTTGCCCCATCCCTTGGTGTGACTACACTACCCCGGACCTTGAGACTGCCATCGTAGCTGCCTTAATCACTGCCCACAGCGCTTTCCACACCGCTGGACCTGCCGCCAAGGTGGAGAAGGTTAAACGTCCTACAGTTGCTGCGGCTGGTTCAAGTGAAGAATGGGCGTACTTCTTGTCTCGATGGACTGATTATGTCGCAACCACAAAGGTCACCGGCAGGGACAAGGTTATCCAGCTGCTCGAATGCTGCGACGAACCCCTACGTAGAGACCTCACAAGGTCAGCTGGTGGGAGTCTGACCGGCAAACCCGTGGACGATGTAGATCTACTGCTGGTACTGGCAGCCATCAAAAAGCTGGCAGTCCGTGAAGAGAACTCTATGGTGGCCCGTGGCCGTGTAGCGCTTCATAAAATGCGCCAGGACCGAGATGAAACATTGCATTAGGGGGCTGAGTAGCCTATTTTGGTACCCACCGTGTCCACTATACACGAAGTAGCCAAGTTCAGCTACAGCTTACAGTGGCTAACAAATTATTGACCCATACCTCTCGCGCAGAGACGGTCGCCTGCGCCGCTGGCTGGGTGGTGGTTGGCAGCAACGCTGCGTTCGCGATCAACTACCGGTAAGCTGGGTTGTAAACTTTGTGCATTCAAATAATAGGTTTTCATCGTAACAACTGAAGTTAAAAGTAATATTTCCTTACCAATACCACACTTTCTCTCCTTGTCATCCACAGGTTGCCACATGATGCTATTTTAAATCATTTCCAATACATGTTATCCGCAAAACAAAAAGCGGAAGTAGATTTTCCGTGTCCAACTCCTGCGGCAGCTCTAATGCGTTGTTTTGTGTACACGATCACGAGCTAGAGAGCTGAGAATGAAGTTTACAGAGTTGACAAAACTCGTACTCGGAACTGCAGCTCCTAAATTTCTTGTGCATTACGACTATAATGTGGAAGCGAGAGAGGGAGGTCTCTGCAAAGTTTGAGTTAATCACTTCCAATTCCATTTCCAGTTGGTATCGCCTCACTCTCAGTTAGATGGGGATAATGAAAATATTTGTTCGCAATCTAACCCCATGATTATCACTCAGTCATTAGTCTAATGTCGTAGTACTAGTAGTAGATCGCACTTCATCAGAAAACATTCACACAATTTCCGATAAAGCGCCTTATTAATTATAATTCAGGTATATCTTGTAATACCAAGGTATAATCAGTATTGGATATACTCAGATAAAAATGCCCCTTTTTATTTCTGAAAAGATGCCCGTTCCACATTTTCATAAGTGCCCCCTTTACCTCTGATAATTGCCTCAATTCAAAATGATGAGACGTGCCCCCTTTACTTTAATTACGGTGCCATTTTCACCTATCATGATAAATGCCCCTTTTATTTTGACTCAGTGCCCCTTTTCCTTCCGTAATAAGTGCCCGATTTCCTTCTGATAAGTGCCGCTTTTCCTAAGAGCCACTTCCCCTTCTCATAAATACCCCTATTAAAAAATGATAGCTACCCCTTTTTCTTTGTAATAAGTACCCACTTTCCATTCTCATAAGTGCCACTTTTCAAGGATCGATGTGGGCTCTGAATTAAGTCGCATCTTTCCTATTAACACCCCCCCCCCCCCCCATATAAACCCCTCTCTCTCTCTCTCTCTCTCTCTCTCTCTCTCTCTTACCCCCTCTCCCTCTATTTTTTCCCCTCTTTCTTTTCTCTGTCTTCTCCCTTTTCTCCTTCAACTCCATCGTCTTTCCTTTTTTTGTGTGTGTCTTTTTTTGGGGGGGAGGGGGGGGGGGGGGTCTTCTATAATCAGATGGCGCTGTTACATAAAAACATTGTCCATAATGATGGTACTTTATGCTTGTGTACTATAATTTATAATTTAGAATCTAAATAGTCTACGTACGTATATTATAAAGATTCATTGGGGAAAGCCGTTCAAAGTTAATTATTAGAGCTATGTTTATTTAATGGAAACTAAAATAGAAATCATATAATTTGACAGTGGCGATCGACTCTAGTATGCAGAATGTATTTGCCATTTGCAGAAGGTACCCCCTTTTCCTCCAAACCTGAGTTACTCATTATGTATTTATCTTCTTTTTATTTCTGGTAAAATCGTGAATATGAAAAGGTCCATTCAGTGGTATATAAATTCTACTAATATATAGGTAACTTCACTCTTTATGAATGCCACCCCCCCCCCTAAATCCCGGTCTCTCTCTCTCTCTCTTTTTCTCTCTATCACTCTTTGTATCTATCTTCCTCTCCTTTTCCATTCATTTTCTTTTCTTATCAAAAGCACATGAATGAATAGAGTTAATACCTAAATAATTCTGAATATGTCATTAGTGACAGGGGCGTCACTATACTCTCTAAAAAAAAATCGAGTGATCACGGACGTCACTCCTCAGGAGAGTGAAAATGTAGTGAAAATAGAGTGAACATTCACTCTTTTCTTTTTAGAGAGCACTCTAAAATCAATCGATTTTCACTCCTAAACAAGTGATCACGGACGTCACTCCCAAGAAAGTGAAAATAGAGTGAAAATTCACTCTTTTTTTTAAGAGAGTAAAGTTTCAGAGCTATATAGGATTTACAAATTTGACAATCGAGGATTAAAAAGAAGAAATATATAGATGTAACATATATGGTGGAGGGGGGGGGCATCCTCTATAATTATTATACGTCCCGATATTAGCGAGGCACCATTTATGGGAAGGAATACGTGGTGGCAGAATACAGTCCTTCGGGAAAAAAGAAGGTGTGCTAAACAACAGTTACTGTGCACTGGCGTACTGTTGGGGGGCTTAGGATGTTGCTGAAATGGCATGATTTTTTTTACCTGAGCTTCCGGGGCTCCCTCCGCACCACTGAACCATCAAGGCCCCTTAGGCGGCCACTGGATGCTCATCTGATGGTTATTAAATGCCTAAAACCCCTGAGCTTCCGGGGCTCTGCCCCCTGGAAGCCCACCAAGGCCCCTAAGGCGGGCTCCTGGGCGCTCATCTGATCAACATTTTTGCTCATAATACGCCACTGCAACTGTGTCGTGTGCTGCATTGTGCTCGAGTCACTTTTTTACTCTTAAGATTCTCATAACAAATACTAGATCTTAGATCACTGCAACATAACCTCATTCATGAAGTACCCGTTCATGTATTTGTTTATCCCTACCTTCCATTTGTATTACCCCTCTCATAGGGTAGTTTCATTTGTTTGATCGGCCTTCCTATAACATCGCAGACAAAATCAAACATACAACTTTTTGTGATGATACACATAGGAAGTATTTCTGGCTGCATTATTTTCACTTAATACCTCTTAATCAAAATATAAATGCAAAATGAGGTAATTCGACTTAATTGTCTCATTTTGCATAATTTGTTCACTCAAGTTCTCACAATTTTACTGTATATGGTGAAGTGTGCCTTTGGTTCATTAAATATAAAGAAGTGTATTGACTGCTGTGCAAGATCTTGTATGATTCTTGTGGTGCAAAGAAGTGTAAGAAATTATGTTACAATAATAATCATATGTATTTAGTCACATTTTGCAAAGAGTGGAGAATAAAACATACTTTCGCAAGAAATTGATGCATTTAATATGTTGTTTGGCTATGTGGACAGAGAGTTGATTAAAGTAGAGGAAAACAATAAGGCATACTATATACACACCCTAAAATAAATAGACCTACTTATAAAAAGAAAAAAATCGATGGGATATGTTTGGCAACCTCGAGCCATTCATGTTATTTGTACAATCAGTTGAAGAGCGAATCTCCCTGCGGAATTACATGTATGGTGGGATTGAAAAAGAACAACCAGTACACTGATGAGAAAGGGGGCTTGGGGCAAAAAAAGACAAAAGTAGTACCACCACCGCCCATATGCTTTCTCATTGTTTCAGCTTTTATGTTTTCAACGTTTTGAACAATACTTAAATTGAAGGTCTTGAATTAGAGGGGGTCTGATAAAAGAATCCATTATTTTTTTTTTTTTTTTTTGGGGGGGAACGAGGAAACCATTGTAAACGATACATTGAAATGTTTGTCTAGAAAAGGAGATCAGTCCTGTAGGTAATCTCGCTTATCTTGGTATTTTCGCTGCAATCTTATCTTTTATGAAATGCAGTGAAAAGAAAATTAGAAGCAATTTCTCTTTTTAAGATAGCAAAACACATCGTCAGAAAAAGTTGTATTTGTTAAATATTTATGATATAAAAATTGTTTCAGATATACCTCTGCATCGCTCAATCGCTTTTACTTCTAAAAAATATTCAGCCAATACCATATTATTGAGAGGTCATTATACTCGCGCTGTTTCAGATATCGGTTTCTGATTTCCTTTTGATGAGAAGCGCTCATTATTACCTAGTGCAAAACAAATTACTGTCACCAAGTCTCGACCCCTTAAGCGCGGATCCAGGAACCCATTTCTATCGGCCCGGCTATGGCAACCCCTTTGTGTAAAAACTAGATAAACTCAGTTTATCAGAAAAACTGTGTTTATCAATGATAAACTCAGTTTATCAACTGATAAACTGAGTTTTTCTGATAAACTGTGTTTATCTGTTGATAAACTGAGTTTATCTGAGAAAAACAGAGTTTATCTGAGAAAAACAGAGTTTATCTAGTTTTTACACAAAGGGGTTGCCATAGCCGGGCCGATAGAAATGGGTTCCTGGATCCGCGCCTTTCCCCTTTAGCATTTAGTTACACTCAATGAGCAGACGACCTAAACAATACTTCACGCCTTTAGCGTTATCCAGCTAATTGTATATTGAGTGTTTGGTGCGACTCTTTCTGCAAACATGGCTCCTTCTCGCTTTAAGGGTAAACAAAACTTGTTTTTCGCAAGACAACTATATAGCGTAGACGCTGAAGACGATTCAGAAACAAATTGGTTGTGTCTACGAACGGAGGATACATCTTTTTTGTTTCTAAAGTCACACGTTGGCCAGCTTGATTTGGGAATTTTGTGAAATGTTAGGATTCTAGTCCATTTTCTTAAGGAAGGATGTCGAAATATTGATAGTCATGATGGAACAGGACGATGAGAAGGCAGTTTTATCTCCGTTAGAGACGATTTGAGCCTAATTATTATTCAAGGGAGACAATATTCACACTTGCTGTTCATTTTGCTTTCTGCTATCCATTTATATGACAATCGTATAAGCAGCTGGAAATTTCTTTGATACTGTTGCAGTAACCGTACTGGAAAATCAGATATTGATTTAAAATAAAACCATTTGCACTGATTTACGCGATTAAAACCAGGATTTTCATAGCAGGAGTAAGCGTGCAGCTATCATCTGAAAATGCCATCTTATTCCTAATCCGAAGTTGATTTAGTATTTCTATACTGTTTGATAACCAGCTAGCTTTTTAGGAGCTATGAAGCCCTTTTGAGAACGGCATCAAACCAATCTGTGAACGCTACTTTCGTAATTAGATCAGTATTTCTGACCCGATTAAACTAAAAATTGATCGTCGTCACCTCCTCCGTTTTTCGTCAACCAATATTCGTCTCAGTTGGGAATTGATGGATCTGCAAAGGTGAAAGCAAAGTGGCCACATTGTATACAAACGGCATAAGCTAGGTAGCGAGGAAAATACACCGTCGCTTGGAGTGGATGTCGATTGCATTCATTAATTTATGCAGAACTTGTTGATGTGGAGATTTATAGAGATATTGTCATAAACATGTGCTAACATTTTCCAGTGATGATTATTGAATGATTCTACGTAATAAATCACAAAATTCCTATTGTGCTTCGGAGGGAATAGAAACAAGATAAATCGATTGCATTCCTGAATGTGATCCCACGGTGGTCTTGAGATAACAAAGCTTTGCAATCGTTGTAATATATAATTAATGATGTAGAGTCGGACAAAGGAAGCATGCTTGTGGATACCCCGGAGACGACGTGATGACTTAATCTTTTGCCCTTCATCTCACTAAGTTCAATAATTGGTTTAAAATGACGGAGAGTGCAGCTTATCCTAAGACAGGGCAGTCCAACTCAAACGCAAAAACCAAACTCCAGTTACTGCTCCGCCAGGTAATACAAAATGAAGAATTCTATAATTTAGATAATAATAATAATTTAGAAATAAATAATTTACAGAATGGGAAAAGTGCTACGTTGCTTTAAAGTTTTATCTTGATAATATACACTGATAAACCAATATTAAAAACTTAGGTCTATAATAGTTGGAACTGTATAAGATTCTTGAAATACAGTCGCTAACTGTAAATGTTCATTTCGGAAATGGTTCATGACATTAATGTATACAAAATATTGCGTCATCATAATTATTGTTTATTTCTAAAATATTGCTTGTTCAATATAAATTAATTGAAAATCAAGTTGGCTTTTTTCTATACCAGGCACAGGGGACGCCAAATTACGATATGCATTGGTATTGGTTGAATAACTTGCGTTGATGATTTTAAAAAAAACAGTTTATTTAAAATGTAATGTTTTTATCCGATCATGAAACCCCTAGTCTCTCACGCAAAACATAGATCAAGTTAGACCAAAATATTTTTGTTTAATACTTTCTCTTTTCTGTCAATTCAGATTGAGAAGGCATCTCGACTGTCTGAATTTCGGGTTGATCGAATCAAGGACCAACTACGTCATGAGCTGATTGATTTGAAAGCCAATAAACTAGCAATGAAATCACACGCAGTCAGCTCCAAACATCTCAACTGTATGGATGAGAGTCAACAAAGGGATATGCTGAAAGTAAGTCAATCATTCACTGTCTTGTCTCATCAAGCATCGATAATAATTCATGGCACCAAAATAACAGTAACGGATAAAAGTATAACCATGAACCTATACAATCATGACAAATAGAAAGACTGAGATTCTAAATGTTACCAATTGGTTGGTACTGGGCATGACGATGGCGATAACATATAGCGCTGTATCCTCTGACCCCTAAAGTTCCGTCGTTAGTAGAAGAATTTATTATTTTTCATCCATTAATTTATTTCTCTATAAGAGCACACGTATCAATACAATAATTAGTAGCCTTTATGGACACAAAGTCCGTATCGGTCCCAAGAATAATAGAGTGGAATAACATACGAAGTATTTGATTTGACTAATAACTCATTTAATTGGTTACATGGAGACGGATGAACGATTCTCAATTATATTATGATCAAATTTATTTCAATATTTTCAGGTGGTTTCGCAGAGAGGCCGTTACTACTATTCATTGAAGAGCGAGGTCAAATTTCACATTGATAGAATGAGCTCCTACAACCCTCGTCTTGAACGCGCCAAAAGACTTCTTATCCCGGCAAGGTATAACTTCCATGCTTAATTTTAAAGACATAACAGGTTGTCTTCTTCGCTCAATTTTATCTATTATCACACGTACGAGTACAATAATAGTATAGCCTTTATAGACATAGGCCCGATTTCACAAAGGAGGTTTGTCGACAAACCTAGGTTTATTTGCATCATAATGACGCGTTTCGACGCGTTTCAGACCAAGGTTCAGACAAACCTTGGTCTGAAACGCGTCATAACGCGTCATAATATAATATGACGCACATAAACCTAGGTTTGTCTACAAACCTCCTTTGTGAAATCGGGCCATAAAGTCCGTATCGGCAGAGAGAGAGAGAGAGAGAGAGAGAGATGAAATAAAACGGGGAAAAAGACAAAATGATTAACATAACAGAGAGGGGAGGGTGAGTGATAATAATAGAAAGGAAGAGAGAGGGAGAGAGAAAGAGAGAGAGAGAGAGAGAGAGAGAAAGAGGGGGGGGGGGGGAGACAGAGAGAAAGGGTAGAGAGAAAAAAATGTGTGTGTGTGTGTGCATAGGAGTATCGGCAGTCAAAGTTCATTGCTTCAACCTGATCATTAATTGGCCGAGACTGACAGTCACGTGTTCAAATGTTTGCCGACGCCCTTGTATTGTATACTGCGTTGTATGCATGGGTTTCTTCATGTGAAAGCGTAAATTATTATGAAGCTCGTTTGATTTAATAAGCTCTGTATTTTCTTTCTTCCAATCATTATGGTTTTTAGGCAAGAATCGCTGGAGGCGATGGAACGAGGAGTCACAAATCTTCCCGACCTCGACGGAAGTCTTGCAATGAAACGAGAAATGATGCTAGCCGATGGAAGTTTAGTTGAAGGAGAGAGAAGGAAGTATGGGAAATCGACTACACCAGAATGTCTCATATTTCCAAGAATCTGAACAACCATCTTTAATTTATTGTACACTTTGCGGACTGTTTAGAGATTCGATTTGTGACGACTACCACTTACTCAAACCAACGATCTCCAGTTATTTTCTGGGCATAAATTGCATGTAAACTGTAAGGCCTAAAAAAAAAAGATGTTGTATTGCCCTTTAGGTGCCAAAACATGGGTCGGTCGGTCGGATTTTTAATTTTTTTTCCCTCTCCATCCAGTGAGGAGCTGATATTCCTTAGTTTTTAATGCCTTAATATATTTGTTTTCTAAAAAACGGTAAACAAAAAATAGATTTTAAGATTTTTGGGGCGGTCGCAAAGGGCAATACAACATTTTTTTAAAAAGCCTAATTATCAAAGAGTTTTTTTGTTGTGTGTGTTTTCTGACCGCATGTCATTATCGGAATAGAACTTGTGGGAGTTTTGCAGAGGTTATGCAGAGCCAGTCGTAAATAAAAACCTGACATGGTATACGTTTAAGCCATTGCATTGTCATAAGTAAAATAAGATATTGACCCCAGTATAAACTTCAGACAAATACAGAGCATAAGAAATGCTTCATTATGAGATCCAATGTTTTAACTCATCAGAATATTTTTTAAATCCTTTAAAAACAAAACTTTGTTTGGTGAATGCCCCAAAATTCAATTTTTGAAAGTGACACAGAGATATGCAATAAAAAACAATAAAGAATTAAATTACGAAGGAAGGTTTTATCTGGAGTGAAGCCGGGTGAAAAACAGCCCCCTTTATCATAAACATATTAATGTGTTATGCTATACCTGTTTATATCTATTATCTACATAAAGTCGTAAACAAGAGGGGAGAAAGACAGCCAGAGTTCCCATAACGTTTTGATCTTACATTTAAATAATATCCATTACACACGTAATTTTCAATGTACAGTTTATACAGTAGTGTTTTTAATCTTGTTGAGATCTATATTTGAGTTTCTGATTTAACATATTTCTTTCTTATTATTTTCATTAATAATTTGCAGTTTAAACTTCCAGAATAACAGGGATTTAAGATGACTAGGCCTAGCTTTTACAATGCTCTCGATCGAAAACAGCAATTTAAATAACGTGCATGACTTGATAATATGAAAACAATGGCGGATCTATGATTCTCGGGCGGGGTCTCAAGTCTAAAAATTCTCAGCTGACGATCAAAAAGTCACCAGGGGGCACTTATTCTTTTACGTGTAATTTAGATATGGCAAACTATTGTATTTGGCTGGAAGAGGAGGGGGGGGGGGGGGGGAATATGGCGCTTGTTGTCAGAATTCTTTTGATTTTATCCAAGGCAGATATTTTAGCAAACTGAGTGTACTTATATGTATTTCTTCTTTATGGTAGAATTTCACTTGCATGCAATATAGATAAACAATTAAAACATAGAAACGTTTAAGTCTTAGTCAATTTCAACATCCACATCCAGATTTTGCGTGTTTACCAGTCATCATTTAGAATCTCTCGTTTGATATATCACTGTGGTATTCCAATACAATCAAAGCAAACATGAATAAGAGAGAATGGCAGTGGGAGTGCAGAGAAAGATATATGAAGAAAAGAAATGGAAGCAGGAATGAGAAGAAAATAATGCACAGAAAGGGTACGAGTGAGAATACTGTATTAGAGCAGGAGCACTTCTAAAAGAGAGATAGATGGAAAAAGATGAGAGAATGAGAAAGTTGATGGGTAGGAGAGAAAGAGAGAGAGAGAGAGAGGCAGAAAACGAGAGACAGAGGCAATGAGAGAGAGAGAGAGAGAAGATAAGAGAGAGATTGTGAGACAGAGAGGGAGGGAGAGAGAGAGAGAGACGGGGGGGGGGGGGGGCATAGGTCAAGAAATCAATCATGAATTATACTGCCTTTACTTTAGGTATCAACATTCTTAAGATTAAGATGTTATTTCTTTCTTCCCTTCACTTCCCCCTCCCTCTAAATATTTTGGTTCTATCCGTGTTATTACTTGATCTATCTTGTATGATCTTTCTTATCCACCACTTACATTATTTGTGCTTAAAAATACAATTAAAAAAAACATCTAAATAACTTTCAAAAGCATTTCCACTATCATAGGAACTGCCAAGGAATTATTTTACCATTCTAATTAAACACAAAGAAAAACACATCATCAATCAAGATTAGAATAAAAAACAATTTACTGTACATTAAGTATATTCCAAGATCAAGAAAACAATTCTCACTTGGTAACATTGTTCAGATGACTCGAGAAAACGGTCACGGTGCTATGGTTGTGTCTTCAATACTAGATGTACAATTAAAGATAATCTGATTTTTTTTAAATAGTGAAAACAGACCATTATTAATGATAAAAATTGATCTGATCGATTCCTAAATTCTCCCTACTATCTTATCATAATTAAATGAAATTTTAGGTGAATGTAAATCGTCACAAAGCAATGAATTGGCTCCATTTACCATTCCAAAAATTTAAGTGTTCAAAGATTTTTTAAAGGCTGTTTTATCGGAATAATTCAGAAATTGGTTGGGAGAATTTACCGTTAGAGGGAGTTACACATTGACGCCTTCAAAGAAAACCATAATATCTTTGAAGTTTGAGAAATTTTTTCAGGATTTTATGCATGTTAAGAGGATTAGTACAGTAGTAGGAATATAATAAGTAACATTTCATACAAAAATTAGGCAGTTTTTTTCATCAACCGTCAACAATGTCACTGGTCTACTTTAAAGTTAACATATCAGGATGGAAACTTAGATGACCAATGAACAGATTCAAGAACAGATCCCAATTTAAAAAAATTACCTAATTTTTAGTGTTTATCAAACTTGATCCCGATTTTTACAACATCCATGATAACAATAAAGTATAAATTTAGATAGGAAAGAATTACATCTGAAAATTATTAAAGGTAAAGCAATATACCTTAATATCAACACTATGCATAGCTATCAACCCATTTTGGCACGTTTTTGTTCTACCTTAGTACCAAATATTAGTTAAATAATGAAGAGGCCACCCATGAGTAGTCCCCCCCCCCCCCCCATCATTATAAGAGTATAAATAAGACAGCACATTCACATGAGACAGGAATCATGCAGTAAAATGAAACATCAACTTTTCCTTTAATAATATCACATACCTTAATAGATGAGGAATACATATTATACATAACATCTCAGCCCATATTACTTTGCAGATACTTGCATGAACCTGCCATACTACATATCAAAATGGATGGGATGTAACAAGAAACCAATAATACAGTCAAACCTCTCTATAGCGACCGCCCAAGGGAAACACAAAAACTATTCTTTGTAGACAGGTTCCTTTAGTACATGTTTCAATGAAAAACCATTTTCAAGGGAAACAAGAAATGTGGTCTTTGTAGACAGGTGGTCACTACAGCCGGTTTGACTGTATAACCATACAAAATGGTAACTTATCAATGCCAGCTGTCAAGACAAAGATGAAACTGTTACAAAAAGTGTTCAGGATGGCTAACCAGATTTACTAATGTGTAGCTAACTGTTGTAGAAGAATACAAACATCATGCTTCAAACTTTGGCACAATATTTGTTTTCAATGTTTGAATAATACCCCTTTACTAGCATATCTAAAATTTAACTAACCCACATACATAAAGCAGCATCTGAGATTTAAGTACTGGTAATCACAAAGCTAAGACTAACAGAACAGTATGGATCTGTTGGTCAACTAGACCCATCAGTAAGAGAGTAATGTTTTGTCACAGCTTCTCCTTCGTCCACTTGATAGGTCAACTCAATGTTCAGGAATCTGGAAAAAAACAACAAAATATACATATTATTAGTATATCGTTACTTTTTCACACAACAATACAAGCAAAAATATGACATATCGGTCTTGAATACTGCATTTTACATCCTACATCAAAAATTTATTGGCTTTTGATTGGTTGAGAGCTTGTCACATGACCAGAAATATTTCTACTATTTTAAGGTTGCTCTGAAAAAAAGTACTATTTGGGAGTTATTATTTGATTTTTTATCTTCAATTCTTAATTTAATACTTTGTTTTTATTTTTAATTAAAAAAATATCAATTAAAAAAAAAAAATCTTCTTTTTGGGGGGGAATAAATTTTTGATGCAGGATATAAAACAAATATACCATGCCTTCTTTTCGAAGTACTGGTTAAAACTATGGGCCTCGGTGACTCCAATACTACCATTTGCTTCTGGGGCTACGCCCCTCAGCAAATAGTACTACATTGGAGTCACCTTTTGCGCATAGTTCTAACCAGAACCTCTCAAGACAGTGTATATTTGTATAATATCATACGCAGCATTGACTTACAGATATGGGATCCAAAGAATTTTGGGTATCACATCAAATAGCACATACCATAAACAGTAAATTACAATCAAAATCATATTTAAAATGAAACAGGAAAAAGCAAATATAATCTGCATTTACTAACATACCTTTGAGCCTCCTCACATGAGGTACAAACTGTATTTCAATACATTCAGTTTAAAAAAAAACAGTCAACAAATATCTCTATTATGCTATATGCACTCAGCAAACACAAAGTGGACACACATTATCGTTCAAAATTTTCATATGAAACTGTCAATAAAACTTAAAGGAAAGTTAGTACTCTGCCATCATCAATTAAGTTCAAGTTTCAAAATATGAACTTAAAGATGATAAAAGTATCTTATTTTTTATATATGAAAGATAAGTATATATCAAATATTAATTTTTAAATCGTAAATCAATAAAAGTGTCCACTTTCTTTTTGTGCTGAGTGTAGTTTAGCGATTAGAATTATATGTGAGACATTTGCATCAATATCTAAATGTCTACTTCTATTGTGCCTACCCTGTGCATTAAACTTGGTTTATAAAGGAACACTTGATTACAGCCACTGTGATATACAGTCAAACCTGTCTATAAAGACCTCCCAATGGAAACACAAAAAGTGGTCTTTGTAGACAGGTTCCTTTAGTACATGTTTCAATGAGAACCATTTTCAAGGGAAAAAAAATGTGGTCTTTGTAGACAGGTGGTCACTAAAACAAGTTTAACTGTACATACATGTACAGAGTGACCATCTGGAGTGACCATATGACCAATATTGAACTGTATAGGGACATTACACCGATCTCAGCCAGACTGAGAGACCGTCGCCTCCGTTTCAGTGGGCACTGCTGGAGGAGCAAGAGTGAAATCATTTCACAAATGCTCTTCTGGGAGCCCTCAAGGGGCAAACGCACCAGAGGGCACCCAGCAATGACTTACATTGACCAGTTAGAAAAAGACACCTGTCTACCAAGACAGGAGCTCCCAAAGATCATGGAGAATAGAACTGAATGGAAAAAGCTTGTCAAATCAGTGTGAGTAGGCTCGACCTAATAGCTTTGAAGATAAAGTGTTCTTCCAACACATTCCCACTCTGAAGACTAACCTTCTATTCTGTTTGCCTGGTGTCAAGGTGATAGTCCCTGCAATGATGGTGTCTTGTTCTACATCTACAGGCTTGTCAAGGTACATGCAACATTGCCTCCAGTGTGTATAACTGAACAAAAAAGTTTGGAAAAAAAAAGAAGTTAATATTCCTGAACATGCTCCATTGAATTTATCCTTGGATATGTAATGACATTGCCTTAATTATTTTGATAACTCTTTATCCTCATCTTTGATACATTTTTCTAAATATTTTATAATATTGCTGTGTGATGTTAACATTATTATTTTTTATACTGGTTTTGCTTTGTATTTTGATGTTTGTATTATAATGTCTGATTACTTTGTAAAACAGACAATATCAGCCTTAGCATGCATGTCATGTTGTTGTTTTCTAATAAATTAAGTCAATAACGAATAAAAAGCGACAAAAAACAGTATTCTTAATGAGGCAAGCTAGCTGAATGATAAACGATTATGAAAACAGGCAGACAAAACTATGAGGAACCTCCAAACCTGTAACCACATATCAGAGGGGTTTTATTATTAGGAATTTAATTTTAGAACCAATATATAAATAATGGAAATACAAATTTTTGTCTCATCTGAGATAAATTTAAAGAATTTTTAATTAAATATAAATAATGGAAATACAAGTATTTGTTTCATTTGAGATGAATTTAAAGAACTTTCTATTCAAACATTCCAAGTTCAATCAATCTAAAATGAATATTTCAGGCTAATTCCAGTTTTCATTCAATTACAAATCTCATGTTCTTTGATACATTTACAGAAAGTTGATCATTTACCAAGAAACTTACACTGGACAATCAAAGGAAAATGTATCCTACAATATCAGATCTCTACGTATTTGGTTTTGTTGAGATTCTCGATACTTTCTAAAATTTCACTTACGGTTCATCTGGGGATGTTGACAGTGAGAGCGATTCCTTCCCTTTGACCCTTGTGTCAAATGTCACGGTGAACCATGCAGTAAAACCGCATAATGTCTGTCTACCAAAGCAGCTGAATCTAAATGGGGACTATTCATACACAAAAAAGATAAGAATACACATTATATAATTAATATAAGGCAACATACTTTGCCATATTCATTGTGTAAATTCACAAACAACATGTTTTCTTCTGACAAGATTTTTCCTGTTAACAAGTTAATTAAAAACTACATTTACAAATGTTCTCCAGCGCTCTATAAAGAATAACAAAAGGTAAAATAGTAAAAAAAAAAATACTTCTATACATCAATGTCTTCTTCATTAACACAACTTTCATCAGTGGCACGATGATATTATATGTTCTGTGTACTTTTGTGAAACTGATGAATCGTCAAATAACATTGTGGAAGTCTTTAGAAGTAATGATTTGAATGATTATCTCTCAATGTTTATTACATACTATATTATTTTATTATTACTATTATTATTACTAGGCATTTAGCTACGCTATTCATAGTAAACAAATATACCATGCACTGAGAGGCTCTAGTTGAAATTATGGATCGAGGTGGCAGAAAATAGTGCCATTTCTGTCGCCGAGGAATCCATAATTTTAGCTAGTGGCTTGAAATAGTGCATGATATATTTGTTTTATATTTTTCAAACCAACCTTCAAAAAAATAATAATAATGATAATAATTATGTTAACTGTCACTGAAGTAGTGAAGAGTGCAGTGAGAGCAGCATGGACGACAGTACCGCGACCTCGACCGATAGCACATTGATCTTGATCGATCGCATATATATATATATATATGACGTCATCCATGGTATAGTGCCATGGTATAGTTTGCACTATACCATGGATGACGTCACGGTTACATCATAGCAATGTTATGTTTGGTCACATGATGCTATGTTGACCAATCACTGAACAGGATTTCATTGATCAAAAATATAATACATTATTACCCGTATCAGACATCTGAGCTGGTCATTTACAAAACCGTATTGCCCTAGTTTTCACTAGCAGTGGGAACGGAGGGGTATATTCTTTGTATTTTCCTTGGTGTCCCTGCGCGTATTGACTTTGCGTGTAGAGACGAGTGAAAATATACCTTGGTATTTTCCACGGTCTCGCATCCGGGCATCTTGTATTGACCGCGCCGTATTTTGTCATTTTCATTGCGCATCTATTATGCGTACGAAAACCTGTGCACTTTGCGTACTCCATTGTGACGTAATAATCACACCAAATGCACACTGTTTGCAGTGTATCGAAAATGTTGTCAAGCACTGGATGCACAGTGCTGGTTTGACAAAGTTTGTTCAGTTCTTGAGATTGTCATGGTGAATTTCTGTATTTGCTCTAGATGTCTGATTTGGATAACAATAAAAATATTGACTGGCTTGACTTTCGGGGTATATCAGAAATATTGACCACGCTAAGACCATATTGCCCTCGTCTTTCGACTCGGGGCAATATGATCTGAGCTTTGTCAATATTTCTGATATACCCCTCAAGGCCAGTCAATATTATATAACTATATCACTATGCTTACAATAATATGCAATATAATAATATAACAACAAATCATAACATAACATTGAACAAATAAAATAATAGCGAATCAAATAGGAAATAGGTACGTTTTAAGGAGTTACTTAAAAACATCCACTGATGGAGCAGCTTTTATACTGGAGGGAAGTTTATTCCACTCCTTAGCTACTGCAACAGTGAATGTGCAATTTCCTGCCTTATTACAAGCCACATGAAAATTCATATCGAAATGGGTCTGCATTGGAGCGAAGGTTTGTACGCACAGGTTGATACAACTCAAGTTAATCATTAAAATATTTTGGGGCCTGATCATGAAAAAATTGGTATACAAATAAAAGAATCTTAAAAACAATCCTCTGTTTGATTGGCAACCAATGAAGGGATGTTAGTAGAGGCATAGCATCAGGGCCCTGGTTGTATAATATTTGAATGCTTACCTTTATAGATTCTAGATCATCCTGCGTCAAGGTTTCAAGATCAAGTTCTGAGATGAGGCTTTCTCTGGCCAATAGATCACTGTCATCTACTATCTCTATATGTACATCACCTGTTATTTACATGACACATAAAATCATTTGTATTCAATCATGAAAAACAACAAGTATAACAAGAATGACTGACATTGTATTTAAGACTCCACTACCCCATATATGTACAAATGGCAAATGCATTAAATACGCTAACAAGCAAAAATATTGTTTTCCCTCATTAGGCATACTTCTTCATAAAATCCTATTGAAACAATAACAGAAAGGAAGGTTACTGGAAGCTAAGTCTTTTCTACCAACTGTTGTACCCTACATGTATCTTAGATTTCAATAACAATCCTCCTAAGTTCATCCTCATAATGAAATGAAACAAATACAGACTACTTAATTTCTAGGTCATAATTAAGCTACATACAGCCTCTTAAACATTGTAATTGAGATACCATAGAACAAGAGGTTTAAAGAGCTTTCAAAACCATTCAATGAAAATACTTACTACAAAATATCTTCCTGGCTTCTGATTCTAGACATGACATGTCTACTCCAAACCTCTCCTTCACAGTGCTCCAGAATCCTATCCTAAAAAGGAAGCAGAAATTAAGTTCCATCAAGCTTGGAAAAGGCTTTGCAAAGCTTACAAACAGTCCACATTTATATTATTTCCTTGGTTCTTAATAATATATAATTATTAATAGTCTAATAATGGAATTATTAAAAACTCATATTGTCTAATATAATTTTTTTTTTTCTTTCTTTTTCTTCTACCTTTTCTTTAAAGATTAGTGTATTGAAATTTGAAATTTTGAAATATGAAATTTATTTGATTTCCAGGTACATGTATAAACAAAATAGAAATGACAACACAGAGCATATAACATTAAGAGTTACAAGACAGTGAAAAAGCCACCAGCGGACGCCTGAGGATTACCTAAAAGAATTTCCATTCTGTCAAGAGGTTCTCCACATCCACTGGTGTTACATATAAATAGATTTAAGAAGTAACGGTAAAATAACTTAACATAATTCAAGTTCATCCATCAAGAATAATAACTATTGACCAGGAGAAACTGATTTTAATGACATTAATTTGTATCTTTCTTTAAATCAAGCATGGATCTAGCAAGTGAGCAAGGTGTTTTGTTTAAAGCTTTCTTCATGAATGGATTAACTGAAGTGTTTTGTTTTAAGCTCTCTTATATACCACTAGTCTCCTGCAATGACATAGGAATGATACATAAATAAATGATGATCAAGATCTATTGACAAAGGTAATTTTACTTGCCGATTTCAATCATCGGTTATATGTGATATCAAAAGGAGGAGGTGCGATAGCTCAGTCGGTAGAGCAGTGGTCTTGTAATCCGGTAACCCGGGTTCGAAACCAAGGCGATGCGCTAGTGCCCTTTGGTAAGGCATTAATCCTCATTATCAGGTCCCTCGGAGAGGACCTAAAGCCGTCTGCCGTCTGGTTGCTTACTTACAAGCATTTATGCTTTCTTAGCAGCAAGGTAAAATAGCCACCACCATTAAAATGTCTCTCCTTACCTTTCACAGTAGAATGATACATTGGTGAATGGTGCCAGATAAAGATTTGCTTTATTCGGCAGAATGAGTCCATCCTAAAAGAAGATTGAAAAAGAGAATAACTTAATAACTTGTAGGAAACTTAACAAATTTTAATAATGGTTTCCAAAGCATCAAGAACACAAAATCATTGACAAACATCCTCAAGTTAGATTAGTATACTGTGTGTTTGAAGCCAGAAAGGAGTTAACTCATATACATGTACTCTAACAGAGAGCGATTGCCCTTCTTGCGCTATATAGCAAATAATTACTTGAAATTAGTCAATCTCCCCAAGAAAACCATATATTTTTTGTTGTACATGTATCAATACTAAAATATTTGGTTACCTTTTTCAGCCACTTGTCCCTTGCCAATATGACAGAATTCAGCATGGATTCATACAGCAAAAAATGCCCCTGTGTAGAGAAAAAAAGAAGAAGAAGGAGGAACAATAAAGTCTTAAATCTCATTTATTTGCAAAAGATTTTCTTTCTATGGCTCTTCCTGGTAATATCTCATTCTAAAGATGAAGAGTACAGAGTGATGGTAAATGATGATTAATTTGACTGAATACTCAAATTAGCATTATTCCTATTGAGTGCTTATAACTGCTGCAATGCTTACCATCCATTCGCTGACTATTGCATCAACTTTCTCTGGGAGTTCAATGTTCTGCAGGTGTAAAGAAACACAAGATTTACAAACAATACTGGTATGTCAAATACATAGTCCGGGGGGGGGGGGGGGGGATTCACAAAGTTGGACCCCAAAATCAATTAAAGAAAGCCGTTAGCATCTTTGAAAATATTTTGTCAAAGTTATTTCAAAAGGCATACAATGTTGATTCAAATTATTCATATTTTCTATTATCAAGGAGATTTCATGTTCTTGATGTGGAATTTATGAAAAGCCTAAAATACTTCAATTTTCATTTTTGAATACATTTTATTTAAAGGCTTCAAATGGCTCTCCATAATGTTTAAGTCCAACTTAGATTTAAGTTTGACTTAGGATCTTTGTGAAACACCCCCCAGAACATATTAGATAAGAAAGCTGGGAGAAAATAGATACACAAGTAGTTGAAACATTCTCTTTCAAATTCGAAATGAATTCTGTAATAAACTGTCTTACAATCTGAATATGCATCTCTGAGCTCATGAGAAGCTGATAAACTTATGAACCGGTTGAACAATAAGGCACAGATAACTCATACTGAAGTCTGTGGACAATTTGTGTAATACCGAAGCTAAATCATATCCAATAGTATAAAGTTTCAATTACCAATGTACAATAATGTATTGAGACACTTCCGATTCATGTTTTATCAAGGTGAAAAAGTCTGCATACCTCTACACGATCTTGAATAACGTTGATCTTGTTGCTTGCTCCATTTGCTTCAGCAACTTTCTCTGCTTGCTTAGCTATAGAACTGGCTTCTATAGCATACACTGAGTGGATCAAAATAAACAATGACAATGTTCTGGATGTACATTAAATATGATTGATAGATAGTGAAATAGGTCATTATGTTAATTGATAAAACACAAACATCAGGTCTAAAAAAAAAGATGTTGTATTGCCCTTTGCGACCGACCCACAAATTTTGAAATCTGCGGTCGGCTTTTTATTTTTTTTATTTTTTTTTTTTTACTGTTTTTTAGAAAAAAATGTACCGGTAATAAAGCATTCGAGACTGAGAAATATTAACCCAAAGAGGGAGTGTAACAAAAAAATTAAAAAATAAAACCCATGTTTTGGCACCTAAAGGGCAATACAACATCCTTTTAGTTTAGGCCTCATTGCGGCAAAGCTAAATCATGATGATTTCATAAACAATACAGTGCATACAAAAAAAGGTGATCATCATTGACATAAATACAAATTTTAACAAAAATTACAACAAGGATGAAAGAGTTTTTATTCAAAAAAAGGCAGTGACGTGCAATCATAGGATCATCTCTCATTCAATTTAGAGGCATTTGCAACTATGAAACTAACAGAGTATTTCTTCCACTTATGACAGATTAAACTTGTTGTGTACCAAATAAATTTAAGAACAGACTTCAATGGGAAGAAGAGTATGCTGACCTATTAAGAAATTCTTTTGGGTAATTAAATTGAAATATGAAGATTTGCTGTGCAGTAAAAACGTGGATTCGCTTTATCAAATTCAAAAGTAGATCATTTTACTCATGCGTGAATGGAATACACTATCTACATCTATTTAGGAAGAGGAAAACTGAAGAAAAAAAATACCATAAAGACATAAATATGGACTGTTTAAATATTCTTTTGTTACTGTCATTCTTTGCATTCATGCATCTGAATCTCATATTCACCTTTCCGTGCACCAGCTTGGACACAGAAACAGCTCAAAACTCCTGAAGTAATAAAGAAAAACAGAAAAGAAATCACTCAAAGAACAACAAATTCTCTTTATAAATTCAGTCATCTAGAGAGGAAATCTCAAATTGGCTCACAGATATTAGAATTTAGTGCTGTCTAGAGGAAGTTGGAATGTGATATTAGCCTGACTGCCGAGAGTGGATGTATTTACAATCTTTCACACTTCTATCTAGGTAAACTACAGATAGTGGATTACATGGCTAGGTAACAGAAGGTAATTAATAAACTGACATATGAGTTTTGTGGGAACCCACAATAAATCCACTTCAAGACTACACAATAACCACTACAAGCATGTTTACTGTATGAACAATGTTTAAGCTACCTATTAGGTCTAGCCCAATTAAACTCCACTGCTGAAGATACACCATTCTATATAAATTCTTCACACCACTCTATATAAATTCTTTACACCACTCTATATCAATTCTTTACACCACTCCATATCAATTCTTCACACCACTCTATATCAATTCTTTACACCACTCTATATCAAATCTTCACTCCACTCTATTCTGAAGTGTTCTTGTTCTAGCTCATGCCCCGATACAGTCTGGGGACATCCATCACCCTCCAGTCTCATCTGCATCCGCTTCTTAAGGATGTTATAGATTCCCAGTCTGTTACACCTCATCTGTTTCCTACAGTCAGTCTGTACAGAAATCTATTTCTAATATCTTCACTCTACTCTATCCTCAAGTGTTTTTGTTCTAGCTCATGCCCGATACAGTCTGGTGACATCTATCACCCTCCAGTCTCATCTGCATCCGCTTTAAAGAATGTTAATGAGATTCCTAGTCTGTTACCCATCATGTGTTACCACCTGCCTATAAAGACCACTTTAATTGTCTCCCTTGAGTGGTCTTTATAGATGGGGTTCACTGTATCTAGTTTGTAAATCATTATTAGGCCACTACCTACCTGTACCTGCCCCAACATCGGCAACAGCCTTCCCAATGAGGGACTCACTGGCGCGTAAGATGGCCAACCTGATACCAGAGAGGTAAGACAGAGAATAACATTATCTTATACAGTGTAGCATTATGAAAAAGGGTTTGTTTGATTGGAATAGGAAACATCAGAGAAAAGGGTCAATCACAGTTTGAAGAAAAAAATGAAAGAAAATTATGATTTCATAAAATTCTTGATGACCATTAATAAGTATAACCCCCCCCCCCCCCCCCCAAAAAAAAAAAAAAAAAAAAAAAAATATGCCAATATTGATTAATTCAAGTAATTTTAGTTGCTGGTGGCAAGCCATCTGTTTAATCTAAAACTCACATTTTCACATATTTCCACACTACTTAGATTTCCCCAAGAAATAGTTGAAATCAAATTCACATATTATTCCACAGAGAGAGAGAGAGAGAGAGAGACAGAGACAGAGACAGCGACAGAGAAACAGACAGACAAAGATACAGATAAGAGCACAACAAAGCTTTAGAGATATTTACCTGTATGAATTTGTTCTAACAACATCTCTGATCATCTCTTCATGAATTCCAATGTGTTCGTATGACCTGTTGAAAAAGATGTTGTATTTTGAGAATTGATTGTCATCTTCACTTAATAAAACAATTGAAAACTGAAGCTGTGGATTCTGAAATCTGAAAGTCATCATTAAAGTAGTTGGTCTTTCTAAACAATTGTTTTAATCCTTGTATACATGTATATCTGGCCAACAGCCAACCAAGAGAGTGAAAGAGATGGTGAGTTACGAATATTGAATGTCAGATTAGGCACCGGGTCAAAATGGGCGAAGAACCACAGGTATAAACCATCCAAAAACTATATTTGATAATTTATTAAAATATCAATAATTTGCTAATTTTAATCCATCCATGATATAATCAACGCATTACATGTACCTGTGCAAGCAAGTTCAAAAGCACTTGTGGATGGCTTTTAACACATTAAATTACACTTACTTGAAATATGATGAATCCTTCTCTTTAATATCTTCTTTCTCTTGTTTTTCTACATCAGAGCATCTGATGCACTGCCTGTTGAAAAGGGGAACAAAAAAGGTGACTGTTACAAATTCACTCATGTATACCATTCAATAGCAGGACCATATACCACTCTTGATTTAATTAAAATAAATATAAAAAGGAAGCTACCAATGATAATCCATCGCAGTTTTGAGTTGATTACTGTAAATGAAAAGATAAATGATAATCATATAGAGTATTTATAATGCCCCAACTCTACATGAATAATGTGCTCAAGCCAAGGTGCAGAAGAAAAGAAGGGACGTACATGAAATTGAAAAAACACAAACTGAGCTGAGACAAGCTAGAACGCAATTACAAGTACATGGTTTATTGATTATAAATATTAGTCATTTCGACATGAAGATGTACAATGTCTACTGGAAAGCGATTGTGAGTTTAAGCATTTTACTAAATAAAAGTTGTATACTATTGGTACAAATTTTCCACTTCAGGATGACTTAGATTCAATAAAGCATCCGCAGAGCTGAGATGAGCAGATGAGCAAGACCAGCTCAGCTCAGCTCAGCTCAGGCCCCAGCCTAACAGGGAGCTCTGACACGCCGATGTCGAAGGCGTCGGAGCTCAAGAGCCCGCTTAAGAAACACGATTCAAATTAACAGTGGGTTGGGTCACATTATTTTGCAATGTAAAGAAGTAGTAATTACAATTTTGACTTGCAATGTTTTTTGACTCCTCTGGGCATCCTTCCAAATCCAATCACCTGAAATTATAATTTTGAAGAAGTCTTTGAATGGGGAAAAGGGTGATTCTTCGTCCTAACCCAACGATTCATCTATGTTGTATCATCAATTCAACATGGCAAGAGAAAGTATGCATGGGCGGTAGACTCGAAACAACAGAGCGAGTCTGAGCGACGCTTCACAACCTCGTAATTATTCAGCATTTTTGAGCGAACAGCGCTCTATAGCATGAATATTCATATTTGCTGCGCCGCTAGGTGCATGCGTACTCTCTCTTCGCCATGTTGAATTGACGATACATGGATGGCCGATGGCTTGGTTTAGGACGAGGAATCACCCCTTTTCCCATCAAAGACTTCTTCAAATTATAATTTGAAGTGTGGGGGAGATGCCCGGCCCAGAGGAGTTGAAAACACTGAAGTCAAAATTTGTAATTAGATCTAGATCTAGCCTACTACCGTTTCACATTCCGGAAAAAATGTCGCCACAACCCGCTGTTTGATTCGTGTTTCAATATTCGGTCTGGAGCTCCAACGCCTTTGCCGTCGGCGTCGGAGCTCCAGCTCCCTGGAGTTACTCAGGCCCCGGCCCAGAGCACCGGGGCCGGGGGGAGAGAATGCTGTAGACTGTACCCAATCCCAGCCGGTACATTTCGTACGATTTAATTTTGAAGCTCAGTGGCAAAATGCAAATGCAATTTTGATAGTTATACTATTCTGTTATCCTATTCCTTAATTATTTTACACAATACCTTTTGGCGGGTGCTTCTTCATTCTCTAGGGCTGGAACGACATCATTTTCTGTTTTCTCCATGTTTCCTTTTAGTTTTACTGCAGCTGCAATTCAATTCTTCTTTCTTCCATTTATTTCCGAACCTGACACATGTGTTTACTTAGTCTTAATTACAGGCTTTACCAATTTGATCCGAAAAAATATAATAACACTTGAGATACACGTGTAGCAAAAACATTTTTTACCTTCTTACCTTCACATTTATAAAATGATCATTATAAAACTGAACAGCTTATACATCCTTTTGAAAAAAAATTATTTGGGTTGTGCAAGATATTAACACGAGGTTCCCTAAATGAGACTACAAGTAAACGGGAATTTCCCTGAAAATCTCAATCCACATTAAATTTCGTTTGACTAGCTTGCATGGTCATGAATTTTACCACGAGTTCTCATTAATTAATAATTAGCGCTACATAAAAACGGGCTTTCTGTAGCTTTACAAATAGAATGATCTTTATCAAGATTTCAATGACAAATAATTGATTTTTATGTTAACTCCTTCACTCGAGGCCCGACGTGAATAAATTTCAATCTCAGATTTTCCTTGGGAGAAAGTGTTGGCCTATATGTAATATATACCCCAAACTAAAAGTTAAACTTCTGTGAAAATCAATAATCTCATTTATGCATTATATTGACTTTGGCAATGTGATGACCCAAAATCTGAAACTATTTCTTTGAACAAACTTCTATTGATCAGTTTGGTTTGTAATGCTAATTTCTTTTTCCTAAAAAAAAACATATTTATTAAAAAAATCTTACCTTTTGATGAATCTTTGCAAGAAAGTAGACCTAAAAAGTACAAAACCGGTATAGTATGTGAAGTAATCCTGATTTGGAGAAACTAGTAGGCTTAGCATAGCTCTGAGCTTATAAATCTGAAGGTCATGAACTATTATATGGACAGCTTCTACATAGGTTTCTGACCCTACGGTCCTGATTGTATAGAGATTTAAAATCTAAAATGTCCATTTTAATGACTTAAAGACTGTCAATACTACTGGGCCAGAAGGGATTAGACCACACAGCAAGGTCACTGACAGGTGGCTATCTCATTAACTCAGCTCTCAACTAACATAATAAAAAGAGGATCATGGGGGACCAACAGGCACCGATTGGGGAAGTTTTTCTATATAGAGGGAGCAAGTAGCTACAAGTAGGACAGAGGGGCTTTAATATTTAAAGGCACAACTTTCACTTACACAGGAAAAAGAACCCGACTACAATCCTATCATAAAATAAACAGCTCAGCAACAGTCTTTTAACCATTCTTGCTATATAAAATTCATTTTGGCATGCTGCATACAGACTGCATTTTTTTTTCAATACTCATGATTTTAAGTCTACTTAAAAAATGACTTATTCCCCTATTTTCACTTTTTATTCTCTTTTGTCCCCTACCCCCCCCCCCCCCCCCTCCTCTCACATCAAATTATGAAATTTAACTGTTTTACAAGCTTTTCTCAGCAATCACAGGTTTTACTTTTAGTATTTTTGTTTGGTTTCCTTTCAACTTTATTTTTTCTTCAAAAAAAAAAAATTGGTTTGAAAGAGAGCATGAATTAAAAATGTATGCTAAGTTGTCGAACAACTTTTCTTAATGGTCTTGAACTTTGGATACATCCCCACAGTACACATATATTATGTCCCACAACAACCCCTAAGATGTGTACTATGTAGGCCTACTGCCTGTACTTTTGTTCAGTTTCTTTAAACAAATTGATGTAATTGTTCAAAATAGTTTGCAGATAAGGTTATATTAATGTTGATATCTTAAACAAATGACATTCATGGTCAGTGTTCTTTCACATGATTGGTAATAAGAGCTTCCATTCCATTTTTTGAGAGGGGGTGTTTCCAAAGCTGGTCTATACCTTTAATATCAGGGTGGACTTCCCCTTTAAGTGAACATAATTTTAATGTCATAATTCAAGTGTAGAGCTAAAGGAGCTCTCTTTTCTACACAATCATCATAATGAACAAAGCACCGCAAAGACTGCAGTGGAGATGCCATATCACTTTGATCGAACACAGTGATACTAAAGCCAACAGTTACAAACTACATGTAGTTTAGAATAAATGATAAAATGACAATGTAACAAGTGAATAAAAAATCCTGGTACCTTTATTCAAGAACAGTATTGCTAAACTTTCATTTACATGCTTGACATAGTGATAATTGTAGCTGTACACACAAGTTTTGAACAAATATGCAGAATATACTGTATAACTGTTTTTACAGAAAAAGATGTTATATTCCATTAATATTTATTATTCAAACTGACAGTATACTATCCTCTTGAACAATTTAGAAGTTCTGATCAATTTGATATTCAATTGTGTCAAATAATATGTTCAGCCTTTATAATAGATATTTTTTCCAATATCATATTGACTCCGACTCTCTCAAATATCTTATGTGATTTAATCTTATTGTTACAGTATTCTGAGATTTAAATAATCTTAACACAGAAGCTAGGGTTGAAAACAGAAGTTTATATACTCCCAAATTAATCGTTCCATGTTTGAGCATTTCAAACATCAAGGCCATCTGTGCTTTAGACCATTTTCCACAGTTCTCACATGACAATGACTTTGTATGCATATTACTTTTGGACTTGCACATCTAATCAGAGTACACTTTATGCCATTCAAAAGAGTTCTTAGAGCGATTAGTAGGAGCGACAATCTAAATATTAAACTTAAAAATAACGAACCAGCCAAGATGCTGTTGAAAGATCTTTGTTGCTTATTTCAATTGCTATTTTGAGCTATTACTATTATTGAACTATTTTTGTCTGTCTTAACAATTTCATGATTAATTCATGACAAAAGAAGAAAAAAAGTAAGATTGTTACAATCATTGAGAAATCCAAATGACAAGGAACTCAACTTTCAACACATTCATGAATTTACACGTCATCATCTTTATGCTTTCACTGTAAGGGCAATATTCAAATATGCAACTCATTTATTAGGCACATATTCATCTCTTGATTTATGTTTGAAATTTTATACCAATTTAAATAATATAAAGGTAAATTTACTGATCCAAAATATACATATAAAAATTCAATTTTCTTTGACAAATTCCTTTAGACACAAACAATTTGGTTTCTCCCAATTTCTTAAAAAACAAAACAATACCACTTAACAAAATTTAATTCTGTTAATTACATGATATAAATAAATGTCTGCATTCACTAATCACACGTACTGGTACTAAGAAAATGTACTACATGCATCTTCTAAACACAACTTTCTTCAAATCTAGATCTAATAATTAATGGTTTGATTAACTTCCGATCTATAGAGGTGTCGTGGTCGAGTGGATATGTCACCGGACTGTCGATTACAAGGTCCGCGGTTCGAGTCCCAGCGCGGCACTAATGTCCTTTGGCAAGACATTGATCTACATTTGCCACACTCAACCCAGGTGATGTAAATGGGTACCTGTCAGGAATCAATTCCTTGAAATGCTAGAGCGCTGTAATGGCAGCTGTGCTAAAGCCAGGGTAATAATGGGGAGCGCCAGGAGTGTCAAGTCTGACAGACATGAGCGCTATACAATAACTCACTATTATAATAAATTAGGTTTAGTATATTGATTTAACAAAATTCCATAAACCGTGATGTGGTTAAGTGAAAGGCATAGACAATATACATACATTAGATTAGATGAACTTAAAATACAACAAAAATTAATTAATTACATTAAAAAATAACAGTCAGCCAAAAAATACAGATTTTTAATACATTTACAATAAAGAATATTTTTAATTTAATTTTCCTTTATATATAAATATGGCGGCACAATATATTCAAATCAATCTTAATGTATTAATTCATAATATATGTAAGAATGCATAAAATATTTTGAAATATACGAAAATATACAGGAAAGCACCCACAGTGCCAAGTTTTTAAATGATTGAATCTCATATGCTGGACAGATCTCCACAAATCTGTGTCTACATCACATTACGTATAAAACCCTCACCTACAATTTCCTTTCATCAAACAAAGTGCAGCAAGCACCTTAAATTCCTAAAGCATGATAGCAAAGAATTTTGACATAGAAGAAAGATGATGAATTACACATACATTTAGATGAAATCTTGGATTCCAAGAAGAATCATAAGAAAACAAAGTTGCATACAGCAGTGTCCTTACAACAACCTGTGGTGCATGCTGACAACACATCGAATGATGAATACGAGAATCCCAATACCAGGACTATTTTGGCAACAACCATACTGATTACTGCAGAAAATCAAAGAAGTGATGACATTCAAGTGTTTTCTACCATTTCAAGAGGAAAATATGATAGCCCAGTGAGGTGAATAAATCATGTCCAAAGTATACAGCTTACTGAATTGTATTATATTAGTAATATTTTATTTTATTTTGTCGCTTTTAAGCTATTGAAAATGTTAAATAATTATACTGAGTTAGACAGCACCACATGTGCGCTTAGAAACGCCTGTATAAAGCGCCCTATCATTGTAATTATTATTATTATTATTATTACTGCAGAAGTAAATGATAGTAACAGTTAAAAGAATGGTGATGAAATTTTGAAGTGCACAGATCATCACAGAAAATAAAAAAAGTGATGGTGAAATTGAATTGATTTTTATCAGTTTAAGGGGAAAGAGAAGTGCCATACGAGCAGGACTGTGTTTGGGAAGACGCGTAGGGATTCTATCTTTAGTACACAGCTTATCGCAGAAATTCAAGGAGTGGTGATGAAATTCAATTGATTTCTATCAGCTTACGAGAAGAAGAATGGCCATACGAGCAGGACTGTGTCTGGCGAAGACGCGTAGGGATTCTATCTTAAGCTACAGCTTAATTCGCAGAAGTTCAAAGAAAGGTGATGAAATTCAATTGATTTCTATCAGTTTAAGGGGAAGAGAAGTGTCATGCTAGCAGGACTGTGTCTGGCGAGGACGCGTAGGGATTCTATCTTAAGCGTACAGCTTAATTCGCAGAAGTTCAAAGAAAGGTGATGAAATTCAATTGATTTCTATCAGTTTACGAGAAGAAGAATGGCCATACGAGCAGGACTGTGTTTCGCAAACATGCGTAGAGATTCAATCTTAAGTATACCGCTTATCGCAGAAGTTCAAGGAGTGGTGATGAAATTCAATTGATTTCTATCAGTTTACGAGAAGAAGAATAGCCATACGAGCAGAACTGTGTGTTCGGCGAAGACGTGTAGGGATTCTACTTTAAGTATACAGCTTATTGCAGAAGTTCAAGGAGTGGCTGGTCATGAAAGTCAATTGATTTCTATCAGTTTACGAGAAGAAGAATAGCCATACGAGCAGGACTGGGTGTTTGACGAAGACGTGTAGGGATTCTATCTCAAGCATACAGCTTATCGCAGAAGGTCAACAGGTGATGATGAAATTCGAGCGGTTTGTCCATGTAGGCAGCATGACCGGCTTCTTTCAGCTGGACAATCTCATTGTTCTTCAGGTTCTTGAGTGCCTTTAGCGATTCCAGTCCAATGCTTTCATCCTTCTCTCCATATACAATCAGGGTAGGTACCTGGAATTGGTCAAAAAAGAAATTAAAAAAAGAAAGATTCTGAATAAAGTATTTGCAATGGTTTCTACACTTTTTAGTTGACATTTTACATTACCGTTAAAAGTTCACAGGAGTTTGTGATGGCTATGTATTCTGTTACAATTATATTCTTTATGGTATACTATAATATCAACAGTTTTAAAGACCGTCAATACTACTGGGCCAGAGGGGATTAGACCACACAGTGACGTCACTGACAGGTGGCTATCTCATTAACTCAGCTCTCAAATAACATACTGGTAAGAAAAAGAGGATCATGGGGGACCAACAGGCACCGATTGGGGAAGTTTTCTATAGAGAGGGAGCAAGTAGCTACAAGTAGGAGAGTGGGGCTTTAACCTCTGGACAGTTATTAATAAACAGAAATAACAAGATAATGAGATTTTTTTGGGCTGCTTTTTTCTATAACTACAATAATGACTCAAACAACAACAATTGCCCCTATGACTTAGAGTCATCATCTACATATGGCCTTACAAATTATTAAATTATAGCATAGATAAACCCTCAATGGAGCAATCATATCAAGAGAGGGATTTTTCTTTGTGATTTCTTACAAATGCATTCATTCCAGAACCAACTTTGAAGGGGTCATTTTCAAACTTAAAATGTGCATCTTCTTTTTATCTTCATACCAACTTCATTGTACCATATATATCTGAGCATCTTGATGTACACCCCCTCTTTCTTTCTTTTTTTTCACTCTCTCTCTCTTTCTTTCCCCGTTTACGAATATGTGTTCCTCCATATTCGTATTATTTATCCATTGACGGTAGTCATGCTATCAAGCTTTGCTTAATTTGTCAACCCTTCTGTTTGATATTTTTTCGATTAGTTACAGGCAGCCTTACTTTATTCGACATTATATTCTTTTGAAAGGTGTAAAATTTGCACTGTTTTGTTTGTTAAATATATTTGTAAAAATGCAAAAGAAAAGGAAAATCAAACAGAAATAAATAAATCAAATCAAATCAAGTCAAAATCAAGTCTGAGGAAGAACACTCGTGTCCTCCAAGCTCGGTTCTTACCTCAATGGCACCATATTCCTCATTGGTGAGCTTGTTGGTACCAACAGGAGCCACTGGGACGAAGCCTTTGAAGACTTCTGGTTGTACCTTGAGGAAGGGGATGGAGAAACTGCCGCTCATCGAAGGACTGATGATCACTGCTTGTTTCATGTTCAGCGTCTTCATTAAGTTCGTCATGAAAGTGGCACTGCTTACATCGGCCTTCTTAGATTCACCATATCCTGATAAAGGAAAGAAGTAACGGTAAGCAGTAATGTAAAAATAGGTGAAACTATGCCATTAGCAGCATTTATAAGATGATGATGTGGATCCTAATCAAATGATTGGTTGAGAGGGTACACGTAACCAGGCATTTATTTTGCCTAACACATAATTTTGATAACAACCGGTCATTATCAAATGCTAATGACCGGTCATTAATAAAATCATGTTATAAAACATCATTTCATAAAACAAATAGAACATCATCTTATAAAACAAATAATATAAATCATTTTGTTCGGGCATTAGTAAATTTCCCACACTTGGTACCTTCAAAACAGTCCAAACACCCTCCAGCAATCTCCTCGGGTGTGTTAGACTGTTCCAAAGGTACCTTGTGTGGGTAATTCTTACCAATGCCTGCACTGCTGTGTATTATTTGTATAGAATCATACAGTGATTGATTTTCCTAATTTACAATGAATAGGATGTGGGTTGAGGTTCTCATTTAGTGATTGGGTCATTCAGTGGGATTTCACACGGCCTCTTTGCGAAATATCTTGTAACACAGCTGAATGGTTTAGTTAACAAGTACATGTAACATGGATGTTGGTATACAAGATATTTCTTGAAAACCTTTTTCATTCTTGTACCATAACATCTAAATGTACCATGCTACATTCAAATTACTTGAATTTCACTAGGGTTAGTTAGTTTAATGTCATGAATAACCACACTTAGTTGCTGGACTAGTTTCTTTCTGAACATTGTACAACAAGCCATTCTGGATGCCCTATCGTTCATCCAGCTTGAGAAACTTTGGGGACAATCACATTCTCACTGTCTTTCAAGTTTCAGGGCATCACTCAATACTGACAACATATACAATGGAAAGGTATCAGTCCATTGCACAAGCCACCATCCTTCTAAATACAAGGTGAATGTAAAAGTTAGTGTGCAAAATCAAACCACTATCTCGTCCATACATCTGAAGGTATCGTGATCACAATAAAACATGGATCATGCTAAGTATAATTCAGTTTTGAGATGGGAACTCACCTGGCAGGTCTACAGCGACGGCTCTGTAACCATGACAAGCCATATAGTTCAATGTACCCAAGTCTTGCCATGTCAAGGATTTAAATCTCATCCCATGGAGAAATAGAAGGGTGCCTTTAGGCTCTGTGGCTGGGAGAACCTGAAATAATAAATGAAATACAGACATAAGACTAGACTTGTTAGACGCTCCACCAATTCTTAAATGCCTGCTGCTCACCAAGAAAACACATTTTATAGATGTAATACATGCAACAAACAAAAAAACATTGGTGTAGTTCAAAGAAAGAAACTCTCTAATGATGAAATGAATTGGATAAAAAATTTATACATACAGATGATTCCTGCAAGCAAGTTTCATTCAATATTTTCTAAATACATTAAATATGCAGGACATAGTACAACAAGGCAAAGTTCTTTATTTACATGAAAGATATTTGGTAACACTCTGAAAATATCTTTTTCTTCCACACACTCTTTCACAAAAATCCTGATCCATTCATTTGACAAGACAGGGAGAATCTTTAGATAAGAACGTCACTCAAGGAACTCGTCAAATACATGCAAATCTCATAATGAAATGATTGTTTCCAAGTACTTGAATGTACAACCTTTCAAGAAATCAAGACAACAAACGATTTCAATACCCTATTATTGTAATGAATACAGAAATCATTATTGGATTATGAAATGAATTATTTCAATGTTCACTCATTTTTTGAAGATGATGCAAGCAAGAGGCTACTCAAATTGCATTAGGTTAATTGATTATTGTTAAAGTCTTTGCGACTGTGTCGTTTAAATGTCAAAGATCACTCTGAATTTTCAAGGGCCCTATAGCACTAAATCCCTATAAAACCTTGTTAAGATATGCACCGTTAAACCACAGGATGTTTGTTTTGTGTTGTTTTTATAATGATGTACATGCAAAGTGTAGGACGTTTCATATTTCTTATCTTTCAACACAGAGCTAAGTCAATATGCATAGGACCTTCGTTGTGTGGAGGTGCTGGTACTTTTACAAAACATGGCAGTTGATTAGTGGCAGTTAACTGCCTTTCGGGCAGCCCATGAATAATGACAAGTCACATGATTATACATTGTAACTTACCTCTCTGTAATAGATAACCGCATTGTCAATTTCCTCCAAGAAGCCTTTCTTCTGCACTAATTTGACATTGTTCATTGCTTCACTCTTCAGCTCGTCCCAGTTCATGTTTGCTTCCAAGTCGATCCGTTTACACACCTGAGTTGTTTCTGCTTGCCCCTGTATTAATAAGACAAAAATAAAACACATTATTAGAAATGGTATAACATTACCTAAATTCACCACTACAAGGAAAGAAACATAAACATAACATTCACAATTCCATATCAGGACAATCATCTCCTGGATAATTTCCAGCGGGACAATTCAGTCAAATAAGTAACAGAAAATATAAATACATGGCACATGATACATTCATATCAAGGAATATATTTCCAGTTACATGTACCAAAAATGTTACCTGAATGTGTTTGTTTGACAAATTGTTGTTGCTTTTCTTAATTAATGTGAACACTGAACACACTAATCATATTGTTTTATACAGTTCAAATACTTCAGGGTAATGCCATTGTCTGAATCATCAAGAACCTTTCTAGTTTCTACTCTTAAGTTTTAAATTGTTTTGGATGTATATAGTAAATCAGTTGTTGCTCCTGATGAGAACATACAATCCAACTATCCTTTTTACAAGATAATGTTACATGTATGCAGTCGTGGGCTCGTGGCTCATACTACAGTATATATTTGTACCTGGAAATTCATAATGTCAAAAAGTCCATACGGTACCTTGATAAAGCTTTGCACTTTATTTGAAGTTGATGATGCTTACCTCTACTACTGCTTTTGCTCCTTTTACTAGATCTTCAGCCGTATCTTGATTCTTGGCAGATATTTTACTCAATGAAGCTCGTTGGTCCAACTTCTCTGATGGGTAGTACATGAAGATGATGGCTGCTATAAAGAGTGATGTGAAGCCCAGGGCTGCAGTCTTGAATGTGACGTGCCTTAGCAAAGAACCCATCCTAGCTGTCTGATTGGTCGAGGACATCGGCTAGAGCACAGGATAAAGTCCACAGAATGATGACTTGTTACCTGGGAATAGTTTCAACGAGACATACATACAAACTGTAAGGTTATAGGCTATATAAAGCAAACAGGAAGAGGTGACCTTTGATCCCTGACAGGGGAACAGAAGCGAGAGAGGTGGTGGTGTTGAGGGAGAGAGAAAGGGGGTGGTGAGGGAGAGAGGAGAGAGGTGAGAGGTGAGGGAGAGAGGGGGAGAGGTGAGGGAGAGAGGGGAAGAGGTGAGGGAGAGAGGGGAAGAGGTGAGGGAGAGAGGGAGAGAGGGGGAGAGGTGAGGGAGAGAGGGGGAGAGGTGATGGGGAGAGGTGAGGGACAGAGAGAGGGGGAGAGGTGAGGGAGAGAGGGGGAGAGGTGATGGGGAGAGGTGAGGGACAGAGAGAGGGGGAGAGGTGAGGGAGAAAGTGAGGGGGAGAGGTGAGGAAGAGAGGAGAGATGTGAGGGAGAGAGATGAGGGGAGAGGAGGGCGAGAGGAGGGGGAGAGGAGGGGGAGAGGAGGGGGAGAGAGTGGGGAGGTGAGGGAGAGAAAGAGAGAGAGAGAGAATGAAAGAGGGGGAAGAGAGGGGAAACAAAAATGCATGTAGGAACTTAGGAAGTGATACAGACTGTCAAGAAAAACATGTCTACACTGTACATGTATATCTTTAAGTTTTTTACACACTGTCTTTAACACCAACATTAACAAAATAAAATATGGATACTTTCAAGTGAGTGCAGATAGTGAGAAAAGAAATTAGCTTGAGTTTAAAGACAGGATCTTGCATAATTCAGAGTAAGACATAATATAAGCCTTTGATTTATGCATTTAGAGATATTTTAGATTTAATCATCACAATCCAAAGTATGACAAATGACAATGGTGTTCCTCATTTCTCGCTTGATACAAGCCTCTAATTTCCATTAGCTTCTTTTTAAACGTTTGTTTGAATAATACACAATACAGAGAACATTTCTGAGAAATGATATGTATGATGTTAGAGCAATTAATCTGACTTAACTTTACATTGCAATAACTTTTCATATTAATTCGAAATCCACCTATCATTATTTTTCATGATTGAAAATTTGTTGGAGGGGATGGGGGAGAGAAATTGCCTGGGTAAGGGATACCATTTGGTTTCTCCAGATGAGCCTGCAAAGAGACCCAGACATGCAGGAGCCTCATAGTCTATGTATGTAATATATGAAGCCTGATATAGAAAGGTGTCAGGGCCTGAAAACTGGCATCCCTGCTGGGTTGCCTCTGAAAAATGCACTAGAGCCTACATTTAGCACTCTTTTGTATGAAATGTCTGCATGTACACAAAGCAGGGGGTCGATGGAAACAGAAAATCCAAGTAGACAATCTCAGGCCAGCTGTGTTTTCCCAGAGCTGTACTATCCAATATGTGCAGTAAAGTATTAATATTATATATCTCATATGCTGTCAAATTTATTGACAATATAACTTACAATTACATTGAATATTCTACAGAATTTGATGTTAGAATAGAATAGAATATAATATTATTTTATTGTCTTCTTCCAAAGAATGAAGAAACTTTCCTTCCAGGTGATACATACATAAACATTTCACAACTTATACAAAATTTATAAATACAATCATACCAAAATATTCAAATGCATACAAAATACAAAAGTATGAAATTAATAAAAATTACATAAAACATAAGGATCGCAAAAAGAAGACAAAAGGAAGAGATAGAGAAAGATAGAGTTAGAAAAAGAGAAAAGAAAGAAAGGGGGGGGGGGGAGAAAGGAAAGTAACAGAAAGAATAGGAGAGAGAGGGAGAGAAGGAGGTGAATTAGAGGAAGGTAAGCGAGAGTTAGGAGAGAAAGGAAAGGAGGGAGAAAGTACATATGGCATTTTAAGGTTTAGAAAGTTATTGGGAGGGCAGCTGCACTGCCGCTGCTCAGAGGAAAAATACACAAGAAACACTAAAAACCAACTCCTAAGTAGAAGTTGAAATGCAAGGTAAAGTCGGCGGGCGCATGCAAGGTGGCTACCATGCCAACCATTGTTGTTAGCTTGGAGACAAGTTCAGCAACCCGGCACGCGCCCGTCGAGGATCCCGAGCTAAAAAGCTAACAATAAAGGGCGGATTCATTCAAGACCAGTTACAAGAGACTACTAAAATCAGAAATCACCACATATTTTGTTGGCTGCAAAAGGGACATCCGCGGTACAAAAAAAGATGCCTATTTTTTTCATTATTTGATTACAAATTTGAAAGTGTGTTGCATGCCACCATGACAAAAAGTAAGCGAATAAGCCGAATACCAACATAATTTCCTAGGTTTGTTGTGATCTAGCTCTAGGCCTACAAAGTACATGTGGCCTGATTGTCACCAAAGTCCCCTCTCATTCAGTGTCAGGCGCGTACGCAGGGGGGTGGGGGGTTTGGGGTTAAACCCCCCCCCTTGAGTTTTTTTTTATGTGTATGTTTTACGTATGTTTTTTGGAAAAACCGCCCCTTTAGAGATTTTTTAATATTTTGTTTTAAATGAATTAAATTAAAAAAAAAAAAAAAAATGCCAATGGATGACCTCCCCCAACGGGCCAAAATCGTTACGAAATTTTGGGCCCGATTTCATGGATCGAAAGCCGCTTGTTCAGGAACCTATCCAATATTTCGTCGCTGTTTTCACAAAGTGACGGTAGTGAAAAAAAAAATTCCATTCACTTTGCGTGACGATTTTCCTCGCTACCCTCACTTCGTGAAAACAGGGACGATTTGACCCGTAATGTACATGTACCTGTAGTCTGTACCTGTACTACATATGTCTCAGATCCTCATACATTACGGTAGATAACTTCACACAGGCATGCGCCGGCCGGCAACCCATCACGGTATGCACTTGTATTGTACAGCGGTTTGCCGTGAAACCTGAGAAAAAGTATATACTAATATCATTGGTTTTCCAAAAAATACTCCAAAAATAACAAGAAAATTGACACGAAACAGGCAACATAACAAATTTTTACTCATGATCTTTGACTTTATTTGGACGTTTAATGAATATTTACTTTATTTCGGGTATGTTTTAGTAGGGGATCTCCACGCTGGAGTTATGGGTCAAATTTTGGATAGGTTTCTAAAAAAAGCGCCGATCGAAGCCCCCCGCACGCAGGCGCAATAAAGCTAGCTGTGTAGGCCCTAGTCCTAGAGAAATGAGAGGGGACTCGGATCACGATAACGCCATACATCATTTGTCCACACAGTCGAATGCATGCAAACCAAGTTCTTGTTATATCGATATCATATAAACCATAAATCACTTCGTAAGGCTATATCAAGGCTAATCAAGCATCGTCCCCCGTCCCCCGTCCCCAGGCCCTATCCCTAGGGCGCCACGGTCCGGACCAATGTCTTGACAGTATAGTAATTAGTACCAGCGGGGCGGCGCGGGTTAATCCCCGGTGGGCCGAGCTCCTGCTAAGTTGCTTCGAACCGCCTGTACTACCGGCGTAGGTCTGAACCTTGCACCCTCGCGCTAGCCGCCTCGGCTCAAACCTTTCACTTTCAGCCCACTTGCCACCATGCAAATATGAAAATTATAGTATGGCTGTTTACCTGTATTCGGCGTGAATAATTCTGCTTGATGGGTTATCCAGTCTTGCACTTTGTAAACATTTGGTAGTTCTGTTGTTCCAACTGCACTGCCACGCATTCGATTATTTGTTGTCACATTTTTTTCTCAGCATCGATATTTTTCGCATCTCAGCTAGCTCGCTTTGAGGTCTAGCGCCATCTAGAGCCAGAAACTATATAGTAGTAAGGTACCCTTGCTCTCAGCTCCACCTACATGCACACATAGGTGCATTACTATCCTTGCTGTGTATTAAAAGCTGTGCTATTGATTCTCAACATTTCAAACACCACAGTGCAAAACTCAATTAATTTCACTCAAAATCGGTACTTTAGTGACAATTAATGAGACCTAAATAGCAGTTAAATACAATTGTTTTAACTTTCCGATTTCGGAAAAAAATAATTTAAAAATTTAAATTGTGAGTCCACTGTCAAACTTGCCGATCAACCACATCGGTATAATTGTGTGCATCTATGTGTTATGAGTGTATTGACTATTCATGTATTCAAATGCTGCCTATTAACACGTAGTGCTGTGCTAAAGGTCAATACGCATTAACATTGACTCTCTATGCTTTACTGGAGTGCCGTGCCGCGCCTACATGTAGCTCCGTTGTCATGCAAGACCAAGCCTAATTATCTGTAAACGGCCTGCATATTTTGACGGTCGATGAATTCTGTAAATTCGATATCCAAAGAAACTCTACAGATATGATGTCACGTCAATTTGACTTCAGAAAGCTGACCTTGATTCGGATGAAGCTGCGAGAAGTTCACACTGGGAATGAGCGGGTAGACAAGGTCGTACACGCCTTGACCAACGGCAGGGCAGCCAGTGCCATGACCGCCTACGAGCAGTTCATAGGCATCAGTAATGTGAAGGCAGCTCAGAATAGAGTCGCAGAGGTAGACGGTATTTGGTTTATTTGAGTGATGTATGTCAGTGTTGCTTTAAAAAATATCATGATGGAGATAGCTAACTTTGACATAAGATTACAAGTATGGTTGACTAAATTAACTTACAAATTCTAGAAATAGAATTCTAGTAATGGTCAATGGACGTAGTAGTTATCTAACTAGACTAGCTAAGTCTAACATTTTGTAACAAACAAAAGAGTTCTGCAAGAATCAAAGCTGAAAGTAAGGAAGCATTGTTAGGGAGCAGCCTATACTAAAGTAGACCCTCTAGAAGAGAAAAGGAAGAAAAAAATGAGACAATGTGGTTGAATGCCAGAATGTTAATAGCAGCATTTCATTATGTTTATTTGACCGAAAATAAGTGTAGTTTGGGGATACATGCATGTTTTGCTGAGCTGAGACTGTCTGGCTTCACCGAATCCCTTCGGCTTCAGTGACAGTCTCAGTCTCAAAGTCAAAAGATGCAAACAAAATCCTCCAACCAGATGGATTTTTCTGACTACATGTTCATGTGCCAAGCTGATTTTGGATTTGAAGAGGAAAAAAAAGAGACAACAACGATGACATCAGAGATTTCAAGATTAATCCTTTCAGTTATGATGGATAATTTTGTGATCATCTAATATAGCCAATGCTATTTTCAACATGTTTATTATCAAATTAAGGGTATATCTTGATTACGCCTGCTCTACTATTAAAATAAGTTGGTACTAGTTGTAGGTACTCCTTCAAAATATGGACTGGAGGTGGTGGTAATAGAGTAAAAAATTGGCAAAAACCATTGGGGACCTATATTGACAAATTCTGTGCATAATTTCTGTCTATTCTCTTGTGGTAAAAGTGGTACATTTTAAAAATTTGTATTCATTTGTACAGGTGGAGAAAGAGTTTCTCAAGGTACGTGAGGAAGTAGCGGAAGCAAACGGGGAAGTTAGCGGTCTCCAAACAAAGCTTCATAGCTTGAGAGGCAAGCTGGATCGTACTCCAAGAGATGACCCAAAGTTCCTTGAACTAGCCACTGAAGAACATGCCATGCTGCAGGCTGAAACTCGCCTCAAGGAGAGATTCACCAAAGTGGAAGCGAGAGAAAGAGACACGTTTTCCCACCTCTCTACCGCCGTACGGGAGAGCCATGAAAAACAGAGGGCGCAAGAAGAGCGCACAAAGTACTGGTCAGTGATAGGTTCTATCGTGGGAACTCTTATAGGTATCCTAGGTTCTACCATAGTTAATCATAAACGTATGGGTGAATTGCGGACATTGGTCTCTGAGCTTAGCACAGGGGACTTTGGGTCGGAGAGCACGCGTCAGGAGCTGACTGCCATCGTTCAACAACTCAAGGAATCGCTGGGTCAGGATAATGATGCAATGCAGCACCCAAATCTCAAGAATAGCATGGATGATACTCTAATCAAGCATGATGAGCTTCTGAGTCAGCAGCTTGAAGCCATTGAGAAGCTGATGGATGAAAGGAATAGTAAACTGAGTGATCAGATCAAAGGTATGAGGAGGATGACTGAGGTTGGTTTGGTCAGTGATACAGGAACGTTGGAGGAGTTGCTAAGTGATACAGAACAGAAACTAGAATGGGAGATGAAGATGAGTACATTATCAACGGTGGTTTTCATTTACGGTGCTTTTGCTTTAACCTTACCAATATTGTACAGTATATTCAAGTGATATACCATATATACCGGTATATTAAAATCTATAATATCATATGCTTGGGTGATAGTTTCTCAGGGCCCCGTCTTATGAAATGTTGCCATTGATCCTAATCAATCGTAAGCCCTCCAATCAATTGCAAAATTGCAGTTTCCTATCTCTTATTTACATTGTTGTGATTAATATCAACTCTTTAAAAGACGGGGTCCTAGATCTCGCTGTATGGATTGCTTGTATAATACAATCCTGGATAATTTGCTTAGAACCAAGAATGATCTGGCTTTGGGTTTTTATTTCATATGTTGTCTTGAACCAAGGAATGAGATTTTGAAAGCAACTTACAATGCTCAGAAGAGCACTGCTATATCGCTCTATGCAGTAAGATTTTTAGACATATATAGTCATTATAAAAGATATGATTGAGATTGATTTCATTAAAAAAAAATTATGTTGATAGTGGCTTGCTTGCATGTACTGCCTAGGATTTAAAAAAAAATCATTATTCAGTTATTACAGTAATAGTATATATATGTAAAGCTTGTATGAATTATGGACTAGATCAAGTCTAACAAAACAGTAAGTACAAGTACAGTGTATGTGAAATATGGTACTATTTCTTACAATTCAACAATGCTCATGTGATGCTGCAATATTTATATGGTTTTTAGGTTCAAAACCAGATACATGTAAATGTGCAATTTTCTAGTAAATCCTATCTGCTTTCTTATCAGTACCTGTATTACTGCAATTTTATGCTCTTAGTTTGAACTTTGAGAACAAATATTTGAATATATGTGGATGTATCAACTATGTTGTTGATACAGTTTTCATTTCTAGACTACTTTCATCAGTACATTATCAAAGAGGTTTGTCCAAAATAATTTATCAAGTATCATGTCGTAATACCTGTAGACATTTTATGCCTTGAGTGGACACTTCATTTACAGTATGTTGTGATTAAAAATTGACACATTAAACATTTATTGTTTAGGCTTTTAGTCTTAAGCTTGTATCTGATTTATTTTCCTGTACTTGTATACATTTTGTACTGCTAGATTATGTTGTTTATTTAGAGCTTATACACAGAAAAAAGAAACAAAAGAAAGCGTACTGTTTGACAGAACTTTGTTAACTTTAGGATAAATTATAGAAATATTTTCCCATCTTACAATGTCCTTGTTGTAGCAACGCTTACATGTACATGTGGAAAGGGACTACATTTTTTTTCCTTCATGTATTTCTCCTGCTTTTGAGCAGAAATGGGTAAAATGGTTGATTGATCATTAAGTAATTGTGCTTTAATGATATTAACGTAGGATAATTGAGAAGTAAAAGGGAGTGCAACTAGTCTATACTCAGAAATATTTGTTCATGATATTGTGGTTTTTCCCCTCAAAATTTAGCTTTTGAGTTTTGATGACCAAGAAGCTTGTGTACACATTGTCATCTGAAGTTAAGTCTTCTTGTCTGCATTATAAAATAACTACAAGTATTAGTCTAATTATAGCAATTAATTTTTTCCTATCTTGTTTGAATATGAATTTAAAATGGAATCATGTTTAGAAAGGTTTTTTTTTTAAATGTGCTACAATATTCATCAAGAGGGCTAGTTTAGGGTTTTGGGTTATTTCATTTCCTGTGTATTATCAAGTATTGTGATAGTATAAACATGGATTGATATCAGAAGCATTATTTTACTTGATATTTGGTACAATCCATGTAGTATGAACTTAATACAATAATCAGAAATATCAGATGAACCAAAATGACAAATCTTTGATGTTGTCAGTAATGTCTCCTTGGACAAAATAGCTTGAACGTGCCCTATCAGATATTTGCTGATTGTAATAGAAAATAGAATTTAAATCTATTTTCTCAAATGTCTTATTTTGAAGAATATTACTAGTGAGTCATGGAGTTGTTTTACATGTCATATATTTATGTAGAAACAAAGTGCATACCAAAGAACAACGTCTTCCACATAGATTACACTTATTTACCTCTTATTCTCAATTATGAAGTTCAACGCTTGATCATCCTTTATGGGCTGTTCATGTGTGAGAACCAGTGACTGTATCAGAGATGTAACATTTGGATGTACATAGGTGGAGGTGGAGTAATATCACTTTATGTGTTATATATTTTAATCGAGTACATTTAAGCAAACACAATGAGATAAGTTTAAGAAAACTAACTGTTTTAAGATGCACTTGAACGTATTTATGACACTAGTGAAAGCATGCAACTGTATTATGATTATGATTATAATTGTTATGTTTTCATCAAAATATTGCTTTTTGCTTCTATATTCAACCCCATCTGTGCCAAATGCATCAAATGCCACCCCAAAATATTTCCAGTTTACTCTATGATGATGAGCAGATGGCCGGAAAATATTTGTTTTATCCCAAGTATATGTTAACAAGTATTGTTGTTCCCACCGGAGATACTGAAACTGAAAGCCAAATTGAACATTGACATCCATAGTTATGATCCAGACTTTGACTCTTGAAAGTTATTTTGGATAACTTGTCACAATCCGAGTGGCAAAGTAGGGGTTGAAGTACAATCTACCCAAAGCCAGACTTGGTCTTTGCGGTGCTGTGAAATTATTTTCATTGGAAATAGGTTTTAAAAATTGTCAAGTTTGTTTCACCTTCCTGCTTTAGAATGATTCCCACTAAGCTATGCAAGGTGAGATGCCAAGTTCTTGCTAGACAAGTGGAGATACGACGCAAGCTTCTATGTAATCATGTATGATTCTGCACGTGTGTGACAGTAATGAAAGCTACAAAGATAGCTGGCAAGATATGTAAAGATTTGCTTTTTTATCCTTATCTTTCGATATATTTTTTCTCTGCCGGCACAGAAGACGGCAGGTTTATTGGACAATTTAGTCAGTCAGCTAGGTATTCAAAGTAATATAGCCATTAGTTTGGACTACAGTGTCTGGAATATCATTATATGACTTTGGAATTGCAAGTCTATCGTAGGACTTTATGCCGAAATGTTAACTACTATTGATACATCATATATACACCATTCACCGATATCAATGTACTACATTGTGTGTATTAAATGAGACATATTATGGCTGTAACTTGGTGACTGAATAATGTAACATTACTTATGCAATGTAAAGGCTTGTATCGAAATAATAATTAATACATGTATTATTAAAACTGGGGAGCACTTGCCAGTCTAATAACTGAACTTGTAATGTTTGTATGTGATTATTGCTTGTCAACAACTTCAGTTATGGGTATCTTGATGTACCGGTAGTGAATTTGGAGTGAGCCAATTATTAGTGTAGCACTGAATTGTTCATACACTTTGAGGGAGGGAGGGAGGGAGGGATACTCATTTACCCTAATAGACTGTAGAGTTTTTCAAAACTGTTTGGCAAACAGCTTTTGACATTTCTAATTCCAATCATAAATATCTTGATAACCAGACAGGTCATCAGCTTGTAAAAGTCATGGGATGCTTGACTGACTTTAAGGTTTATAATTATGATTGCAGAATGAGCTAAATCCAGGATTTTGTTGAGAATCTGAGGCAAAGATACCCAAGCCTTTTTTAAACTGTATAACCTCATAAACAGGAATCACCATCAGATTGGAGGGAAAGAGAGGAGGGAGGGGGAGGGAGGGGGAACAAGAGAGAGAGAGAGAGAGAGAGACACACACACACACACACACACACACACACACGCACACACACACACACACACCAATGTTTCAACCCTGGTATGTAAAAGATCATTTGGAATGTGTATTAATGGGTTCTGTCTACATGTATATATTTCAATTTTGCTACACAATTTTTTTCTTCTTCATATTTGTAGGAGTAAAGGGAATGCTAACATTTTTGCCTTCACAATCTTAAAAAAACAAAAACAAAACAAAGCGACACCCCCCCCCCCTCACAAAAAAATGTATATCATTGAACACCACAAGCATAATTGCAGATACTGTTTCCACTTTCACATTCCACCATCTACCACACTCCACAACATAAAAGCTAAAATAAATACTCCACAGACAGAGGAGATTCTATTGGTCATTCTATTATATTCTTTATTATAATTTCTACTCTTTCTCATAAAATAAATCTTTGATATACTGTCATACCTTTGGCCATTGTTCTCTATTTTTTGTAATATCAAGAACCCCTCACCCGACACAGAGGATATGACATTCATTAGGCACAGCTAATATACATTCACTTCAATCGATACTGAATATCACACAATTGATTGTCGGTGAAATGCTTTACCAAATATTGAAGTTACGAATATCTATTATGGGTACATACTTGTATTACCTGTTCATTCATACATTCCATGACAAACTTTCTCCTTTAATTCTTCTGGTCATCAGAAGAAAAACAATAACTGTGGAATGACAACATCAGCACAAATTGAAGCGATGGAGTCATGAGGTACACCATTTTCATGGTTAAGTGTGAATGCTTTCCCTCTTTAAAATCTCAAAAGCTTGCTGGAGGTTTATAAGACCTAGCAACAAATAGTGAGTGCAACCTGTATTTTTAGTATTGAATAAAGTAACTCCTTTATACAGGGGCAAGAATGTATATTGGTTTGTTGCTAGGCACCTGGGGAAGAAGCATTCATTCATTTATATTGTATTACAAAAGTGTTACATTTTCCCCAATCATCCGAGCATTTCTGCAATTCGCTTTTTCCATTTGTGGTCTCATTTTAAAATTCTTAAAATCATGGATCTAGTATATCTTTGATTACAATTAATGCTTCTCACTAAAAGCTGACAGAAAGTATATGTGTTTCCAAGTACAGGCAAAATAAATTTGTTGAAATCAATGCAAAATCATGGACAATGAGGAAATAAATTATGAGGTACATTCAATAAACAATTACCGGTATACTACTAAAACATAACCCACAGAAGAAAACTGAAATCTTGCCACTCATCAAGCATGTTTTAAGAACAATATGAATCAATGATGTCAAAGAATTGATATTTAACACCTTTTGTCTCATCAACTCATAAACTGTAGCAACAAAAATATTGATATGATTAATAAGACTGCTGTTTGTAAAATACTACATGAAAACTACATTTCACACATTCGATCATTTCTAAATTCCCATCACTTTTTGTAAATTATGAATAACATTTAACTTATTATGACAAAGAATATATCATGTCCTAACACTAACTCCCGTGCAATGCTTGAAAGCCCTAAACAAATCTAAATTTATCATTTAAAAACTATTGATAAAAATTGAAATATTTATATAATTTGCCAGATCTGTCTAGTTTACACATCATGTGTTCATCTAAAATATCCTTGCCGTCCTCTCTCAATAGAAAAATTAAAATCTACCACAACAATATAACAAAATAAAGAATATATCCAAATAATTTAAGGGCAGAGAAAATGCACTAAGTGCTATAACAATTAAAAAAAAGAGAAAGAAAATGGGACAGAGAGAAATGTGATGTAGAGAAAGTGAGAGAGAGAGAGATATATAAAGATAAATGGAGAACACAAGAGACAGTAGTACTGCATGCCAATGCAAAAGTAACTGTTAATATAACTAATACATCAAATATATATATATTTTGCTCAATTGATTCAAGCTTTAAAATGCATCTTACTCTTATAACATTACTACTGTGAACTTAAACATTTAAGAAAAATAGTTCCTCACATTCACATAGATATATGTTTATCATTTTTTTCAGGCTACAAAATGATAACGAAAATGAAAATGTTAATTGTTTGAGCAGTCTAATCTTATATCTCATATCTTAATATTATATCTATTCTTACCAAAATAAAATGTCGCCCTTTACTGTCTAACATCGTTTTGGCGGTAGGGTAAATTGTTTCTAGATCATAATGGCCCAACTTAAACTAATAATAAACATAATGATAAAGTTCACTTATAAAACACAAAATGAATACCTGTAGTACAACACTCAACATGAAGTATGCAGTACTAAAATAAAAGATGCTTGATGATACACTCAGAGCTGCCAACCTCCAGAACAGAAAATCAGTAATCACAAGGCTCAAAATCAGTAATTTGGGGTATAAATCAGTAATTTCTTATGCGGCGCTATGAATCTAAAAAAACGACACGCCAACACTGCGCGGACGCATGATTATCTGAAATTTTTGGTGATTTTACTCACACAAAGATGTTAAGTATTGAATTTCAGGTCATCACAACACAGTTTATCATGAAAAATGGCTCCTATTCACAGCACTCGCTACGATAAATCATATTTAATTCATTAAAAAAAAAAAAAAAAAAAAAAAAAAAAAAAAAAAAAAAAAAATCTTTTTTTTTTTAATCCGTAATTTGAGACAACATTCCGTAATGGTCGTTAATTTCCGTACCAATTACGGAAAATCCGTACTAGTTGGCAGCTCTGTACACTTGGTATGAATACATTACATAAGATGTAAAGAAAATAGTTTTACCAAAGAAAAGTCCATGCGTATATGTAGCTGAGACAAATTTGCATATGCCTGTCTAAAACCTCTTGCAAATGCTAGTGCATTCTGAAGTGATCATGCAGCAAAATAAGTTGTTTACAAAGAAAAAATCAAATCATTAACAAATTTTAACCTGATACACATGCATTTCAAATATATGAGTAAACAATACTGTAATATACACAAAAGTAAAACAATGCATAATTAATGTCCTTGGAAAAGAGAAGAGAAACATAACCAAAGTATGTGAATTGAGATAAGGGTATGTGAGATAAGTATGATTAAATTCTTATTGAAGATTAATGCCCACGATAAACAGAATCAGTCACTAAAGAGGAGCATCATGGATAAGTTGAACCGATTTTCTCAAGTCCAACAAGTTTGCTTGTAAGAACCTTATGAAAAGTGAAAAACTGAAAATAAAACCTTAGAAATATCATGTCTGTAAAACAGCTTTTTACTTCAGCCATCATAATCAATTTTACTACAAAGGCAACTAAATTCATGAACAACAAAATCTTACATAACTCAATATTACCATACCGGTACAAAAGAAATTGCAAACAAAAGTTACCAAAAAGTCATCTTTAAATTGCATACCAGTAATCAACATACATGGCAAGTTTTTGTTTACTATTCCCTAATTTTGAATCATCTATGCACAGTACCATCTTCCTAAACAATTAGAGAACTTACACTGCAAACCAAATACCATACACTGATCCTACTTATACAAACCTTGACCTACTTCAAAATTGATCCCTTTATCGAATGCCTTATCATACATTGATGAGCAATTTAGTCTAGTACATGTAGTACGACATAATACACATCTGCTACAGCAATAGTCTTACATATTTAGTACCAAATTAAAGAACATCTTTTTTTTCATTGTAGTGCAATATGAAATTCAATTCTATTACTTTAAGTACACATAAAATCCATCTTTAACTACATCATAAATCTACGCCTTCAGCAATATAACTCTTTAGACAAAATATATAAATTTTAGATAAACTTTTAGACTATTCTTGTTATTATCAATTCACTAATACTGAAAATCCTTATAGCTTGGTGACATGTACACCATTAGGCTTCATGATAAAGATAAGCAACTGAATGAAGACTATTATCACTTTTTTTACAAACAAATGTAAGAGCATTCCTGAAAAAAAAGTTCAAATAAACCTTTCTCTCTGAGATGTAGGGTAAAATACAAATGAAGTTTTGTCAGTCTTATCTTTACCAATTACAATAGACCTAAATCTAAGGCTAGTAGGTTTAAATCTCCATTACCCATCTTTTGTATCAGAAGCTGAGGCCAATGGCAAGTGCGTGAAGATAATCGACTATGCAGCATTCATTCAAGCCTTGATACAGGACATGCCCTGACTCACACGTAAACCACAGCTCTCCTCGGCAAAGCTTCTCTCGCGAGACGACAGCTCCTCGAACTTCTCCGGGTTTTTGCAGAACTCGCACTCCCTCGGGCAGACGGGAGTGTTGAAGCGTAGACCGCTCTTGGCCCACGCCTCCGAAAGGGAGGCGACGAACTGGTCCATCATGTCGGGGGTGTGGAACGGGGACGGGGCTATACGTAGCTTCTCCTCGCCCGAGGGGACCGTTGGTGAGTTGATGGCCTGAACGTAGATGTTGTGCTCTTCCAGGAGCGAGTTGGCGACATTGGTGTTTGCTCGAGGATTACCAACCTAGAAAGTAGAGGTATAAGGGTTGAATCAACCACATGGCAGATATCCAAATGTTTACAAAATTGAACCTTAAACCAAGTGATTGATCTTTATGAATAGACGATTGTTTTTCCATTATGTGAAAATGAAGTTTCCATACTCCACCAAATGAAAAAGAGAAGTGTGATCACGATATATCATGAAATTTGAAATACTTCATTTTTCTTATTAGAAAAAGACATTCTTCGACATATATAATAATATGGGGAAATTTTGTGCAGCTTGGTCTATCATACTTGAATATATCTTGCACTACCAAAGTCACATGATAATGAGTATCAAAAGCGAGCAAACTAGATAACTCAAGGTCGACTTCAAAAACAAGACCACGAATGATATGACCTCGGCAGCAGAGCATACTTTGTGTATATTGCTGGTATGGATTTCCATGAATCATGAATTTCTATGGTGACTTACATGTATAGGAATGATATGACTTGGGCAATGCACCACGGGTAAACCAGCAGCGATCAGTTTGCCTCTCATCATGGACACGGTATCCTGATGTTTGGTTCGGAGTGCAACACCTTCTTCACCAGACAACACCTATATACAACACAAATTAAAAAAAACATGATAAGGTCTAGCTTTGGATGATTTTAACCCATTAGCAACTAGAATTTTTTTTTGAATGGTCTATTGCTCGCTGGAAGAAGTTGCAATATTGCTCTTATTATGACATTGTTCTGAACAATATGAAACATGCCCTATTTTTCTTTGCAGAATCCTACTGTAGACATCGTACGGATTACGCATGTATAACGTTATCACGGTAGACCCTAGAACGGATACTATAGCACGTTGAAAACGGACAAAAACTGACAGGCAGTTTTGGGCGGTTCAGTGAGTAAAAGGAGGGGCAGTTTCGGGCGGTTTAATTGCTAATGGATTAATGGGACTGTTGGTAAGTTTGCCTCTCATCATAGACACTATATCCTACTGGTTGGCTCGGAGAGCAATACCTGTATACAACACAAAGTTAGAAAAAACATCATAAGGTCTAGCTTTGGATGCTTTTAATTGACCTAAAATGCACTTGACACCTTCCACATACAGATGTCAAAATATAATTAGGATTCAATCATGATTTTTCTATTCCCAAAGAAAGAAGTCACCATTTCTAAACTTATACACAACTGATTGTTGGGTGTCAAATAATTAGAAATAGCATTTTCCAGTGCATGCCTTACCTCTGACACCAATTCTGCTGAAATTACAGGAAGGTCTTCAATGCTTCAATTTATACTTTTTCTCAATCATAAAAATACAATGGCAATGACATATACAATGTCTGCACACATGTGTGATAAAAAAGAAAAATGGAAGCTACTAAAATATTAGCTAAAAAAATTGTTAGGTGTATTCTGAAACAATTGGGACTCTAATGAAATTTGCAGAGGCCTTTCTGTATATGTTTGTTTTGATTGAAAATTGCCACCATCCTTTTTTCATTCCCTTGACATCTCCACTCACTACCTTAGAGATTGACTTCTAAAAGGAAATGTGGGACTGCTTCTCAGAGACCCCTTCAAAAGGAATCAGATGTTCTATAGCTTCCAAAGTTAAATGCTGTCATATTAGACCCCACTGCAACATTTATTGAAGAGTAATTTACCCCTTCTTTAATTTGATCAACGCTTAAATACAAATGGTAATTCTACAAAGTACTTACATCTATAGAAGCCATAGCTCCAGCTAATACCATAGGAGGCAGAGATGTAGTGAAGATGAAACCAGCAGCATAGCTACGTACCATATCCACGAGAGCATTATCGCCCACTATGTACCCTCCTATCATACCAAACGCCTTGCCTGTAATTCAGATTTAATGGAGATAGAAAACATGTTTAAAATTCACACACACTTTAATACAGAAAAATGGTGCACCTTGAAATACATTTTACTAAATTAAACATCCAAAGATCAACAATGTTTTGTACATGAGCTCATTAATGTCTGAATACTGAAATACGAGAAGTATCCGGTAACATGCAGGATATATATATGAAACCACACCTCATCCACCCAGACAGGAAAACATGCTATATATAAAGCCTATCACACAAGAGTTGATCAAAATGTGACTATTAAAGCCCCACTATACTACTTGTAGCTACTTGCTCCCTCTATATACGAAACAATGCCTAAGCGGTGCCCGTTGGTCCCAATGATCCCCTTTTTCTTATGTTAATTGAGAGCCAAGTTGATGAGATGGCCACCTGTCAGTGACCACGCTGGGTGGTCTAATCCCTCCTGGCCAAACTAGTACAGACGGGCTTTAAAGGAAATATACATCATGCTTTGTTACACAAGTTTTGACTTTCCAAAGTTCAAGGATACAAACCAAAAGCATTTATGGTGCAAACTTTCACATTGGCACCATGCTGAAATCTTACCCAAGGTTCCAGATACAATGTCCATGTCCGCCATACAGCCATCACGTTCACCCACGCCAGCTCCATGACGACCATACAATCCAACGGCATGGACTTCATCCACAAAGGTGATGGCTCCGTACTTGTGAGCCACATCGCACATTTCCTTCAACGGACATATAGCGCCTGCAATGAATGACGTAGAGACAGATGTATTACAACAATCTAAAGAGCTATCCACAACAGGGTTAGGAAAGGGTCAGCCATGACTCATACAACCATGAGGCTATAAAAGATACATCATTTACATGAACACTTTACTTTCATAAAATCATACAATGCTTTTCTCAGACCATTTTCATGAATCCTTTTTCATATTTGTCAATTTCAACAAAATACAATAATAATAATAATAATAATAATAATAATAATAGTGGGTTCTTGTATAGCGCTCATGTCTGTCAGACTTGACACTCCTACTGGCCCGAATTCACAAAGCAAGGTTTGAGCTCAGACCAAGGTTTGAGCTCAAACCTCCTTTTGTTTCGCCAAACCTCCTTTTGTTCTTTACAAACCAGGTTTGTAAAAAATGCGTAAAACGCGTCATATGACGTACGAAAACCTTGGTCTGAGCTCAAACCTCCTTTGTGAATTCGGGCCATTATGTCTGATATATTCATATTTCATGGAGGTGTAATATCCTGAAGAAATAAGGTGATGACAATTTTAAAATGCCTATAGACAAAATCCTAAATAAAAGGGCAATTGTTTTGTCAAGGGATGAATTGAAGACATGATGATTCAAACTAATAACTAAAAATACTAAGAATCATTTACCTGTCATTGAATGAACAGTCTCAAATGCAACGATCTTAGGAGTAAGCGGGTCTGCTTTCCGGAGCATTTCTTCAAGATGAGTTGGGTCGTTGTGCCGAAATATAAACTTGGGGGCTTGGCTGTTGCGTATACCTTGTATCATAGAGGCATGGTTTCCTTCATCAGAATAGATCTCACATCCTGTACAAGAAGATATCATATGAGAGGGGATTAATTTAACACAATATTAGATTACAAACCTTAAAGCCTCTCTGCACTAGTTTGGCATGGAGGGATTAGACCTCCCTGCAAGGTCACTGGTAGGTGATTATCTCATCAAATCAGCTCTCACACATAAGAAAAAGGGGACCATGGGGGATCAACGGTTCCGCTTAGGCATTGTTGGCTGTATAGAGGGCGCAAGTAGCTATAAGTAGTGCAGTGGGGCTCTATTATCAGTTTATGTCAATAACATACCATTGTGCCACCAACTTTATCATCAATTTTTGCTGGGATGAGGCAGTGATCACAAAACAAAACATTAACAAAATATTGACCAACATACAGTGCATGTGAGAAACTGAACAATGGGTATCACAGATTGCTGGTTCATGTATGGACTTAGAAAGAAAAGAGAGAGAGAGAAAAAAAAACCAGAGGGACAGACCAACTACGACATGGACTGATAACATCAAGCAGTGGACAGGAAAGTCATTTTAGCAGCTAAGTAGAACAGAACTGAAGACAGAAAGTTATGGAGAACCTGCGTCTTAAGGTTCATTTCATTGTTGCCCCAGCAGCCTCCAAGCTATGGGACATAGATAGGTAGATAGATAGATAAAGTGGACTCTGTAGGCGCGTCTTCATCATCTCAAGATTGCCAAATAGCCCGTATTTCTGATTTGGGAAATAATCCCAAAGTTACAAATCGCGTCTTCATCAGCTCGAGATTCGACCTTAGCTCGAGATATTTTGCTCAGCATTCACGCATAGTGTGAGTCTTCGGTCTGGTGAAGACTCACCGGACAAATAGCTGGATATTTTGCCGAATAGTGGGATATTTATCTATATTTATTTATATAACTATCCCAAGATATCTTGGGATGACAATCCCGACCAAATATCCTGCTAATTGCAACTTCGGGCTGATGAAGACACAAATTAGCTGGATAGTTTACGATCATGATAGTTATAATAGCGGGACATTTGGCAATCTCGAGCTAGTGAAGACAGGCCAAATGCTGTTGGAGAAAGCTACTTACCTGGAAGTAATTTGGCCAAGGTATACAGGGTTGAATCGTTTGCCACATAGCATGACGTAAAGACGAGACCAGCATCCTTCTGATGTAGCTTGGCTACCTTCGCTTCAAGGGCTTCATGGAATGTGGTGTTACCGCTTATATTCCTTGTTCCTCCAGCGCCTGTTCCATGTTTAGCCATCGTATCACTGTAGTCAAAGACACCCATCAGGATATACAATAAATTATTCAATTCCAGGATACATGTTTAGTCATGACAAATAGTATGAATATTGAGTGACTGTTTTGACCTACCATTCATTTTTAATCTATTTACAAGATTAGGGGGGGTGTTTCACAAAGATCCTTAGTCGACCTTAAAGATAAACTCCAGTACTGGTAAAAAAAAAAAATAATTCTCACAGAATCAAACGAAACTTACACTGAATGTTCAAGATTACAAATAAATGACATGCGCCAAACAATTTTGGAAGAAAATGTATACTGGCTGAGTAATGAGCATAGAAAGACAAGGAAATCAAGGTAGTACTAGCCCCGACACCATGTGTGTTGTCCCATATATAGCTGTCTATGTGAGTGCTTGTTACTTTACCAAGACTCGGTCAAATTTATTATGATTTTGATGACTCCAGAACCTTGCAGTGCACACCAATACTTACATGCTACATGATCAACTGTTTCTGATCCTTTCCACACCTTTTCTTTCACAATGCAATCGCATTACCAGTACTTAAGTTTATCTTTAACTCTAAGTTGGACTTAACAAATATGGAGAGCCATTTGTAGCCTTAACATATATTCAAAAACAAAAAATCAAGTATTTTAGACTTTTTATAAATTCCACATCAAGAACATGAATCTCCTTGATAATAGAAAATTTGAATGATTTGAATCATCATTTTATGCCTTTTGAAATAAATTTTGCAAAATATTTTCATAGATGCTAACTGCTTTCCATAATTTTTAAGTCCAACGTAGAGATAAGTTCAACCTACGATCTTTGTGAAACATTCCCCTGGTCTGAATATTGAGTGACTGTTTTGACCTACCAAACATTTTTAATCTATTTACAAGATTAGGTCTCATTAATCTATCATCACCATATCTTAAACTCATCACAGATTATTGCTATTTATCTTTATCAAGCATGCCAAAATAAAATCAGATTTTATAATTCCTTGCATTTCCTTTTCTATACAAAGCTACAAAAGAACAGGAATTAGGAAAGGTAGAATTTCAATCTCCATGTAGATGTACATGTATAAACTATGTATTTGTGTTTTTGCTTGTCAGCCTCTGACAAACACCCAATGTCTCTCTTTAATTCTACATGTATGTGCTTTGCATATATGTATTTCCAAGTAACAGATTATTGCTATTTAGCTTTATCCTTTCATTTCCTTTTTTGACACAGAGCTACAAAAGAACAGGAATAAGGAAAGGTAGAATTTCCATCTCCATGTACATATGTACACTTTGTATATGTGTTATTGCATGTCAGCCTCCGACAAACCCCCAATATATCAATACTACATGCTTTGCATGTAAATATCGTCAAGTAGGAGGATACTTACACGACGGCCTGCTTGACCTTTGGATGTCGACTCATCCCGAGGTAGTCGTTACTGCACCAGACTGTGACTGAAAGCCCTTCAGCATTGACATGGCGATCTCCAGAGAAGTCGTAGGCATAGGGGAAGCTTTCCGCTTCACGATTAACTCTCTTGAACACACGGTAGGTATGGTCGGCTTTCTTGCTGTCCACCAGGTTCTTGAAGTATTTGTTGTAACTGAAGTGACCGTCGTCTGTCAAAAAATAAGACAATTATGTTGGTTTGGTATTGATGATTGCCTTGATAAAACATAGACATTGCATGTCCTGACTATGTTTCTTAGAATGGTATCTAAAAGAAAAATGTGAAGAATTCTAAAACATGAAGAATTGCAGTAAACATAATAATATAATTTTTTTTTTTTTTTTTTAATCTAAGATGTGATGAAAACTGTTTAAATTAGAAGAGGTGCCATATATTATATGAGGCATAAAAAGCAGAAGGTTTATATTGTATTTACCGTTACATGTACAGGATACATACTTTTACATGTATGTACAAAATCAAATGTAAATGAATATTAATACAAGTCATACAGAGAAAAAGGCTCTAACAAAATCTATTCAAAAACGAATATTTCTATGAAAAAGTAAGATGTCAGCAGCAAAAAAGGGGAAAAAACAACAAAACACAATACTGATGGTCTTAGGTTTAAAAGGTTCAATAGGACTTTCATAAAATCAAAATTGAAAAGAAAAAGGAAGAAGAAATTGTAAGAATTACCTGCAGTAAAGTCTTCCTTCTTGAGATGTTTCTTCCTTGCATCATGTTTTGGTGAAACAAATATAGAATCACTCATACAGGCAGTCTTTCCTTCAACACCTGTATGAAGAGGAGAAAAGCAAACTTCAATCAGCTGAGAACACACTAAACCATTCTATTTGTTTTATTAGGTATATTATATTGACTATGACATGAAAAGTGAGATTTGTATTTTAATGTAATGTACACAGTACAAAGTATCAAATCAAACAGCATTCCTGAATGACAAATGGTGATGCAATCATGTTAATGCGAAGGTAAAAAAAGGGGAATGTCAGATAACAACTCACCATACATATAAACGGTTTCAATATTCTAGAGACTTCAGTTACAAAGGTCAGATAATTAACATGTACCAACACTGATATCCTAATATAGCTGCTTAGAGCCTTGAACAAATACAGTTAGTTTGATTCGGTAGTTTGATACAGTTCTATTATTCATCAGCATCTGAATCACATACTTAGCCTACACATCTATGCAGAATTACAGATTCATAGACAAAAAGAAAAAACATATGTTATTCATAAAGAGCAGGTTTCTAGTGAATAGGCCAGTTTCGTAATGTAACCAAATTTAATGCATAAGTCTTTGTGAAGTGCCTCAATACAAATTATTTCATTCACCTGATAAGAATAATAGTATTTCAATAGTTAGAATGCAGCTAAATATATTAAGTGTTGCTAGGTAGGTCAAGCCATAATGTTTGTCCAACCTGGCAACAACTAATGTATGCAGTTCAGATTCTGTCTATTGAAATACTATTATTCTTATCAGGTGAATGAAATAATTTGTATTGAGGCACTTCACAAAGACTTATGCATTAAATTTGGTTACATTACGAAAATGGCCTATTGGTTTAAATGATACAGTTGACTTCTTACAGCATGCATGCACATGTACATGGCATGGCATGCACTTAAGGGGAGTTGTTGATTTACACTACATGTACAGTATGTATCCAGACATCTACATTATGCATACAGTCAGTTAGAAAGTAGCAATCCTTTGTCTTTTTCACTATTGATATAATCAGTTGAAGGTGGCTTCAAATTCATTTCACATGTCTATCTTCTCCTACCATCTGCTATATCTGTAGGAGCAGTCTCGGAGCGTTCTGAGATGATGTCTGTGTCCACAACAGGAGCAAACTTCTTCATGGTTTCCATCTGAGCTAAGAAGGGACACTTCCTGGCAGTCTTCTCATTCTCATCCACTACATAGATCGAAGAGAGAATGGGAGAGAGAGAGGGGGGGGGGGGAAGGAGATTTATAAATGAATGTTCACTAATATGATTAAGCAGTGCCAGTCATTGAAATGAAAAAAGAAAAACATTTTTTCCTCTTTTTTAATGATTGAAATTTTTTTCTTCAAACATGAGAGTATTTTGCAATGTACATGTACGGTAGTTATCTAATGATAAAGCTGAGAAAGAAAGAAAGGAAAAAGCAAATATGAAACCAAAAAACAGGTTTCTCAAAACATCAGTATGTACTTGGAACTACAAATTCCCAACCTCACTTCCTCTAGATTTAAGCCTTTTAACATTCACAATAACAAAATTATAATCATTGTGAGCATAAGACATGCAAAGTTTATTAGGACATTACTGAATGAAAAGAAATTGGGCATGTTCTATGTACATGCACATCATAACTTGTTAAGTTTAACTACAAATATGTGGCAGCATCAGAATAATAAGTGTAGTTTCTTATTTTTACCCAATTTGTTTTCTGAATCCTGCTGATTGGTGGAAGCATGACGAGAGAGCAACTGGTTCATCACGGGGCATTTCTCAGCGTAGGAAAAGAGGGCATTGCCTGCTCGCTTGGCAAACCCAGTCGGTAGGCGGTTCAGGAACGGACATTTCATGCGGGCGATGTGGGCCATGGCTCTTTCTTCAGGTTTATTTAATGGTGTGAGTTATTCATACAGTTTGACATTAACTACATGTACATGTATGCTGAATATGGCAGTGATAAGAATCTGTATGCATGGAAACAAGAAAATGAATAAAACATGAATACTCAGATCTCAATCGGAAGATGGTACATTGTCTGCAAAACAATTGTACGGAGTGTGAAGAGCAAATTTGAATTTCTATGCACATGTATTATAATAGTATTTTTGGTTTTCTTTTTTAGTGGTGGTTATTTTACCTGACTGCTAAGAAAGCATAAATGCTCGTTAGTAAGCAACCAGAGGACCGACAGCTTTAGGTCCTCTCCAGGGGACTAGAAGTAAAATGTATTGTACTTGCAAATGTTGTCTGTAAAAATTTCATAAATCACAGTACTACTTCTACATTAAGCTTGCGGATTTATGCTAAATGTACATGTAAATGAAAATCAAAGACATCCGTTAGAAAAAGAAGAACAAAATGTATGTATATAATATAAAATACCGTTACATAGAAATGTAAGAGAGGAAGTGCAAAATTCCTACAAATGATTTTTCGAAATAACAAATACTGAAGTAGCATAAACAAAGTCATCAAAATCAATATCAACATGTTTATAAACATTTATTACATGTACATATAATTCACTGTCAAAGTTAGTTGTAAATTTGTACTTGAAATGACACCAATAAGGTACACTCAAAAAGGAAAATATGTTACGAGTCAATGACGATGCTAAATATTGCTGTGATGTATTTTGGGTATACCACAAGGAAGTAACCTTCTAAATAAAACCAGGTCATTTGTTGTTAGGCAAAGTTAGTCTTATCAGTCATTAGGATGTAAAAGACCATTCCTGCTCCATTGTTGACAGGATGTTGGTTTCAAAACTATCCAGCCTACCAATGACTAAGCACTAGTGATGATAACTTCGGGGTAACAGGAACTTTTTTTTGCGGTCTGTTTTGTCATGTTTCAATGCACACTGGTACATGTTGGTTCAGCAATTGAAACCAGGAAATAAAGACTTTACAAGTACATGCACAGTGTACATGATTATTCCAGAAGTAGGAGAAACTAGATGGAATTCGACTGCGCGCAGTCGAAAATGATGCCTCCGTCATAGAGCAATTTTACAAACCAAAACAGAAGACATTTTTCGAATTCAAGTTCAATTGTAATCCATTAACAGGTTCTCAGAATATCGTGATTACAAGCAATTTCTCATATACATATATGACCCTTTGATCTTTGACCTCATGACCCTAAAATCTACTCAGTTCATTGGCTCTGCAAGATGTCCTGAGTTAAATAGTAATCCATCTGTCAGTTCTAATGAGAATGTGTTCACAAGCTATTTTTGCATACATAATGAGCCCATGACCTTTGACCTTTGATCTTATGAACCAAAAATCTACTCAGTTCATTGGCTCTGCAAGTAACATACATGACCTAATTTTGGCAGGAATCCATCAATCGGTTCTTGAGAACGCGATCACGAGCTGTTTTTGCATACATAATGTGCGTTGTGGCCTTTGACCTTTGACCTCATGACCCCAAAATCTAATCAGTTCATCTGCTCTGCAAGTAACATACATGACCTAAGTTTAGCAGCAATCCATCAATCGGTTCTTGAGATAACGCAATCACGAGCTGTTTTTGCATACATAATGTGCGCTGTAGCCTTTGACCTTTGACCTCGTGACCCCAAAATCTAATCACTTCATCGGTTCTGCAAGTAACATACATGACCTAAGTTTGGCAGCAATCCATTACTCGGTTCTTGAGATAACGCGATCACAAGCTGTTTTTGCATACATAATGAGCCCTGTGACCTTTGACCTTTAACCTCATGACCCCAAAATCTAATCAGTTCTTTGACTCTGCAAGATACATACATGACCAAAGTTTGGCAGGAATCCATCAATCGGTTCTTCAGATAACGCGATCACGAGCTGTTTTTGCATACATAATGAGCCCTGTGACCTTTGACCTTTGACATCGTAACCCCAAAATCTAATCAGTTCATCGGCTCTGCAAGATACGTACATGACCAAAGTTTGGCAGGAATCCATCAATCGGTTCTTCAGATAACGCGATCACGAGAACGGGACGTACGTACGTACGTACAGACGTACGTACGTACAGACGTACGTACAGACGTACGTACAGACGGACGGACGGACAACCCGAAAACATAATGCCTCCGGCTACTTCGTAACGGAGGCATAAAAATTTAAAAGGAAACCTATAACTATGGGGCATTGTCAATATTAGGCAAATCATTAAGTACATAATAGCTCAACGAATTTACTTTAAAAACATTTTTGAGTGACTAACAAGTACATTGAACATACGGTACATTCAAAATTGCAAATACCATTATCAAAAATATTTTTAGTTGCATTAGTGTGAGTAAAGCAACTAAATAATAGTTGAACCCATTTGGTTGTGTACAATGAACATGAAGGCTTATTTTGCTATCAAACATTGAATTCTTGCACTTCTTGCAATGTCATCTCCAGTCCACTGTAAAGGAATTGTCAGTGAGTGACGTGTGAAAACACTCCCAAAGGCATAACAAAAGAAATAACCTTCTAAGGTGTTCACAATATAAACTTATTTCTCACGCTCCAAGCGTTAAAGTACATGTACATCACCATCCATACCAAGGAATAGGAAGGGCAACAGCTGCATTCTAATCATTTTTCTAACACTTTCCAGGAGCCATAATAATTGATTTCAAATTAAAAAAGACACACGTCATACAATGTACCATGTAGTACCTTGCAGTACCTTGGACGAAATGGTATTTGCATGGACGGCTTCATCAAACTTAGCCTCACTCACTTCTGAAAAGAAATTGACTGAGCCTGATCCAGCACAAAAGAATAATAAAAGCTCTCTTTTCACACAAAAGAAAGAGAGAGAGATTTAAATGCAGGCACAAGCATACACCAATTTGACCGAAACGCAACCCGCATATTATGAAGGAAAAAAATGAAAAGAGAGAGAAAGAGAGAAAAAGAGAGAGAGAGAGTTAGAGAGCGAGAGAGATATAGAGGTAAATATGTGTGTGTAGTAGGTCCATGGTGTAAGTATATATTAAACAACTGTGTGCAAGTGTAACTGACCTATTTATGATCTTGCTGGATTGCTAGATAATTCAGGCTGAACTACATGTACATGTACAATGTATGCACTACACATGTACATGTACAGTACATGTAATAGACATGTTTGACTGAAATCAAGAAGTTAAGGGGACCAAACACCAAAATCTTTTGGCTAGATGCAAGTTTGGGGTTCCATTAGGATACCTACAGTGTATACATAATGATCTAATCAAACATTTGCTACAAATATTCACTTCTGTAATAAGTTCAAATACGTTCTCAATAAAAAGTTTCCAACATTTGCGAGTGTACCGACTGACACACCCTTTTGCTCATGAAACACCAAGAAACTTGGGACTTCCTTGTTGAATTTTACATCAAACCACAAATATTTTCCTTATTACTCTTTAATCTTTAAAATATCAATGCCTCAATGGTAACCTGTATCCAGTAATTCTATATATACAAGTTATTATTATCTCCTTCTGTGACTGATACCATCTGATTCTGAAACTTTACATACATGTAGCTGAAGGAAGTTCATACTAAAATAAAATGCACAATCATTTTGGAATGTATTTTACAGCTTATCTACAAATAATAAATAATTATTATCACAAACTTTTTAACAAGGTTTTAAAATTTGAAATACTTTAGTGCTAGTGGTGGATCACAGATTATCTAGTGGTGGAGAGCTCAAGCCTAAAAATAAGTGCCAAGAAAGAAAGAGAGAAAACCGAACCAATCAACCAACCTACAAAACAAAATAAAAGAAGAAAAGAGGGAAATCCCCCCCCCCCCTCCCCCTGAAAAGAAAGGGAGAAGAAGAATAACAAATTAGGACATCACATTATCTGTGCTTTTTTGTCTTCCAAAATCCTTTGCCTGGGGAAAGAATCCCTAATTGGTATAGGTAAAGTTTTTCTCCAATATTTTATTCAATTATTTAAATGAAATACACATAAACTTCTCTTTTCCAGGAAAAATACCCTGCTTTCAGCACTGATCTCTCTGATTCATGCTGGGGTCACCAATTTGCTTAGGAAAAGTCCAAAGGCCTTACAGTATATATGTACAGGTATGTTACTAGATTGACATCATTCATTGACTACATGTACTCTACTGTACTTCCAAAATTCGCTTAGCATTCACAAATTATTGTACAAAGATAATACATGTTTCTCAAAAGATACGGGCCCATAATTTTAACATGATAGACCAAAGACTGGAAAGTTTTTACACTACAAAAGTATTGTGGGGTGATGTTTCATTGAATAGTCTTTTAGGTGCTCTTGCTACTAAAATATGGTGCTTGCTTAGATATGCTGACTAAATGAAATTAAAAAAAGTACCGGGTACTCAGAAAAGACCTGATTAAGTATACTAGGGGGTGTTTCACATAGATCCTAAGTCAAACTCAACTCTAAGATGGACTTGGACATTATTGAGTGCCATTTTTTGCCTTAAAATATATATTTAAAAGCAAAATTACAAGTATTTTAAACTTCTCATAAATTGAACATCAAGAACATGAAATCTCATTCATAATAGAAAATATGAATGATTTGATTCAACATTTTATGCCTTTTAAAAAAACCTTTTACAAAATACTTTCAAAGATGCTATTGTACTAACTTAGGATCTAAAACACACCTCCTTGGTATCATTACGCCCTAATATAATGTCTTCTTTCAAAATCCAAGCCTGACATGCATGAAATTTGTTGACGTGCTTACTGACTCTGTAGAATGCTTGTTCGATGCCGAGAATGATACAACTTTACAAGGGTAATCATTGTAGGAATACAATCATAGTTCATACACATGTACATCATACTTTATAGGTTCTCTGTTGTTGTTGTTTTTTTTTTTTTACTTGTTGCTTCATAATTAGTTTCTGGCGTGGTTGTATGTTGTATGTATATTCGGACAGGTTGTCTATCCGTACGGTTGACTTAATCCAGCAATATGACGAAAAAATATATGAAGAATTTAATATTTTTTGTATAGACTAGGTATACATGAAGATCTAGTATCTAGGGTCTAGATCTAGATTATTGTATTTGTAAAGGACAAATATTCATTTTTCTTCTTCTTCTTCTTTGGGTTAAGTCTACCTCCTTCACAGTTGAAGATTCTTGCAATACCCCACCACAAAAATTGACCAAACCTTCGCACTCATACTCATAGTAGATCTACATCATACTCGTATCAATGAACCTAAATCTCAACTCTCAAGAATTAAGTTTCTTAAGCAACACTAAACCTAATCCTAACCGTGACACTTACCCTAACCCTAGTTTTCGACACTTAGGTCTATGTACATAATTCATAAACCCTAATTTGTGTAGGCCTAGATCTAGTTTTACATGTAGATCTAGGCCCTAGATCTAATTTGTTTTTGCAATGTCAAAATGGCACTGCACTCTGCTCTGTAGACCGAAAGCTTCAGTCTCTATAATCGTCGGTTGTTCCACTGAGACTACGTCTGGCTCCACTAGACCTCCGGTTATAGAGACAGAACGACTGCCTATGCCAGCCTGTGTTGAACTTATTCCGCTAGATTTTAGCCGCTAGGCCCCTCCCACAAACTTGCCACGGCCGTATTGTTATGCCCCCAAAATCCCCCAAAATGTCATTTTACCTCGTTCATTTCCAATTTTAAATTAGGCCTAGGCTATAATACATCGGTTCCACTTACTAACTTGATTGATATAATCCGTTTAATGGTCCCTTTTAAGGAAATTATCGGTCAAAATCGACATCCATGTTGAAAATCTTGCAAGCCGTGTTAAACTCTCGCTGCCGTCAATCTCATCCCTTCTAGTCTACGCCGAAGGCAAAATGATTATGAAGGAAAAACTGTGCGCCATCTACACGTTCGTAATGGCGTTATCACAGTTTTTCCTTCATAATCATTTTGCCTTCGGCGTAGACTAGAAGGGATGAGATTGACGGCAGCGAGAGTTTAACACGGCTTGCAAGATTTTCAACATGGATGTCGATTTTGACCGATAATTTCCTTAAAAGGGACCATTAAACTGATTATATCAATCAAGTTAGTAAGTGGAACCGATGTATTATAGCCTAGACTCTAGGCCTAATTTAAAATTGGAAATGAACGAGGTAAAATGACATTTTGGGGGATTTTGGGGGCATAACAATACGGCCGTGGCAAGTTTGTGGGAGGGGCCTAGCGGCTAAAATCTAGCGGAATAAGTTCAACACAGGCTGGCATAGGCAGTCGTTCAGTCTCTATAACCGGAGGTCTAGTGGAGCCAGACGTAGTCTCAGTGGAACAACCGACGATTATAGAGACTGAAGCTTTCGGTCTAGTATCTGCTCTGCAGCATTTGCTCGTGTTTTCTTTTTTTTTGAAAGACTGAAAATGACACTGTTCTTGCGCGATTTGGATCAAAATTTTCAGCACACTTCTTTGCTAGAATAAGAAATAAAATGAGAATAAACATTAGAGGAATACGATAAAGAATTATTGCCAATATCAAGTGAAATGTTTGGTGCGCAGACAGAATTAGAAAGGGCTCCTTCACGCCCGGAAAAAATCATACCGGGTGCGGAGCAGTGTAGCCAAGGCCTAGATGACCTGCAGTTTCTAGATCTAGAGCACAAAATTTGCCGTCAGATTTGGAGAAGAACACAACACAGAATAACTTGCCACGATTAACTTATACAAAATAATTTCATGGCGCCGTACTTACCAATTTAATTCAAATTATGTAGATCATCCAAGCACTTCGTGTCCTTCCCTGAGAACGACGAATTTAAAGGGTCTTTTTGGGGGGTCTCTCCTGCGAATGCTGTTACCTGTCCATCTTTGAATTGAAGTGCACACAATCTAGATATTTTGCGTAAGAAGCCAATATAACCTCGACCTCGATCGCGCACGTACGTACGTACTCGTACTCGCGCATGTACTATGTGCGCGATCGACCCGGCGCCGCGGACGTTTTGTAATTTGACCTATGAATGACGTCATACCTACTTTACAGAGAACCTTCATAGTTCAATTCGAGTAGATTTATTTGGCATTGTAGTATGCGTTCAACTTGGACCAACCTGCATAGATCTACATTTGTTTTAAATTTCTCAATTGTTTTAATGGTACCGTATAAGAATGGTAATTTTGTAGGTACCGTATAGGACCAGCCGACCAAGTAAGTAATGAAAGACATTTGTGTAAGAGGCGGACAATGACAATGATTGACAACTAGCCTAGCAAAAAGAAAAAAAAAAAAATCAGTATTTTGGAGACTGATGAGAGGCATCAGGCATACATATTGAAATGACCACATGAATGGTCAGGAAAAAAGGTGTGGATTGGTGGCACTTGCATTTTTTGTTAACACAAGGAAAATCAAATGTTTGGCCCAAAATTTGAAAGAATGATAAAACCATGATTTTATTTCATTTTTTTCTTCTTCAAACCCAGGCGCGGATCCAGGATTTTCCAATAGGGGGGGGGGGGGGGGGGGGGGGGGGGGGGGGGGGGGGAAATTCGAAATTTGCGCAGACCATTATTTAAACTTACCAATACTGACAAGGTCATATTAGAAGCACTGGACTTTAATAGTGTACTGGTACCTACAAACGGGCACAATTATTTTGGAAAGGGGACATGCTCACGTCACATCTCTTGTCCGATATCAACATTCCCCGTTTTCAAGTTATGCTCGCGCGCAATTTTTTTGACATTTCCATCAGTGGGGGCTGAAGCCTCTTGCCCCAATATCTATTTCCTGGTTTAATAATTTGGCGAGTGAGCGGAAATTTGAGCTTATGTATGTTGTGAAAAGTGTTAATTGTCACCAAAATATACGAGATAAGATATAACAAATGCATATTGGTAATTTTTAAATTTTCGGGGAAAGAGAGGCTGCAACACCATCCCGCATTAACTGCAGGTGTTTTGAAATCAAATCAGACTCCCCAAAAAAGTATTAACCAAAACGCACGAATCCAGTTTCAAAAATCCAAAAAAATGTCAGCTTCAGAGGGGGGCACATCACCCCTCAGACTCCCTCTAAAAGTATTAACCGAATCGCACGAATCTAGGTAAAAAAAAAAATCAGCTTCAGAGCTAGAGAGGAACCCCCCCCCCCACACACACACACACACGCACACACACACACACACACCCCCTGTGCGTGCAAGCGTGAAATTAACGCTGGCGCTAATGCGTAAGCAGGGGCGGCGGAGCTATTTCCAAAGTGGAAAGCACCAACAAAAAAGGGCACCTACAAAGCGAAATCTCAAGGCGAAATTATACATTTTTTTAGACATTGGTATATACCCTTTCATTGTGATCCCATTATCAGGGACGATTTCAATATTTGTTTTTCTTTATATATCATACAAGTTATTGCTTAAGCATCACACTTTCGGCTGAGTGTGATTGTCTGAATATTCATTTGCGAGCGAGCAAAGCGAGCGAGAAAAAAATGTAAGATCTGTGAGGTCGCAGAGTGAAAAATTACATCTTAGAAAGAGGAAAAAACCAAATCATGATGGGGTTATAAGCATCACGGAAGACTGAAAAAACATTTGTTTTAAAGTGACATATATTATTGTATCATCTATAAATGCGAGCGAGCAAGCAAGCTTTAGGGGAAATTACTCTTAGTCGCTTTAAATTAGTGCAAGACTAATGATGAGCAGGTTAGGGGGCACGTGCCCCCCCCCCCGTGTGCCCCCCCCCCTGTGCCTACGTGCCTGATGATGAGAGGTTAAGGGGACACATATCGAAAGGAATAAAGACACTTATTAGAAAAGAAAAGGAGCATGTGTCAAGGTACAAAGAGTAATTATCAAGGTTTAAACTGGGCACTTCTTACACCTGAAAGGAGGCACTCACCAGAAATGAGATTGGGCACTTATGAGTATGGGAAATGGGCATTTGTCGACGGAAAAGGGGCATCCATCAGAAATTGATTTATCAGAGGTGAAAAGGGGCATTTATGAAAAGGGGATAGGTCCCTTAATAGAAAGGGAAAGGGGCACGATTCAAAATAAAAGGGCAGTTAGCAAAGGTGAAAATGGGCACCCATCATAGATGAAAAGAGTACCTATCAGGAGGGGAAGGGGTACTTTTCAAAGTAAAACGAGCATCTCTCAGATTTGAATAGGGGCAATTATCGGAGGTGAAGAGCGCACTGAAGTGAAAAGAATTAACTTCTCATATATGAAAATGGTCATTTACCAGAGATGAAAAGGGACACTTTTTATTTATGAAGGGCCTCATTTTTCTAAATAGCCCTTATCAGATAGGAAAGGGGGCACATGTGTTGATGAAATGTGCGCTTATCCGAGTTAAAAAGGGGAAGGGGCACTTCTTTACAAAGTAAAAGTGGCCCTTTGGGGAGGGGGGTACTTGAAGAGTGGGGCGAACTTTGCCCCCTACCCCTGCCACCCGCCCCATCATCATCGCTTGTAGTTCACGTATGCACCCCTTCCTCCTAATTCGTTGTTACCGTCACTGCCATTTACGTATGGCCGGCCGGCGTATTTTTATTTACACGCTAGCGAGGGGAATTTCTCGATTAATTCCAATGAAACCGCTTAAAATTCCAATTTACATCCAGGAGAAAGTTTTCTTAACTTTTTCTTGAAACACTTGAACGGTTATGGAAACTGTTTGTGTTTCTAATCTCCAAATATTAATATTATTCTGCATCAAATATAAAACATTGATTTCTACTGTGATATGTAAAGGCACGAACTTACGTTAATACATACACGTAATTTGTTTGTAACCAAGAAGGTGCACCATGGTAATACATTTTAACAAACACATCAACATGTTACCTAGACAACTCATCACCATAGCCATTGTAAAACCATATATTAATGATACATGTAAAATATAGATTGAAGCAATTCTCGTCGATTGGCTGTATCCTGAGTGTGATTTATATAATTGATTTTGAGTAACATTTGCATCTACCTGTAGTTGAAGAATAGATACAGTGTATAACATCAATTAAGTTGGAGTTCAATTGGAAGGAAGTAACGAGGAATATTAAAGCAAGGGAGACTGGGAGATGAGGAAAGCAGGAAGTTAGAAATTGAGAGATTACTCGCGTGATAGCCTTGCATTAATGAATTCTTTATATAATGTTGTCTTGAGAGAAAGTAGACGATTTTTTTTAATTGGAGATTAGTGCAAGTATTAGATATATTGGAAATAGAATTAATGAGAAATTTATTTTTTATCGAGATCAATACATGGGGGGGGGGGGCACCATCAAAATAGGGCACTTTCTAGAATATAAGGTGCACCTACAAAGGGAAACATCAAAATGTAAATCTACCATATTAAGACATTGATAGACGTACGCGCAACGCATGTCACACACAGAAAAATGAGAAGAAAAGAAAGAATTTTTTTTTTTTAAAGAAGATAGAGGAAAAGGAGAGAGACAGAGAGAGGGAGAGAAAGAAAGAAAGAAAGAAAAAAGGAAGAACATGAAACTTAACTTTACACTTAGGCCTACATATTACATTTCCGACTGAGTTGGCTCGACATGTGCTTAAGTAGTCTGCGGACGAAAGTACAACAATACGAAAACAGAAGTTATATGAAATTGTCTTTAAGAGAGAAAGAGAGGTTAAATTCTAAAATGAAATGAAAGGGGGTATGTGACTCTCAAGGAGGAAATTACAATTTCTATCGCTCATGACGACTATTTGGAATTTCCTAATTTTTTTTAAAGTTCAAGAACTTCCTGGTGCTCCGCCCCATGCAAGACTCCCGGCAACAGCGAATTATTTACACAATTTCTTGCTGTCTGCTGCCTCGAGATCACTGGAGCGAAGAAAGGTAACATTATAGCAAGAATCCCTATTCAGTGAAGGATTTATCCCTTTTATTATTAAAGACTCCCGACAAAGGCTCTCCCCCTGCAAAATTGGAGAGAGTTTTATGTAGTTTAAGCTTCTAACAACCACGCCCGTGGACTTTTTATTATTTACACAAAGGTAAAAGTGTATAGCAAGAATCCCTATTCAGTGAAGGATTCATCCTTTTTTATGCAGATGCTTCTTCTACCATTCTTGACCAGAAGTGCGTTTCAAACTCAATGATATGGGCATCATCCCATTGAATGTTGTGTCCAGTGTTACGGGTTTGTTTTGCTACTTGCTGCCTAATCTGAGGGCTCTGTTGTGCTCTTTAAAAAGAGGACACAATAGGGGCGGCGCAATTTAAATATCAAGGAATGTATTAGAGTTTATTTCTAAAATGAAATGAAAGGGCTATTTGACTTTCAAGAGCGATAAAAACTCTAATCCATCCCTTGAAATTTAAATTGCACTGCCCCTATTCAGTGTGCCATTTTCAAAGAGCACAAAAAGGCTTCAGATTGAAGATTCCATCTCATAAAATTGTCTATCAGAGAGAAAGAGAGTTTATTTCGAGAGAAAAAATGAAATGAAAGGGCTATTTGACAAGAGCCCTTTCATTTCATTTTAGAAATAACCTCTCCTCCTCTCTTATAGACAATTTTCTCTCTTGAAAGTCAATAACCCTTTCATTTCATTTTAGAAATAACCTCTTTTTTTCTCTTAAAGACAATTTCTTTCTTGAAAAGGCTCTACCAGACCCCTCAAGCTCTGCCACGTTGTATGGATCCATTAGAAAGCAAAATAAGCCCACTCAATAATTGATACATATTAAAACGTCATAGCGATTCATCCAAATAAGAAATCCACGTAAGAGGCATTTTGAATGTTTTAAGAAAATTCTTTCAAATTCCAGGATATTGGGTGTTCTTTTTCAGGAAACTCTATTTAAACGAGTGGAAGCACTGGCGGTTCTGTTTTTTTTAAAACTGTAACAATTCTCCTTGGATCAGATATAGACCAAAAACAAGCCTCATTATCTTCAGTATACAAGTGTCATTTCGGA